AGCCTCCGAACATTATCACGGACGACTTCAGAGCAGCCTCTGATTAATTTGACTCATTTCATGTGTTAATCATTAATTAGTGTGAGATGTATTATGAATGTGAGTAAATCAAATCCAACCTCTAGAGCTGCTTCATGAGATATTTGCTTTTTTCTTCCACTACATGTCAGATCTTCTTCTTTTTTTTTTTTCCTCCCTCAAGTGGTTTAAGAGTGTCATGTCTGAGAGTCGGCTGGCGTTCTCCTCACTGAGGCATGCCCAGCTTCTGGCTGCACTCTGGATGGATTTTCAGCAGATAAATAAATAACTAGGCTGGCACTCCTCACTTTGGATCCCCTCTGTTTTGGCAGGCCATCCACACTGCATTTTCTATCAGGTGTAAACATGTCTGTCAAACGGCACAGCCAGGGACCTCGGCATTTTGGCATTCATGACGCCATGCATGCACCGCTGCCAGCACTTTCTGTCTGCCCGCCTGACCTTGGCCAAGCTTGACATGACTGAGCACACTTAGCTCTACCTTCCACATTTGTAGGGCTCTTTGGGAAGCCAAGTGGGCTTAAGTGGCTGTTAGTGAAACTGACCCCAAGTTGAAGAATGGACCTTGGCTGCCGTCCTCGCAGCGCTGACGTAGTGGATGGGTAATGACCATGACATAGCTCTGGCAATAGCGATGGCCCGGCCAGGCCGTGACACTCACTGCCTGATATCTTCTCATCCTCTCATCTCGCCACCATTACTGTCATCTTCTCCAGTGCGAGCAGCCGTGGACGTGGTCCAAGCGGCCGGGCCACAGGCTCCAACCCACTGATGTAAAAACAGGACAGGGGGAATGAGGTCACTCTGATAAGATAAGGCCTCATACTTTGAAGTGTGCTTCCTTCTCTTAGTTTCATGGTACACAGCTCCTCTAAGAGCCTGTGTTCTCATTGTGAAGCCGGCGTTCTGAATCTGACACGTTTGCGAAGAGTTATCCCATCCAGCTGCGGACCATGTATTATTCTAGGGGCACGCTGTCTCTCTTCACTCCACATCCACCATCTCACCTTAGGGAACTGTCACTTTTTCATCAGTTAGTTACTGAGTGTTCATGCAGCCTCATGGTTCTTTTGCAGGCCGCTCCCTCCCTCTAAAGAAGAGGAGTTTCAAGTAGCTGTCTTCCTCTCTCCCACTCTACTGCAGCAGTTTCCTTGTTTGACAGTTTCATCCCTGACACACTGTGTCTCGCAACTTGGAAACCACTATTTTACAGACTCTCAGTTTGTGTGCGAGCTGGGTTTGGGTTGGTTGTCTTCCCCCCCCCCCCCCCGCTCGCCATCATGGCCATCTCCCCCTCTCGCCCTTTCTCCGTTGGTGTGAGATAACACCCGGGGGTTGACGAGGGGATCTCTGCTGACTGAAAAAGCAAACGGCCTGTTCCTGTGCCTCGGGATGTGCTGGAATCATCAGGATCCATTGTGTGCGACTGTGAACCAGCCTGTCATAGCCTAACATGCTCGTGTCCCTCTGCTAGCAGCAGAAATCCCTTTCTGCCTGTGTTGTTGGTAAAGCCTGACGGGCTAATGAAGGCCATACCAAAGTGTTATTTCTTTGTAACATGTTCAAGAGCCAAGGCTTTTTCCCCTTCCTTTTGACAGAATGCTCTGGCTTGGTATTCAAGGGTAAAGAGCTGTTCTCTTCTTCCTGCTCCTTTTCTTTCTTTACCTCCTATTCAGAGACTCTGCTTGCAAAGAAAAGTAATTTCACCCTCTCTGTCCCTGAGAGAATCAACACAGTGAAGTTGCATTGAATTTCCACTGCAACATTTTTTCTTGGCTCTATTTCAGACCCATAACCTGGGGGTAAACATGCAATTAAAATAACAGCAGCCTGCTTTCTCCTCCACTCTCCTCTCCTTCAGCCGTTAGCACAAGCCATGTACAACATGGTGACTTGGTTCTCCTAATTGGTTTTTCTTTTAATTGGTATAGAAAAGCTGCTAATATTCAACCAACAAGCAAACATACTTTCTCACCTTGTTTTTTTTTTTCTTTATAGTTTTTCTCCACTAATATTGTTGTACACAACTTCTAATGAGCTTATTTTTAGCTTTTCCTCATGCATTACTGCTGGTGGATATTTTAATAGATGATTTCCTATGCAGTTAGCCTGATGCTATTCCCAAATTTCTAATAAATGCAGATCCTAGCTGATGGAGTGGATATTGATCAAAGCATTCTGCACATGAATGCAGTTACTGGTCTAATTTCCTAAATGGTTTCCATCTATCCTGGTCTTCTTCTCTTCTTTGCAAATTTTTTTTTTTTTTTACTTGCAGACAGCTTTCTTTTTCTCCTCTCCCGCTGAGGAATGAAAAGAAAATATAGGTCAGCTTTTATGGGAGCAATTTGACACATGACACAAGCCATGTGCATCACTTGCTCAAGTCCTGCTTTGTCTGCTACGCCTTTATTTGTCTATAATGAAAGCCACACAGTTATTCACACACTTTTATTACGGTTCTATAAGTAGCCGGTGGAGACTTGCCGAGTCACGGGGGCCCCCTAATACTCTGAGAACCCCGTGGTGTCTGTCTGCATGGGGCTGATAGTGTGAGACGCCTGGCTAAACTCCACCAAGCCAATCCCTGCTTCACAAGCCTGCCCAGCTGGCTCGGCCTTCACAGACACAACTTTGTTTCCACTCAGGACAGGAGGGGCTGTGTCTCTGTGTGACAAAGGCTGCTAAGCCACGGAGGTAGACACCTACCAGGATGGATGGATGGATGGATGGATGGATGGATGGATGGACGGATGGACGGACAGACAGACGGACCCCCTGCCTGGTGGTCACAGGGTAATTAAAACCAGGCACCTCCAGCTTTTAGTGAGCTCAGTCTCTGTCTGGACTCTGTCAGGTGTAGTCATCCTGCTATGGATACAAACAGTGTAATGTGTTGAAACCCCCCACCCCCCCTCATGTGGGGGTGTTTGCCTTTGTAGAAAGCGACAGTGTTTGGCGTGTGATGTATATTTGAAGTCGCTGTGGCAGTGGAGCTGATAAACGAGTCAGTAGACGTCAGGCTTCTGTCTGTCGGGCTTCATCTCCTCCTGCTCTCCGCTGTAAAGCAGAGTGTCAGCTGGGGCATTACCATAGGCTGACCTTTGCCGCTACACTCCCCACTGCACAGTTTTCTGACATTCAGGGGCGCTGTGGGGGAGGCAGGAAGGGGCTGGGCTGGTGGGCTGTTGGCTGTTTTTTCTGCCTGTAGTGTTCTGATGTGTGTGTTCTTATAACAAATGAAGTGACAGTTTATGCTGGTGTTTTTTTCGGGGGTTTTTCCCCTCATCATTTCATTCTCCTGCCACTGCTTTGCTTTTGAAACCCCAAGCAAAGACACTGTTGTATTTGATATTTACTTTTCCTCCACCCCAAACCTGCCTGTTGTCAAAGAGATTGCGGTTATCTTTGTGTGAAATCTTGGCACCCTGATAAATGAGAGAGGGCTGGAAATCTTGCCTGCTGACATCAAGGCGCTATGTACCTAAAATCCTTCCAAGGCCGAGGGAAAAGAATAACATATCAGGCCAATTAAAGTTAATGCATGGTGACACGCTGAATCGAGGGCAGGGATTGCTGCCATATGGCGGTCCAGGCTGTAAATCAGAAAGCAGGGGAAAGAGAGGAGGATGAGAGGAGGATGAGAGGAGTGGGAGGCTGGGCAACAGAAAGGGTGACGCAGCATCAACGGCACAAAACATCCCCAAAATCCTCCGATCTGTCTCAAGACCGCCGCTCCACCGCACACCAGTCTCCCCCCTCTCTCTACCCTTTTCTCCCTTCCTCCCCTCCCCCCTGCCCCTGCAGCACCCCAAGGTGCAGCGCTCTCAGGTATCTGTGTAGAGCTGGCAGCTTCATTAAGGCTTGTTTTTTCTCCTCTCACTGGGAGGATTTAAATGAGCTGTCATCCTGACCTTTTTGAGCTCCTGCTTTTTAAAGAAGGTTCAGGCACCCCACCACCCCAAACCTGCCGCCCGTCTTTCTCTCTTTCCACCTTTCTCTCTCGCTTTGTCACTCTTTCCTGCACTTGTCTCTTCTCCCTGCAGGGGGGAAGACACTTTTAAGCCATCACCCTGCGGCAGACAGGCATGCCAAGGTTGTTTTGTGGGTAATTGCCTCTCTCATAGACGCTGTTTGTCTGCACACACTTGCCGCCCTCTTCTGATGCCACGCAGCAAAAGGGGAAGGCACGGACTCTGTAGACTTAATTTGCTCCCTGACTGTTCTTCAGTGCTGATTAAGCAAGCATCTGTGGTGTTTTGAATACAGCAGTAAGCCAAGTGGAGCATGGCTAACGCTTTCTCCCTCTCTATTACATCAGGTTATTGCACAAAGTGGCAGGCATTTATTGGAGCTGTAGCCCTGTTCGTTCATTTCTCCTCACCACATCCTGAGCCGGCTCCATTGTTTAATGTCCCCAAAATAAAGGCCTCTGTGAGGTCTGGAGGACTGCAGTATCGATCAGAGACTCACTAACTTGTCAGCTCCAGGCATCTTGAGTGTGTTCTTTTCGAGTGTACAGGAGTCATTAATTTCCTCCGCCATGGTCTGGTGGAGACGGGGAGGTAAAGCACAGGTAGCAGGGTCCAACTAGCTGACTAACATGCAGGGCGAGGAGAAGGAGGAGGAGGAGGAGGAGGAGGAGGAGGAGGAGGGACTGAGTCGATTTAAAGCTGCGAGCCCCTCGGGCCCAGTCTGCCCGTTTTACTTCAGCTGTTTGATGTTTAATTGAAGTTGTTATTGGCATCAAATGTCACCTTACCTGATGCTCCAGGTGTGAATCAGTTTCTAATTGAAAGGTAACTATGTCTCCCTCAGCCCCGAGCCTCCGGGGATCGGCCACAGAGTTCTATTAGTCCGGACCCAGCCTCTGTATCGCCACGCTCCATGTGCTGCCTCGCAGTTATGTCTGACTGCTGACCACCGCCCCCCTCTCTCCCCCTCTCTCTCTCTCTCTGCAGTGTGAGGAGAAGTGTGTGTCCCATGTTGCATTAGTGTCTGTGTGAAATGCTGGCCTGTCTGCCGGGGCCAGGTGACCTCCCCCTCCAGCTTCTCCCCCACACGCAGATGAACACTGGACTTCAGAAATGTAAGTACTGATCTCGAGACACACACTCTCACACACACACACACACTATTAACTACCACCACCATCCCACACAATAAACCAAGCTGTTACAATCCTGCTGCCCACCCCACGTCAGATCCCCATGCCAGCCCTGGCCTGGTTCTCTTCTCCATCTCTGTGTTAAAACCAGAAAGAGAGAAAGAATATTTTTGTGCTCCAGGACCACAGATCTGTCTTCAAGGGAAATGAGGATGAACTGCGCCATTAATTTGCTGATGAACAGTGAACTAGCTCCCTCCCTCCCTCCCTCCCTCCCTCATCGCCCCTAAAGATCTGTCTGGTCCTGTGTGCTTACTACAACACCATCGCCACACTCATGTGTTACATCTGATCGTCTCAGTTACTTTTCACCATCAGGAAGAGTCAGTTACTGTCAGGCCGGCAGACAGATTGTGCCTGAGTGGTTTTGCCCTGATGATCCTGTAATGTGAGTGAATTTAAGACACAATCTGCTGCCCCGGTTTAACAGCAGACTAGTCTGAACTGGCCCAGTTAACTCAATGTGTCTAAATTGTACAGCTCAACTGCAGACAAACTCAGACCCTGTAGGGTGTGAGGGGCGGCAGCACTGTCTATCTCTTCAGCCTAAACACGTTTAAACATTTCACAGTTTTTAAAAGTGCAAATGATCATTTATTCCTTTTATAACTCATTCAAACGTACATCCATGTAAATTCTTGCAACTACGTCGTACCCAAGAAAATCAGTCCCTTCCCAGACATTGATCGTGGCCCATCCAGTTGGTCAGCCTTGTTTGTTCAATCATGAAAAGTCTACGTCTCCTTTTCCTCCTGCCAGTTTCTCTCTGAGTAGAACTCAGCCCCAGCCTGACCCATTTCTGCAGCAATTTTTTTTTTTTTTGTAAAATGCTCCAGCTCATCAAGACTGTAATTTCAGAATCACAGTAATCAGCCAACCCCCAGGAGATCAGCGAGCGTGAGGGAGTCTGTTAAGTGCCAGCGTCTGTTGCCTCACTCAGGCAGACTTGTGACATGGTGCAGCCATCAGCTAGACAGTTTCTCTGCTCTTCCTTTATGTGACACACTAAGACACATCAGAGCACGAGGCGCAACTGGAGTTCAATTTGCTTTTCTGCCCAACACTGTAATCCATTTTGGTGATGGAGCATGCTTCCCACTGCACGGCAGTTCCTAGAAGTGTAATTTCAATCTGTTTTTTTTTTTGTTTTTTTGTTGTTTTTTTTTTTTCCTCCTCGTCATTCTTTCATAATGCTTTTCCTTTTCATCTGCTCTTCAAAGTACTATTAACAGACATGGTGTTACATCAAAAGGCACAGAGCTGTATTTCATTTAGACTAAATCTTTTTTTTTTTTCTTTTTTTTTTATCAAAGTACCTCAGGAAAAAGCAAACAAAAAAGAATAAAACCTGTACATACACTATCCGGCCCCTGTAGATCACCTTCTGCATGTCTGCAGGTTGTGCAGCTGTCATATTTTTGAAGCGTGAGTTCCCTGTGCGCTGCCACACAGCTAGAACCAGGCCTCAGCCCTACAGTAACACCGCCGCCTGGCTCCTGGCTGTCCACGGGACTCATCGTCTCTCCAGAGCCCCGTCATTTACCCAGAACTGAAGATAATTTGACAGTTTAACTCCAGAGGAGATGTGCTTGACTGCTGTTAGGTGAAACTCATAGACTAGATGTCATTTGAAATCTTCAATACTCTGCAGTCTCTAGTTCCCAGAAAAAAAAAAAAATGTTGGAGATGGAGAGTTTACAAAATTAGCTTCGATTTGCGTGACCTCTGTCCCTTCAGCTACTCAGTGCACTGTAACGCGACGTCTTGCGTTACAGAATCTCATCTTTTGACGTTTCTCCCTCCCTCTATTTTCTAAGAGCTCCAGATCGCCTTCTCTCCTGCGGGTGAGTCTGTGCAGAGTCGTTTAAAGTTACGAGCTTGCAGGTTGCTGTCAGAGACAAGGCCGGAGCAGCTGCTCTATTTATCATCAGGGAGTGACTGTGAACAGGCGCAGGCTGTGAAATGTAAAGGCTTGTCAGAGGAGTAGATCAGGTACGCTGAGACACAGCGGGTCACGGAGAAAACGGCTCATCCTCCAGGCAGGATGACTCGAGTGCCAGGAAGTGGCCCCGGGTCCTCAGCTCTTACAGGCAGAACAAACAGTGAGTACAGCTGGACCGCTTGGCTGATTTTCACATCTCAGTCCCAACTGAGATCAAAAGCAACCATCTCCTCTTCCTCTTTCTCATAATATTTTCCATTTTTCAGAGGTCTTGCGATGCTGATCTGTCAGCGTAGGACGCTCTGTTCAAAAGTCTGCTGAAATGTTAAGGAGGATTTTTTTTTCTTCATGTGAGAAAATTCATGTGTCTAATTTGACGCTGGAGCTTCAGACCTAATTTCCTGCTCTTGTGTGAAAATTGCAGTTTACAGCAGCATGAGCCCCAGCCCCCCCCCCGCTGCTTAAACCTTGTTCAATGAAAACAGTGGTTTGAATAAAAGAAACCCTAATTAGTGCCTGCTGACTGTGCACTTGTGTTCTAGCTAGCTAGCTAGCAGCGGGGTAATTAACGCATGGCCAGACTGGCCTCTATCCCCCGTTTCCCTCCCTGGGAACGTGCTTAGCTGGAGATCTGAGAGATGATATGCTCGTAGCCACCAGCAGCCGCCCACAAACTTCACTCATATCCTCATTAACCCTCCCTTGATGCTTTAAGCTCTTCAACTAATCCAGGTTTCAGGTTAAGGTTGAAATGCTAATAAGCTACACTTGCTCACTAGAACACATAATCAACAGCTGCCAGGACCTTAAACAGATGTAAACAGCAAGAGGTCGATTTTATCCACGGTTATGGGAAACAATGCTAAACCATGATTTACCAGTTTCATTACACATTTTACAGCAGTTCTGTTAAACTCTTTTTTTTTTTCTGATTTGCTTTTTTTCCCCTAAAATGCCCGCCTAAGCTTTGTTAACAATGTATAATCCCTTTTCCAATTTAATGGATTGGTCAGTTTCCAGACATAGACATTGCTTTCTTTGCTGTTTGCCTGAGTCTCACAACTTAAGTATAAAACTCATTATACAAGTGCCAGTGGCAAAGAAATAACTGTTCCCAGTTTCATGCTCGCTGCTGTTTTTCTTGCTTTATTTAAGTGAAATATATTTTTCTCTGTCTTTAAAACAGCACATTGTTTAATACTAAAGACACATTAATTTATAATTGATTTCATGTATATTATATTACATTTATACATCTTGTTATCATCTCATCATGTCCACAGTTAACAGGTTTTCTACTAAACAAAACCTGCTTCATTTTATTAGAAGCCGAATCTTCATTTGGTTTTTTTCAGCTGATGAAAATAGGTATTAATAGCTCTGATCAATCAGTTTTGCATGCTCGTATTGATTACCCCAACCTTCTCCCTCCATGTTGGCTCAGTATGTACCCTGATATCCCCAACTCAGCTCATCTGAGAGAAGGCAAACCCTGACAGATGTTACAGATGTTACAGATGAAACATGTTAAGTTACTGTGTTCTTTTGTACCGTTCATTCATGCTGTCCACAGTCCCGCTCTCATCCAGTAGATCTCATTCTGCTAAAATGGTGAAAGATGTTTTATTCATCGCAACAGCTGATGGTACTCTCTCCCACCTACTCACTCCCTTTCTAGAGCTACACTGACATAAGGTTTTGACAACGGTTGCAGAGGCTGCGCCAGAATCTTACAAGCTCTAAATATATCTAGAGAAGTGAGATCGAACAAGTTGCATTAATCGAAGGGTTTTGTGGAGTTTCATGGTGTGTGAGCACAACCCACCGATAGCCTGTAAGCTAGGTGGGATGATTGGTAAAATCAAACTACCTTTGTATTTGTTTCATCTATGTCACTATATGGAGCATCATTTCAAACAAGGTCGTTAATCATCACCTGCGTTTGACAGGTGAAGTCCATCCCCAGCACGTCTGTGAGCCTGTGTGCTGCTGTTCATTTATCTGTGTTTGCTTACCCTGGCATTTATTCAGCGACAGACATTAGGCCTCAGTGATGTCGGGTGTCGAGCTCCAGCTCCTTGGCCCAGACCCCTGCATTAATGAGGCTGCCATCAGCAGGCTGAACACTTAGTCACAGCAGCCCCCTGTGTGCCGCCCCATACCAGCCCTGCACATCGCTGCCCATTGTTTCCTGTTCACAAATAAAGCAGGAATTAATTAGCCAGTTGGCACGATTCTCGGTGCCGCAGTGTCAGCGCTCACAGTTCAGCTCCATCCCTCATCCCTCAAGCCCAGTCCGCCTTCTGTGAGACTGAGCGTAACAGCCACGGCCGCATGAAACCGCAGACCTCTGCCAGAAACTCAGACATTTCAAGTTACTGCTCACTCGACAACAGAGTGAAGGAGCTGTAGTGATGACATCTATTTTACCTGCACCGAAAATAACCCCTCCAACAAAACTATTGAGAAAGTTAGTGACCAGTGATCACTGCGCTCGTCAGTCTGAATGTTGCGGTGTAAGTGGGTCAGACTGACGGAGCCGAGGTGATCGGGACAGCGAGATGGAGGAAACCGGGGAGACGAGCCTGTCATTCTCCAAAGCCATTATCACTGACTCTCAGTGTGAGTGGAAAGGAGCACAGTCACGTTAAAATGAGACACAGTCACATCCACACGGACCGAAAACGGTACAATTTGTACAAGATACTGACACATTAGCCAACACCTGCATTTTAAACAGGCTCATGAATGAAACGCACCCTTGCGCTCACACATGCACAAACACATAATCATGTTCACATTGTCACTTTGACACTGTTAAATTTAACCACGGTGCTTAGCAGGTATAACGAATGTCTGCGAGCTGAGGCCTGGGAGGTGTTCCCGCAGATCAGAGCCGCTGCTGCTGCTGTGTCTGATTACTTGTCTGCTGTCATGGAGCTCTGCTCTCTGCGTCTATCTCTTTCTTTCCCTCTCCCCAAAGCAGCCACAGGGGACCATCGCTGCCTAGCTCACTCTTTGTTTATTTTGTGAGTCAGTAGCGAGCAGCAGCACCCCCCCACCCCCCCAACCCCAACCCCCCAGCTGCATACTTATTGTTTGCCCGGATGCTACGTCAATTAAGGCCACTAAAAGCTCCTGACCTCAAAGTTACAGACACGACCACAAAATTGGATTGTAGACTGGGGATGTGTTGGCCCAAGTAGTTCAGCTGAGAATGAAATCTTGTCTCTCGTGAGAGGAGCTGTGAGGGTCTGAGCAGGAAAACAGGGAGGTATGGAATATGAGAGCGCCCTCCAAAATCGGGTTCCTCTCAGCCGCTCAGATTACACTGATGTGCTCTTTTGTGGTATATACACTTCTACCTGGATTGTTATCTCTCTCATTGAGCCTCTTTCCCCATTCTCTTCGTTTCATGTCTTCTGTCTCTGTCTTACCTCTGACCTGTCCTGTCCTCCGCCCCAGGGGACACCACACAAAGGATGAGATCCGCTCCATTTCCAACCCCTGCAGAATTGGATGCATATGCTAAGAAGGTTGCCAACAACCCCCTCACCATCAAGATCTTCCCCAACAGCGTCAAGGTCCCCCAGAGAAACCACGTGCGCCGTACGGTCAACGGGCTGGATACGTCAGGCCAGCGCTACAGCCCGTACCCGTCGTCTCAGGCCAGTGCCAAGACCGGCCTCCTTGCTATCGTCAAGGTGCCCACAGTCAAAGGCATCCTAAAGGATTTCGACGGCAGTCGGGCTCGCTTGCACCCTGAAGTCATCATGAACCCCCCCACGGGACCGTACCAAGTGGCTTCGACCAGCACTTTAAACCACCACCCGACTCTGCCGAACCTTCCCCGGTCGCAGCAAAGCTTACCCCTCCAACCGCAGGACCCACCTCAGACTCTACAGATGCCCCTCCCTCAGCACCAGGGTCACACCCAGAGCCTCAGACACCCTCCCCCCATGGCCCAGCACCCTCAGGGCCCACCCAGACTTCAGACTCTGTCTCAGCACCCAGCCCTTGGCCAACCGCAGGGGCCCCCTACTGTCATGCTTCAGCAGCAGCACCTTCAGCAGCAGCCGCCGCCCGGCCTGCAGGGGGGCAGAAAGCTGCCAGATGGCGATGCACCACCTAATGTTACCGTTTCTACCTCAACCATTCCACTCTCAATGGCCGCTGGGCTGCACCAGGGCCACCAGGCCGACTTGAGCACCATCGTGCATCAGATCAACCAGTTCTGCCAAGCTCGAGCCCAAGGCGCAGGAGCCACCTCCATGTGCGAGGGCCAGATCGCCAACCCCAGCCCCATCAGTCGCAATCTGCTTATCAGCGCCTGCTCCAGGGTCTCCATGCACAGCAACCCTGCCACCCCTGGCTTCCCCCCACCCAACTGCATTATTGGCGCTCAAGAGAAAGCCACGGCCCCGGTGGGAGCCCACCCTCCGCCCAGCGTGGCTGCTATGAACCACTTGCCTTCCAGCCACACTGATCTCAAGCAGCAACACCACCTGCAGCAGCATCTGAATCAGCAGCAGCAGCAGATACAACACAACACGCAGCAGCAGAAGATGCGCTCTTGGAATCAGCACCAGTTGGCCCACGTACCCCACATTCAGAACGGTGGGACCCACCTCTGCAAGCAGCCTTCCAGGGACCCCACCTTCCATTTTAAGGGCATGGGCTACCCTGCAGAGGTGTGTGTGGGTCAGCCTTACACACTGAAACCTCCCATAGAGAGGCCCACCCCCTCTCCCCCCGTCAACAACAACGGCATGCCCGGTCCCATGGCCCACTACACTAATGGTCACTACTTCCAGTCCCACATTTGGAACAGCAGCATCCTCCCCACACCCAACAGTGACAGCTCCGGGTCTCAGGACGTAGCCATGCCATTCCACGGTGCGGGCCCAGGGGGCTGCACCACGCTAGACTGTGGGCCCCCTGGGGCTCCCCATTACAGGCTAGGAGCGAGCTCCTCCTCCACCCCCTCCACCCAGACGACTCTGATGCAAACGGCAGATTACTTGGGTGGGGACTTCCAGACGCCCTACTTCCGCGATCAGAATCTAGGGTTGATGGGCAAGATGCAAAGGCCGACTCTGAGCAGGGTCGGGCCAGAGGTTGGGGATGGCAGAACCGCTCTCATCCAGCACCCAGGGTACAGATAAGCTATGGCCTTGTCTCCACAACAGTTATCAAACCCCTTTGTTTAGTCTTAAGAAAGGAAACACGTGAATAAAACTAAATTGATAACTTAAACAAATGACCGCTAATGTTAAAGAGGGTAAATTAATATATTTAATGAAGAACAGTATTTTTTGTTCTTTTTTTTCAATAAATCTTGCAAGTGATCAATTGCTACTTTTTATTTTTTTTGTTAATGATGAGTGCTTCACCTGGCACTTTAGGGAACTTTTTTCATGTGCGTGTGTGAACATGTCTGTACTGTGTGTGTCATTCCCTCTATCACACTCGTCTAACTGTGTGCCTGGGTCTTAACTGATCCTGCGTTATTTCAACTTCAGTCCTATCAGTGAAGTTTTCTTATGCATGTAAGAAAGAAGAAAAGCAGATGGATCCCTGCTCAAACATTTACAGACGGGTGTTTTTTTTTTTTTGTTTTGTCAGGAATTTTTTGGTTTTGTTTTATCAGACAAGTGACTAATTTTCATTTTTGGTGTTGATGCTCAGATCTCATATTAACTCCAAGATCAAACACAATCATTAGAGGACTTAACAGAGAGTAATGATCTTGTTACAATGCAAAGCTATCAGACACTGGAGACTACAAACCACAGCTTGCAGTATGCACATGTACACCGAGGTTTCATTCTTTTTAAATGTAATTATTTATTATTCAAGGTAGATTCCTCTCTGTCAGTTAAGGAAGCATGTAATCAAGTTGTTTGTACATAGTAAAGATCCAGCAGGGAGCAAATATGTTTAAAAAAGAAAAAGAAAAAAAAAAGGTGATGCTCTGATCTGCTTTCAATGCTGCAACGAATTCAGGTGTTTAAAAAAAGACTTTTGTCAGTGCCAGGAAGGATTGGCAACAAGACGGCGAAAGGTTAAGTGCAGAAGAAGCTTAACTCTCAAACCTTAAAATGGCCAAAGTCAGGTTATCAAGGACACGCGGTTATGAAGATGTGCCATTTTGTTTTTGTTTCCTTTTTCAGATCATTTCTGTAACCATGACAAATGTATTACTTGAATGTTGAGATTCTTTGTTTTGAAGGAGACGGCTTAGTGACGAGGACAAAACTCTGGAGTAGAAGAAATAATAGTGTTACTAATGTCATGTAGAGTCTAACCAGAGTTTTGATCCCGACAGCAGGAACTTAAGTGAATTAAGTTTTGTGTAGTTGCTACTGATTCTGATGTGAAGTCCGGCTGAAAAGACCAAATTGATCACTTGCAAGATCAGAGGTAAACAAAACTGACTTTTGAGTTTAAAGTGAAACAGCAAATGCATTGTTTATTTTATTGTACACTGGCTTACCTACTAGACTACTGTAACTTTAAAAAATTTAATGATTGTGTGTGTGAATGTTGCCTGCTGATGTGGGTAGAGTTCAGGGTGAGTGTGAGTGTGCGTGTGTGTGCGTGCGTGTGTGTGTGTAAGAGAGGGAGAGAGAGTGTGTGTGTGTGTGTGTGTGTGTGTGTATAAACACAATGACGCCCATGTTTTGTTCACCTAACTCCCTAACAGCCCTTAAAAAGCCTTAAGTGTTTGGTCCTTGGACTTTCCTTTGCAAATGAGCATGGTTTTACTGAAAACCCCAAACAATAAGGAGAAAGAAGATGGTAAGGATACACAGAAACAGCATTTTCTTTTCTGGTCTTTTTAATTTTATGAAGTTTTGTTGAATAGACAGGCAATTCCTTAGAGATTCTTTATTATGGAAAGCAAGAAAAGGAGTAATATTTTGTAATTATATATTTTAGCAACGTGTAGTTACAGAGCTGTAACTTTTTTTTTTCCAAGTTTCAAAGCTTCAGTTTGCAGTTGTGACTATTTATAATACTTGATTTGCTTGTTATTTAAATTTTATTTTCTCCTTTGTTTCTTGTACTATTGCTGTGAAATGGAAGAAGGTCCATAAGCCTTTCTTTTGTGTCATTCTGTACGACAGATAAGAGGCAAGAGCGTGAGAGTTGTGCTACTCTTTTTGTAATATTGTAATAATAAAATAAAGTTCTAATTTATGCTTTGAATGAGTCTTAACCGTAGTTTGGCTGATCAACATTATCTTTACATGTGTCAAGTGACATGCAGTTTTCTTCTATTCCCTTCATGCATGAGCTGCATGCAGGTAGGTCACTATTCACACACTTATTTCTTACATAATCAGCCTAACCAGTGGCTGAACAGTCCGGGGCCAAGGCCCGTCCAAACCACATATAATTTGTAACTGCGACAGCTAGTGCTGAAGGTGGTGATTGCACCAATTGCTGTGCTGTCATGCCGTTTATCCGAGCCTACCTCTGCCAAATAGAAACAGGGAGACGAGTAGACAAAGCAAGCTGTGAAATCCGCAGGACTATCTGGCTGCAGTAGATTTAGCTTGTCTGGCTGTGATGAAAATGGGACTCGTATAAAGGGCACGCAGCGGGGGGGCAGGATCAGCACCTTCCTGATCAGTATTACTCCACGGAGGATTTTGAGCAATGCCATAGGTGCCGGCAGGTTGTGGCCTTCTTTGCAGAGAGGATGTGCGTCGTGTTCAGGTGGTGGCAGAAACAGTATGTGCGGCGACCTTTGGATGAAATAGTTAATGTGTTTCAAACACATGGTATTTAAGCAGCACGTGTTGCAGCTTCCAGCATTGATAAGTTCTACTTCTTAACACCATTATGTCAGTCAGATAAATACCTACTGCAGCTTCCTCATCACTCTTCATGTCAGTGAAATATCACCCCTCCAAGATTAAATTTAAAACCAAGCTGACAACTGGAGTATCAGTCAGTCAGAGAGGCAGTTCACCCGTTTGGCAGTAAAAATTTCTTGAGGAACTTAAAGTGAATAATGTCTTGAGCTTTTAATGCCGTGTTGCTCAGGTCAGTCAGGCTGAGCAGCCAGAGTGAGGCTCTCTTTTGTCTCTTTAGGCCTGTGTGGTGCTCAGAAGACCCATCTCTGTGGACTGGTGTGTCTGCCGCCGCCGGCTGCCCTCCGTGAAGAAGCCTCTCCAGCTCCTCCCTGTGGAAGAAGGAGGAAATGTTACTGGAGGTGGCTTACTTCTCCCCGTCACAGAGAAAAGCCTAAAAAGCTTTTTTCTAATCTGGAAACTTTTGAGTCTGCAAACATGTTCGTGCACCTCTGTTCATTCTGTTCGGCGGGGTGTCTGAGGTAGGCTGTTGTACATGATTCCAGCAGCCGGGATCCTCATCGATTTTGCCCAGGTTGATGTTCCATTTGTTCCAGTTGACTTCCTCCACTCTGAGACGACAAGAAGAGACACATGCTCCAATTACTGTCTGCTGTGTGACACATCAATCAGCTGTCAGCAAAGGCAAATTAGTGAAGAACAGTACACTGCACCTCGATCGATCCTGCTCACACAGCAGCATCTTCTGGTAAATCTTCAAGCCTAAACTTTTGTTTCTGCTTTATTATTATTAGTTGCTGAAGTTCCTTTTTGCTGCTATAAGGCTCCTGGTACCAGTTATAAATGGTAGTAACTCATTAGTCAGATTGATGAGTAGTAAGCATTAACTTGATGTTGCCAAATAGTGAGCCTGCATCAATGTATGAAAACTGTGTTATAACTTGTTAACAATGGTTTATTTATGATTTATAAAGTGTTAACCTGAACTATTTATAAATCCTTTATAAAGGTGGTCTTATTGTGAAGTGGTACCAACTGAAAACACCAGCCCAAACATTGGGTCACATGACGTCCCAGTACTAAACCTCTCACACCAACTTTCATATCAACAGGAAACACAAACACAACTACTCAGTAGTACACATATAAATAGTGTAAGCCATCATTATATGAGCCTCTGTTTGTCACTGATAAAAGTTCCAACTACTGGAAATGTATTTTCAACCATCATAAACACAACAGACATGTTCCTTTCTCTGTTTTCCAGGGCCAGATTGATCTGCTTGAATCTCCTGTCCTCTGACTCTGTGGCCTTTTAGTGCGTCGCAGGTACTACTGCACTTTACCCACGGCGAAACCAACTAGAAATAATATGGTGTTTTGTATAAAATGAAATAATGACAATATCAAAGACAGTTTTGACACAAAGTCCCGACCAGACAGGATCTCCATTGGGTAACAAGAGTCCACAGTCATGCTAGCAGCTCTGTAAGACTGTGGTGCTTCTATCCTCATGCTAACATTTCCACAATGACAACACTAACTTGCTGATATTTAGCAGGTATAATGTTTGCAGTGTTCACCATCTTACTTTAGCATATTAGCATGTCCACGTTTGCTAATTAGAAATAAATAAAAGTGCAGCTGAGGCTGATGGGACCGTCGTTGATTTTGCTGGGATTTGGTCACAAACCAAAGTATAGTGGTAAATAAAGATTTTGACGTGATGAAAAGTGGGATCACCGAAGTCGTCCGTACTAAATGTCGTGGTAATCTGTGCAACAGTTGCAGAAACATCAAAACCACAAAGGTCAACATCGTGGTGGTGCTAATGGAGAAGTCAAAAGGATTCATGGGGAACCGTCCAGCAGCTGTACAGACAGTTCACATGAACTTTAGCTGTGCATACTACCAAGAATGTAATGAATGAATGATACTCATTTCCACGCAGCAGCTGGGCTTTCAGGGTGCTTGTCTGTGGTGGGGACATTTACAGTGGAAATATACATCTATGAGTGAAATGTTAAGACTGGAAACACCGATTGTGAGAGCAGTGAAGCTGAAGGAAGCGAACCTGAAACACCAGCGATGGTCATCTCCGAGAGCAGTGCCCAGCTTCTTCTCCACCCCACAACGAAACCTCCCCCTCAGACAGCAGGGCAGCCGTTTCTCCATGTCCATGATGGTGATGGCTCTCTGAAAACAGTCACAGCACCTCGTTAAACCGCAGCTGCCCGGAGCTGACACGACCTCATACGACCTCTGGGGTGCCTCACCTGCAGCTTCCAGATGCTGGTGCTCTCCATGGTGATCTTCTCCACGGTGCGGTTCATGAGGGCGATGAGCATGTTGAGCAGCAGGATGTAGGTGAGTATGATGTAGCCGATGAGGAGCACGTAGAAAACCCCAATGTACTCGTAGTCCTGGGTGAACTCCATGTCTCCCATGCCGATGGTGAACTTGAAGAGCTGCAGTGTGGTGTAGGAGATGTTACTGAAGCCGGGTTTCAGGCACTCCTCATCAGGGTTAAGGGGAATTAAGAAACGTCCTTTCCCCCCTTGAGTGGTTTCAGTGGTGTTAGTCTCAGGAGGCATTATGAGCAGGCTGACCACCGCTGTGACAGGAGACAGGAAGAAGAAGGTTGTATACATTACACCCTCCATTCATGGCATGTTGGCCAAACTGTTTTCTATCTCAAAGTTCGTAAAAGGATAATGCTACTTTTCAAATCAATAAAAAGCTATGTAAAACCTTCATAATATTATTTAGTGAGTTGTATGTGCAAGTCAGAAATCATCATGTGTTTTTCATTTACAGAAGAAAAATTACAATACCTGCTGAAAATCCAAAGAGGAAGACAACATAGACAAAAAGAAAGCGCAGGATGTCACTGAGGATCATCTACAGAGAAAAGAAAAGAGACTTCAGGCGTGAGCGTGTTCACCGTGGTGTTCACCGTGGTGTTCACCCTGGTGTTCACCATGGTGTTCCCCGTGGTGCAGCGCAGCCTGTGTTTTTACCTTCTGTATCATGACACTGTAGATGCCCATGTGTATGTCGCCCCGGGAGAAGTAGAGCAGGTTCACCCAGCTCAGAGCGAGACACAGCACCAGGAGGCCGAGGTACTCCTTCCTCCCGCACAGATACAGACCGGCCGAGAACAGGAAGAGGACGCCCTGCATGAAACTGCAAACAGCAGAGAATTATAACAACGCTCGTCTGTTCTACACAACACGAGCCAACGCATTTTAAAAGGTCATCAGTAATTTGTCAGTGTCAGTGTCAGTAATACAGTTAATTGATGTGTTGATCATGTTGGGTCATTGTTTACTGGACACTTGAATAGTTAACGCTGTAACACCTTTGTCTTTCCTCCTATGACAAGTGAACATGTCTGCTGTGAAAGGGGCCTGCTGGTTGTAGAGGTCACGTCATTAGTTAAAATGAGATCACCTGTGTGTGGTCGAGGTGTTTAACTGTTAGTAGTATAAATACACCTGTATGTGGAAAGTCTCACTTCTGCTGAGTCTGTATTGTGGCCACAGCATTGAAACTGGTAACTGGGTTTAATGTAGTTGCACCATGAAGATAAAGGAACATTCAAAACAAGTCCATGTTATTTTTGGCCTCAAGTGACAAATACACAATCAGCTGTTACAGAGGATCACATACCATGTCTATAAAGAAAAGTGCATGATAAATAAATATAGTTTGTCTATGAATGTCTTTCATGTTGAGGCAACAGCTGCTGATTTAATTGAGACTCATATTTAAGTCTTATATGTCATGTTTCTATCAGAGCAGGAAAAGGGGGGGGGGGCTTCACATGTGTGTTTTCTTTTTTGTCAGTCTGTTTTATTTTCTGTATCATCTTTCTTCTTATCTTGTCTTGTATCTTCTTATTAGTCACTGTTGTGCTTGTTTGCACTGTTCTATTTAAATATGAAATCCTCTTTGATTTAATGTATAAAAATAAAACATGAACATGAACATGAACATATCCAAGAGGTGAACACCTGTTATAAGCTCTATGTCTATATGATTCTGTCTTTTGGTCTAAAAAATCTAAATTAATCCCTGAAAACATCGATCACATTACTATATGAAGACAGTTACTCCTGAAACTCCAGCTGAATATCATCAAAGAGCAACTTCAACACCCTCTGAAAACTGCATCTTTGCTGACCTCTAGCATTTTAATTTCTCTGCTGTCAGCAGTGATGTGGAAGCGTACTCCATGGTGCGTCAGTACACCATGACATCACTGCTGGGTGTGGTCAAAATGCAACGGAGCACATTTCTGACCACGTCCAGATGAAACAGAGAAGACAGTTTGGCACACTTCCTCCTGATGTTGTTTTCCATCTACACTTTCTCAGAGACGTTTTAAAACATTTTAAAGATAAACTTTTTAAAATGTTTTTGTGGACACAGAAATAATCTTTTTCCACAACATCAGCAGGTATAAGCAGGTTTCTTTAAACGCGGGTTAATGAAAGCCGATTGACCCCTTTTCCACTGACAGTTTGTCTCTCTGTTCGGACTGAGGACACACACAACAGCAAGGAGTGACGTCATCACATGCACTTACACAGCACACACACAGACACAGTGGAGAGAGAGTGAGCTGCTAGACGCCGTGCTAACTGGTAAAACTGATGTGTCACATCTCATCTCCAGGTTGGCTGCTGTCAGTGGAAATCAAGCTAAAGACACATGTACACACACAAGTAACACAATACACTATATCCTGCTGCTGGTTTCACACTATTTCACTGATGGACAGTTGGTGGCAGTAAAGCACAAAGAAGTGCTGCAAAGGTCTCGCTCACACCTACAGTAACATGCGTCTCAATGCGCTGCTCACAGCTCTTCAGTGAAATCAGGATTTATCCATTTGAAATAGTAAAATATTTTGGGTTCATTATGAAACTGTGTTGGGACGAATCAGAGGACGTCAGTAGAGTGGGCGGTCACACATTCATGCCGCTAAAAGAATGTGGACACACGTCTGAATGTGGTCTGATCTCAAATGTGTCCTCGATGCGTCTTGGGTGCGTTCACAACTGAAGTTAGAGCTGATCACTTGTTATTGGATCACCTGAGAAGGATGTTAATAGCAGGTGTGATCAGGTCTGAACTGGACCTAAGTGAGCTAAGAACGCTGCTAACTAGCAAACGTGTGTAAACAATGAGGGATTTAAAATGTTTTTTAAATGACCTCACACGATGCACTTTGGTGACAATCACTGAAAGTAAACATAACTTCAGAAAAGTCCACAGGGCACCTTTTATTTTGACCACATCTCAAAAACAGAAAAAGAGCTTTACTACTTACAAAAGAATCTCATAATATCCATCAATCAGCAAAGTCTGCAGCTTCGGGCGCTTCCTCTTCATGTCAATTATCTAGGGATTTAGATTTTTAGGTTTTTGATCAGTCACATGAGTAGAATACAATTTTCACAAGGTGACGATAAGAGCTGTTGGATTTTAATCTAAAAACACAAGAGCATCCACGTACCCCTATGAAAAAGAAATAGCAGTTTGCCAGTAGTGTCAGGAGCTGGCCTGAAGCATACAGGTAACCGGTGGTGGTGCGTTCGAGGGGAAACGGCGGCTGTGGAGCAGAGAACAAACATCAGTGACATCACCGCAGGTCTGCCTGGGATGGCTATACACATCAGTCACTCAGTGTGTAGCAGCTCACCTTCCCATACTTCTTATTGTAGGCCACAAGGGTGAAGATGATCAGGTACATGATGTAGAACAGGAAGTTGGTGAAAAACATTCGACCTGCAAACTTCTTCCACTTCTCCTCCAGCAGTCGGCTCAGAGGCTCCGTCTGAAGCATCTCGTGACGGTTCTGGGAGGAAACAGACATTTGAGGACAGAACGACAACAGCAGCTGCTCCGACCGGGACCGTGATGCCGGTACTCACAGGAATGTCGCTGCCGTAGATCAGTATCTCCATGACGGAGTTGTCCTCGCACGAGTCCACCGAGGCCAGGTCGTACAGGGAGCAGTGGACGGGCCCGTAGACCCACTCAGTGAATTTTCGGGACAAGTGTTTGGTGCTAATGTCTTGGAATTCACGTTTCAGGATGTGTGAAAAAAGCTGCAGACCAATGAAATGAAAGTCAGAGGGTTGAAAGTGAAATGTCCACTCGGGGCCCAGATCATTTCTAATATTCACAGGTTTGAAAAATCCTTCTAATTATCATCATAACGTGCAATTAATTTAAACTAACAGACCTCAACTCAGCGGAGCTTGGAGGCTCCAATTACATTTTTGCCCATGGGCCCCTTTGCATTTTACTCCAGCTGTGTCTGTACTGACCGCTATCTTGCCCGTCTTGGCAGCCATTTTGAGAGGCGTCAGCCTGTTCTGGTTCTCGATGTCCTCCAGCTTCAGCTTGGGATGCAGTCGGGCGGTGGTCTTGAGGATGCGGTCGTACATGCTGGTGATAAAGTCTGTGTTGTCCTCGGAGTTGTCGGCCACCACCACCAGGGCGTGCAGCACCGTGTTGCCCTGAGAGTCGGCCAGCTCTGCGTTTGCTCGCAGGTACTCGTTATCCATCAGGAAGTCCACCACGTCAGCCTGGTTGGTGCAGGCTGCCAGAGACAGAGGCAGCTCACCTGAGGGCAACACGAGATGACGTCATCAGGGTTATCTAAGTTTGAAATATCTGTGTTACAAACTCGGGGTGTGAGGGTTTGGAGGAAGAGGGGATTTAAGAGGCAGGTTGGGTCTAATGAAAGACGCTACTGAGATGCATTATGGGAAATGTAGGATGTTTGTGGAGCTTCAACCACTCTACAGAGTAAAAATCAGGATATTTCTGCTTCTGCTGGATTGATTTTGATCATTTGTGTTTTAATCCATCTCTTGTCAGCCCCCCAACTTTATTAAGATGTAATACTAAACCACTGGAGTGCCCCTTTAAATCAGTACAATACTGATCAATACAGCTAGTGTGTGTCACTATACATGTGGTGCAGAACTGTCTTTTGTTTGTTTTTCTTTAATTAGCAATAACTAAACGTGTAAAACTAATTGACATTACTTGGAAGGAAAATTGTGAAATACAATTAAGAAATTAGATCAGATGAGAAAGTAATGCTTGAAGTAAAGGTGAAAACGTTAGTTGTGTAGTCTGACTGAAGCAGAGAAACAACCCAGCAGTGACAGCAACAAAGATGTTCCCATAACTCCCACTCCGAGTGATGCTGAGTCCTCCTCTCTGCAGCAGCACGGACTCACCAAAGTAAAAGTATGGTCCGTCATGTGGCTGGAAGAATTTTCCACAGGCTTTGGCGTGGACATTGGCTCCTTTACTGACCAGCAGTTTCACATAGGAGAGACTCCTCCTCTCAATGGCTATGTGGAGAGCGGTCTGGCCTGTCGAAACCACACATCAATATAAATCAGAGAAGCAGTCACATTTCTTTATATTCATTTACTACAATTAGATTCTTTTTATGGCTGGAAGTTAATTTAGAGATTATTCTGGCAGCAATTCTCATAGATAGAGAGAACGGGGTCAAATAAAGTCTCCCAGATTCACAGAAATCTTTACCTTTGTAATAGCTGTCAGTGTAGGCTGCGTTCACAAACTCGTTAATGTCGCCCAGCTTCTCTGAAATGTCAAGTAATAACTCCACAGTGTCGTTCTTGTTGTCTTTGATGTGCAGCAGAGCCTTCATCAGGGCGGTTTTACCATAGGACTTATCTGCAGGAGTGAGCAAACACTCAGGGGGTTAACACACAGGTCAACAGCTCACTGTTTGGTGCAGCTGCTGCATTGTGGGTCTTGTCACACTCACATAAGGAGTCGGAGAGTTTCTTCATGCTTTTGTGCAGGTACTGGTGCAGGCCGTCCAGCTGTCTGATGTCCCGGCTGGCCACGGCCTCAAACAGCCTGACGATGTCGAACGTCTTGCTGTCTCTCTTGCTGTTGTCCTGCGCTTCACCGCGAATCCCTCTACAAACAAAATAACTGGGTTACAGATAATTCAGCCGACAGGTCAAGCAGCTTCACGCTCCACATTCAGTAACACTGTGGGGCTTGATCATAGACAGCACCTGTGATGTAGCAACCATATTATCATTGCATGGAGAGGCTCACTTGTCGAAGTTGAGATTGAATCTGATTTGAGGCTTTGTCGCCTCCATTTCCTCCTGGTAATCGGTGTCCATGGGAGCCTTGGGGGCCTCCTGGCAATCCTTCTTTGCTGCTCTTTGCCTTGTTTTCTCCTCCTCCGTCCTGTCGTCCGTCTCCAGGGAGAACCCGAACATTTCTGTCTTGTTCATCCTCACCTCTGTCTGCAGTGATCTGCATGGAAATATGGCACAAGTGTTCGTGGATCAGATAATTCATCAGCAACAGGTACGTTACAGTATGTGGTGAATCAGTTCAACGAACTCACACCACCACACTCCGTCACATCTGCTGTATCTGATTATCTGCATGTGTTTGATGTCAATGTATCATGTGACATGTATTATTACTGGAGTCAACACAGGTGTATGAACCAATTATCAAATAAAACACGCACACACACACACACACACACACACACACACTTACTCACTTATTCATATTTTCTTGTTTTTACTTTTATATTACAGTTGTTATTATTGTTTTTAGTATACATAGGGATGGGGTGGATCCCTGCTTCACATCCTGGATTGTGGATTATCTGACAGGATGACCACAGTACATCAGGCTGGGTAACAGTGATGAGCAGCACTGGGGCTCCACAGGGGACTGTTCTGGCTCTGTTCCTGTTCACACTGTATACGGCCAACTTTAAATACAACTCTGAGTCCTGCCACATCCAGAAATACTCGGATGACACAGCTATTGTGGCGCGTATCAGGAACGGGCAGGAAGAGGAATACAGGGATCTGATGATGGCCTTCAGTGAATGGAGCAAAAAGAACTGCCTCCTTCTGAACTCCTCCAAGACCAAGGAGATGGTCATGTACTTTCGGAGGTCTTTTATGTCGCAGTCTGCTGGGACTGGACAATATGGTCAAAAAGGCTGGGTCTTTTCTTGGCAGGAGTCTGGACTCACTCAGGACTGTTGTGGAGAGACACATGCAATGTAAGATGGAGGCCATCTTGCGACAATACCAACCATCCTCTCCGACAACATTCTGGCAGGACAGAGAAGCAGCTACAGCTGCAGCAAACGTCTCATCTCACTGCAGAACAAAGAGGTTCAGGAGATCCTTTGTTTCCACTGCCATCAGGCTACACAACACCTCAGCCGAAGGAAATGCACTAATCTAATTATTATTGTTCATTTGTTATGAACTGTTTTTATCATTATTATTATTATTATTATTATCATCATCAATAATGAACTAATGGACACACAAATTTCCCCTAGGGGATAAATAAAGTATGTATCTATCTATCTATCTATCTATCTATCTATCTATCTATCTATCTATCTATCTATCTATCTATCTATCTATCTATCTATCTATCTATCTCTTTTAGGTCATATTATCTTCTGTTGTCAATTAATTTCTATTGTTAGATTTTAACATTAGGTGGAGGCTTCAAATAAGACCATTTTCTGCCTCTCCCTGCACTGTATATATATATATATATATATGTATACATATATGTATACATATATAATATATATATACATGTGATATAATATACTATAATATATATAATATATATATATATATATATAATATATATAGGTATATATATAATTTATCTATCTATCTTTTTATCATTTCATTTTAATTAAATTTTACTTTCAGTAGACCAGTTGGGAGCCACCCACAGAATGTAAAAATTACACACACACAAACACACACACACACACACACACACACACACACACACACACACACACACACACTGTAACATGAGTTTGTGTGTGTTTGTATCAGTTGCGTCTGAAACATGTTTACCACAGGGGATCACCTCACTGGCCTTTATACACAGACATATTTTCAGACATGTGATGTCTCAGCCTCAGTGACTAACAAAGGAGTTTATTTAGAAGAAGATTTCCATGACAGCAGCACACACACAGTACTCGATCTGGGAGCCTCTTCTCTGCAGAATAATCAAATCATTTACAGTTAAGTTGCTTATGTAAAAACAGGGTCGCTGAGTAAAGAAGTGAAAATATTCCTGCTGACTTCAGCTGATCACAGTGAAGCAGTAGGTAGTCAAGGAGGACATGTTCAGGACAGTGGGAACCCACATCTTTGGCTGCTTGTTCCCTTTTCATTAAGAAAATGGGGAATTAATGACTCACTGACTCCATGCTCATCACAAGAGGAATATATATATAGCACAGAAGGAAACAAAATATGGAAAAACAAGAAGTAACGTCCATTTTCTATTGAAACACAAACTTCTTAACAATAATTTAGATGCATCATATCATATCAAATAAAACATTTGCTTTCACTGTAAAAACTGGAACGAGCACATTTTCAAAATTCATACATAAACTTGTGTTTGCGGCACATTCTTCCACACAATGTGTTCATGTGCTGCTGTAATATTCACTTACCTTGGTTTTCAACAAAATTATTTGGTTATTATTATGGTTATTTTTGCTTAGTTCCTGATTCTGATTATTGATAAAAGCTGTAAATGGAGAGACTGAAATCGGTTCCCTCTGCCTGTACCATTATCTATCCTGTATCCTAATTAAAGCTCGAAACCACGAACCAAGCTGTGCAGAGCATCAATTTAAACCTCTGCATGGCCTTTATGTTGCACAAACAGTAACATGTCAAGAAAGGAAATAAATATTTAACAGAAGATTTTTGCTAAATCCCAAAGATGCTGAACACGTTCTTCAGGATCTGAAACAATCTCAACAAAGTCATAACACATTGTTTGACTCACCAGAAATAATTTTTCCTCCTCCAGATTTTCTTCTTGATTAAAAATCTGATCTTCAAATCAAAAACAAAACAACAGTATGCAGCGGAGCGTCCTGCAGAAATCTGGGTGTGTGAATCCTATTGTTCTGTGTCCTGAGATGCTCACTACATGTAAAAGAGATGAGAGCAAGACAGAGGGAGATAAAGTGACCCGCCCTAGAGAGCAGCAGAGCACATTACTGGAGCTCTGGGGGCTTAAAAGGATGCTGTATTGACCTCCAAGCTCATACCAAGGCAGCAGTATATCATGTGACATGAGTGTGCTTCATGATGTGTGTGAGCTGCAGAGCAGTTAACACTATGAAAACAGCTTTTACAACTTTTTCATCTGGAATTTAGACAACAAATTAAGTCCACTACTGAAGCACGTCCAAACCAAGGGAAGAGCAGAGACAGAAAAAAATGTATATTCTTATGTGTTTCTGAAAATAAAAAATCCAGAAGACACACTTACCCCCGATCCAAATGCTGCTTTTCTTACTCTGGTTTTTCTGGCACGCGTGTGTAATATTTCTTAAGTCTCCTTTTTTGGTCCTTATTGTTGCTGTAGCGCTTCCTGTGTGTCTTATCAGCCTCTCACAAGTTTCATTTAATGAATGTGTATGTTTCGTGCAGCTGTGGTCCTGTGACTGGGTGTGTGTGGTTGCAGAGCTTCTGCCTTCAAGTGCAGTTTCCTTTAAGACTACTTCCCTTTTCGCAGTATTACAAGGCAGCAGACTTCAAACAGTGAGATGGTTTGAGTTGACACATGGGTGGCATAAATAATTAAAATGTCATGCCAGAGCAGTAAAACTTAATCTGTGTTAATGTGCAGTCTGGTGCATCTTAATCAATGTGTTTCTGTTTTTAAATATGAAGTTTAAGTGCTTTCTATTCAAAACTTGACTCCATGCACAAGAATATAAATCTGGACACTCCAAGATAACCCGTCAAAATAAAGTTAAATAACATTAAAATCAAATGTAAGCAACATTAAAAATATTTAAAATTTGAGACAAAAATAAATTCTTAATACTGCTTTATTTTTTACATCACTACAGAAAACATATCTGCATGAGGAGTGAAATGAATGATAATAACACTGTGTTTTGCATAGTTACAACTGTAGTGTATATTCATTATTATAAGAAAAAAGCTTGGTGAAGCCACCAACAGCACAGCTGCTGGAAATATTCCATGTGAAATTATGGTTTGCCATAATCTGATTGAACCAGGCGCGTCACACCCGTGGGTGCTACGGGTGTTCAAACACAGAAACATGATTCTATCATTCAGTTTTATAGTAGAACATTAACTTTGTTCTTGCATTCATGCCATGTACAGTAAGTGTCCGTTTACGTAACCTACAGCTACTTGTTTGATCTTTAAATATTTTTTTTAACATGATCTCATCACTGCTGTTTGTTCCGTTTGTTCGTGACAGGAAGTCACACCAGACATCGGGGGGGCTGCTCCACCCCTGGCATCGGCCCCTCAAACTCCCAGTTACAGTGTTAAGTTTCCAGCCTTGACAGTTCAACGTGTCTTCTCTCTGATTAACAGTTAGATCTTTTTGACTCTTACTAGACTGAATCATGAAACAAGCAGCAAGTCATGACGAAAACCAACAGCAAAACAAATTCTACAGTGGTAAATAAACTTATTGTCATCTCCTTGGAAACGAAGATGCAGTAATCACATGACAACTGACAAAACTGAGGACATTTATCCACCTGTCAGTAGCAGAAATTAAGAGTGAATGAATCAAGACTTCAATCAAGAGAAGGCAAAGAAAGTTATCATCCATCTAAACCACAAGCTGTCCTCTGACATTAAGGCAGGATGGATAAAGTCTAAAGAAAATTCAACCTGAATGCTTGAATCTGCTGGGATGAACTGAGCAAGTAAACATTCAATCACCACTGCCTCAACAAATACTAAAGTGCAGCTCTTGAGCAAGGCACTCTCCACTTCACGGATCATAAGAATCACTTTACGTTCCATCAGAATTATATCACACATTAGGAAAATGTGGCAAAGGCGATCAAACTGAAACAGATTCCTGCTGCGGTAATGATCGTTTTAATACAACTCAGAATAACATGAGGCAAAGTTTGAGAGTCAATGAGCTGGTAATTGACTTTTTATTAGAAAAGAGAAATCCACACACAGTTAATTAGTCTGGTGAATTACAAATGTTTCTATGGCTTCCTATTCAGTCCAGTTGTGTAAATATATTTTCTCAAATATAAAACAAAATCCTCACATCATGTCATATCTCATGTATCATAATACGCTGCATGTGTTTGGTCTGTGAGCATGATATTCACTTTAGTTACAGGAAATGAGCCAGTTGATACCAGCTGCATGAAACCAATTATCGAGGATGATAACGATAAATAATAAGTGAGCAAGGTTAAGATGCTTTCTGATACAGACCCCTGTACATGTGCAACACCACAAAAACATCCATCAGACACAAAAAGCTCACACACACACACACACACACACACACACACACACCCACACACACACACACACACACACACACACACACACACACACTAAGGTCTGCAGCAATCTACAGATTCCCCCTTTGAGCACTCTGTAGGAGTGATGTTAAATGGAGAGCTGGAAATACTCGACCCAGAGGGAATCACAAACGAACCTGACATGAAAAACCATCAGCCAGGGGGAAGGAAAACAATAATTACATGGTAATATCTTTTCCTTTATAGCCTATTCATGCTTCATTGAATTTATATAAAACCAAAACGCAGGGAATGAACATAAACTCGTTGCATTTTACTCTGACTACGTCTGCGTTGGTGCAGAAACCAACAGTGATTTACAGCACATTTTGTTGTTGCACAGTACACTGCTCTGGTCCTAGCTCTACAGTAGATTTTATTCCGAAGAATGATGAGGAGCATGTTTCCAAAACAGCAGAAATATTCGTTGCTCTACTGATTTAGTGCTGGAAAAAAAAGAAACACTACTAAACAACAACAAAGTAAACCCAGAGATGTCTGGTATATCTCTAAAAGCGGCTCAGTCACAGTGAGTTTAAATGTTTGAAGGCAGATTTGTAACTAGTTTCAGTCGATTATTAGGTCGATTCTGTGTTTTGGTCCAAAATATTCCACAACCCACTTGTTGTGATATTCAGAACTGTGCAAAATTAGTTAATCATTCAAACAGGAAGGGATTCCCCTGTGGCGTCTCATTCAAGTTCGGTCACAGAGGACCATGGCCACACCAACAGCAGAGTCTGCGTTCTGCCTGTACACCACCGGCTGAGGAAACGCCTTCTCCACTTCCTGTCTCAGCACCTCATTGCGAGCGAGTGCGCTCCCGCTGCCCACGATCCTGCTGACGCCTGCCTGCTGCAGACGCTCGGCAGGCATCATCGAGGTGATGTTGTCCAGGACTCCGCGACACAGCGCCCTGGTCACATGACCCAGAGAGAGATTGGAGGCGGAGATGTTGGTGACCTGACCGAGGCAGAGAGGGCTGTGTCTCTCTCCCAGGATGGTGGGACTCACCCTCAGGTCACTGGTTTCCTGGTTCAGGGCGCAACCAATCAGCTTCTCATATAAGTATGTGTCACTCAGCTCAGCATCTGTGAGGGGGGGGGGGGGGTTATTTATACATCACTTCATCATAATCAGTTCCTTTACTTACACTTTGTCCATCTGTGATTAATCACTTTGCTCATTGTGGTCTGTGTCTGTGGATTAACTCGTTTCAAATGTACTGACTGACAGTTCACGCTCTCCTCACATGAGCACTGCTCTCTCTGCGCCGCCATTGGTCGTTGCTTTCCTTGTCAGACTCAGTGTCTGATCTGAAGTGTCAATTTTCCTCGAAACTATTCACCGAGCTTAGTGTCTGAATACAGCAGGGGTGGGAAATGGGTCGCGCAGTTACAGTATTTATAGCTTCAACAAGATTCAGGAGTTTTCAGGCGCGGCGCCATTTATCATCCAACTGCTCGGCCTGGTTTGCGTCTGACTGGCGGATTCAGTAAGTGAATGGCAGCGGCATCAGTGAAGTACGTTTCATCTGCTGAAACACCACCAGTAAATCTCATGCGTAGATAAATAAGCGTTTACAGCCGGGCCGGCAGCTCTGTGAAGCTGTACTTTGAGCTAAATGCTAATGTCAGCATTTCTGACATGCTCACTATGACAACGTCAACATGCTGACGTTCAGCAGGTATAAATGTTTAACGAGTTAGCATGCTCAACACAAAAGCAAAATCCAATAGTTGTTAAAACATTTCACTCAAAAACACAAGAGCTTTCAGACACACCCTCAGAATACAGACACTCAAATCAAATGACATGTAGCGCAATACACAGTAAGTAGTGAGTGATTTTGGACACATCCATTAGGAACCATGAATGTATATTAAAAAAAAAAAGTGAGTTTAGAGGAGCTTCACATCTGAGGTACGTTTGTATCTCGTGAAATATCAATAACATTCAGTTTCGTGTGATGATTGATAGTGAAAATAATAAAATAAAAACACATACCAAGCTCTTTCATCCAGGTGGTGAGCATCTTCACAAAAGTGGCCAGTACGTTCCCTCCGTTGAGCGACGCCGCCACTGCCAGGTACGAGGAGTCAAAGTAGGGGAAGTAGGAGATGGAGGAGGCGGGATGAGGAGAATCTGGAGGTCTGAAGTCAGCTGGCATGGCGAAGGTCAGCTGGGCGGAGGTGCTTATGTTAAGAACTGGGAATGTTGGAGACAGATACAGTACAAGGTTTGACAGTGAAGAGAAATTATTCTCATTTCCATCGCAGCTCTGAGACATGGGTGACATGTTTTCATTACATCTTCTTCATCTTCTTTCATTTAAACTGAATAAACTATGAGAGCACATGAGGGACGTCCTGCTTCACCTGCATCTGTCCGAGCTCTCATGCAGGAGTACACCGAGCACTGGAAGTCCCCCAGGGCGGCTCCCACTGGCGTACCAGCAGGAATACCATGCCAGTCAGAGCACGTCTTTCCTGCCAATCCACCAGATGGCACACACTGAGGAAGCAGGGTCACAGGGAAGCCGGCCCCCTGCAGACTAGAGCGAGCACACACAGAGTGGCTTGTTACGTAGGTTACAACATAACAACTCTGACACTGTAAGCTTGTAATTTAGCACTTGATGTTTCTTACTAAGAACATGCTCTGCTAGCTTTAGCACAGACCTGAAGCATTATCAAAACAGGAAGTTAGGCTCTTTACATACATGTCTATGTTCCACTGGTCCGTGGAAGTGTTGAAGAAACCCCAGCTGGCTGCGTTCTGAGGCGTCATCACACACCCGTCCAAACCGCACAGCATGGACACCACATAGTCCTGGATGGTACCTGCAACTGTGAAGCCTCCAAGGAACTCAGGTCTGCGATGAAACCATACAGCTCCAGGTTTTACTTTCACATCACACAAAAGCAAGTGGAGCCACAGGCTTCATACGGGCCGTTTGTGCTGACCTGTGTTTCATGTACCAGAGGATTGTTGCACAGCCGAACCCCGTGGCTACACTGAGATGTGAGTCTGGTTTTGGGAGGGAGGACAGGAAGTCACTGCTGCAGCGTCCGTCCTGCCAGGTGATCAGCTGACTGGTGTCTCTGGCTGTGAAGAAGTCTCTGTTGGACCAATCACAACCTGTGAGGGGACAGAGACATGAAGAAACAGACAGCAGACCTTTTCCCCACACAAAATAACTAATGTCTGATTCAGTGGTTTTGGTTTTATTTTTGTTTTGAGACAAAAACATCCCGGTAGCATCAGATTTTCTCTGGTCTTTATCCTTTTTAAAATGTTAGCGTGCAGCCAGCAGAGGGCAACATAGTGTTGAAAGTGTTTATCTTCTGATTTAAGTGCCTCTAACTGACCAGTTCCTCAATCCATTTTTTAAAAAGCATGTTAAAAGTCATCAGTATGACAGACTGGGAAAGCAGCATAATTCAGCAGAGTAGAAACACAGCCCTCTTCCTGCTTTGTCCATTACTGGTAAATGTTTTTAATTGTTAGTAATTCACTAATGGTCTGAAAACAAAACTAATCATATGATCACAAGTCAGCTTGTAATTAAAAAAAATCATTCAATCCTTTGTAATAACAGGGACCCTCACAGATGAGAGTGTGATGCAGGAGGGGCCCCTTCCAGTGGCCATTAGATTAAGCAAGTATATAGATTGTGCAAATTTAGGGTTCCCAACATTAGGAGACTCTCATGTGAAAAGCTCTCTGACATGGGTTCCTGACTGCTCCAGAACCGGGAGCCCCTTTATTACAATTACATTTTTAATTAGCGTAATCATTTTTGCTCTTCCCATGTCATCTGCATCACTGTGGCTGAGGCCAGACAACAAATTTCATGTTTTCAACAATAAAAGTAAAAAATCTAAACTGCACTATTTATATAATAAAACTATGATACATAAGTGTTTTTAATGATGTTACTTTTGCACATGAGGAGGAGGAGGAGAGAGACGGTGCATTTTCATTCCTAAAACAAAGTCCTGGCCTAAAGCTAACGACAGCACATCACTCCCAGGACTCTGTTGATGTTGCCTCCACAGACACAACCTTCTTCACCTGATGTTATTGGTTAACATAGGTTGAGGTGAGCTGATGTAAGCACATGTGATATTTTGTTTTACAAGAAGAGATTGAATTTTGATATAAGAATACAAAGAAATTGATTTTTTAGCATAAATTGTTAAATAGAGGCACAATATGAGCAGAGATGTATTTAAATATATATATGCCACATAGTCTGACAATTTACCCTATACATTCTGTACTTAACCATTTATAACTGTATTAAAGTGAGGAGTAAAGATCTAAAGATTGTACATTTGTGCACAAGAATTTATTGTTTAGTTTAATATAGAAAATTAGTGACTGTGATGTTCTGAGGCCAAGAAACTGAGGTGAAAGTAAAAAGTGTATCTATTGTTATAAATGGAATTACTAACATTTTGCATATTTTATGTGTATTTCAGGCCCGTGTGCCAACAGATCCACTTGCTCTGAAGATAATTCACCAATCAGCATCCATCTGTTTTTTTCTCCTCTGACTTTTTCACTCTTCAAATGAATTAACGAATGAAGGAATCAGTGTCTCTGCTCCTCAGACTGCTCCTGTGTCTCAGAGCCGGTGTTACGCAGTTTACCACACGTTGTTGTGAAATGCCACAGCGCGCAAAAATACATAGTACATACATACACACATACAATGCAGGAAGTTGTCTTACCGCTCTCTCGTTTCCAAAATAAAACCCCGTGCATCTGTCCGGACAGCCCGATGCTGCTGACATGCTGCAGTTTGTCTCTGGGCAGGAGGCCGATGCACCGATTCAGAGCGTCTATGATCCGCCCAGTGTCCTGCTCTTTAGCCTGAAAACGTAGCCAGGTTACACACAGGAGACACGCGCCTTCATATTCCCGGGCTGCAGGGTGAAGTTGTTTGACACGTGAACGCACTCACCTTTATCTCGCTACTGTCGATAATATCGGACGTAGTAGGTAAAACGTGGCTCGCAGTCACCGCTCTGGTGTCAGTTTCTAATAGAACTGCTTTTACCGAGGTGGTGCCCACATCTAGACCAAGGATATGGGTCGACATTACTGCTGATGGCACTATGTGTTCCTCCACGATCCTTTCAACAGTACGGCATCATCAGAGGGTAAAGTCAACACAGTTGCCTTTGAGTCAAAACAGAAAATTGGAAGTTACTGTATTAGTCGGTTGTAATCATTCCCAGCCGATAACTGCTATAAATAACCTGGGTGAAACGGGAAATAATTGCAAAAAATGACGGCTTGTCCTAACTAGAAATAAATACTTCAATGCCACGTCTGACCAATTGGTGGAATTTCTTTCTAACTATTCACTTTGTACATTTCACTGCCATGGCACACCTGAATGGAAGTAAGTCATTACTTGTTTCATTATTTACACATATCCACCCTCCTATGACAAATCAAAATATTCAGATCCAAAACAAGAGATTGTCTGTTTCACATATAAATGTTATCCATGCTACAGCTAAAACTACAATATGTCACTGAAACAAGGGCACACATACAGTATATTCCATTATATTAAACAATTTATAAACTACATTCTGGGATTAAAAAAAATGTATAAAATCACTGAAAGTATCCCTATGTATATTTTTGAGAAATCAAAACTAATTAATTACAATAGTAACAGCATTTAAAATTGCTTTATTTTTCTGTTTTTACCAAGAACAGCGTTGAAGCTTAAAGCGGCGTTTCCCTATTATGAAGTGAGAATTTCCTACTCTTTTCTATGCCTAGAACACACCATATTGTCGCCTCCTGTTTGATGATTGCCTTGCTCCCACAATGCACCGCAGAGTAGCATGGCTGACTTTGATTTAGGAGTGTCGTCCAGACGAGAATGAATGTGCTGTTTCGGTGCTGTACCAACTAACGTTACTTTAAAAACAACCGACTGTCCGCGTGTGTGAAGTAAATCTCACAGATTATGTTTTTGTGATCGCGTGGTGAGGAGCCCACGAGTCCCTGCGTTTATCTCCGGTGAGAAGCTGTCATCAGTTGCCGTTAGCGAGCTTCCTGCTGAGCTAACGGTGTTAGCATATTAGCATCAGCACCGACGAGTGGTCAGATAAAGCAGGTTAATGTGCAGTTTAACTACCCAGAGCCGTGCAATGTTCGGTTTAATTTAATAATTAGCTTCTCTTGCCTAGAGCTGTGTTCGTTATTGTCTCTCTGTGTCGTTGTATGCCTTGCTTTTATCACCGCTACAAGGTTTTAAATATATTTAGCAAGGTTGCTTCATTGTAGTTAGTAGCTAAGCTAACATCGACCAATGCCTACTGACAGCTTTGCTCTGTCTTTTCTCTCGTATTATGGGGTTTTAAAATATCGAGGCCTCTGTTGCTTTAATCTCTTAAACAAGTAACGTTACAAATTAGCGTTTCCAATGTAGAAATACCCTGGTGTACGACTAGTGAATTAATTGGCACAAGTATTAATATCACAATGTACAAATACTCTATTACGAGTATTCGCCCTGCATTCAAATTCTTATTGAAATAAAAATACTATCCCTTTCAGTGTTATATATCATTGTATTATCATTATTACGGATACAGTAAGTGTGTAACCAGCCTTTTTTTCATTTAGCTGGTTGAGTTTAACACCATAATTTACTATTGGCTAGTTCAGTCTGTAACAAGACAGTTTTATTTATTTTGTTGTATCATAGGTCTTGTTGGTCTTTTGTTTTCAGCAAGAGCTCTCTACAGCTGTGAAATAAATGTAATGGTACAAGTAAAATAAAGTAGTCAAGCAGAACAGCGTGAAATGAAAGTAAAATAAAAGTACTTCAGCACTGTATAAGTGTTGTACTGTAAACATGTCTGAATCTTCCCCGTTACAGCAGCAGCTTCCTGTGACAGCAGACCAGAGCCAACATGGCAGGAGTTGTGGCCAAGCGTGAGGGACCACAGTTCATCAGTGAAGTGGCAGTGAGGGGCAACGCCGCCGTGCTGGACTACTGCCGCACCTCTGTATCCGCTCTGTCGGGAGCAACAGCTGGCATCCTGGGGCTGACGGGACTATATGGCTTCATTTTTTATTTCCTCGCCTCATTTCTCCTCTCTCTGTTGCTCATTCTCAAGGCCGGGCGGCGGTGGAACAAATGCTTTAAATCGCGGCGGCTGCTCTTCACCGGAGGCCTTGTCGGAGGTCTTTTTACTTACGTCCTATTCTGGACTTTCCTCTACGGAATGGTGCATGTGTACTAAAATGATCTGCCACAAAAAAAACATGAATTATTTCTTTCTAATCCCACGTAAACCAATAAAAATTGTCTGCCCTGCTGTTTGTAGATAAGCCATTAGTGAAAGACTTTTGATTTTTCGATCATGAACAGTTGATATATTGGAGGATGTGTCAATAACAACCATATGCAGAACAACCTTTCCCCTTTTTGTTCCTGCTCCACACTAACCTGTGACTTTGAACTTGTTTAACCTTTAACTCCTGCTCTGTGCACAGTCATCTATACCAGAGTTATAATAATGTAGGCTGTAGAGTAACAGATTACATTTCATGTACGATACAATGGTTAGATTATAACTAATGTGATGACTGATTTGAATAAATACCTCTATACAAGTTGTTTGTTTACATTATTAATCACTTTATCAGGCAGTGTCACTGTGACAGCAAAACAACATGACAGACACATTTGTTTCCAACAATAAAGAATATTCAATAAATAGAAACAGGAACAACAAACAGGAAGGGATTCCTCGCACTTCAATGTCCATTAACCATTAGCCTGTATGTCACCAGTGAACGCGTCCACTCACAGCAGACTGATGGCACGACACTGCATTCCTTTGTTGTGGATCTGATTGTGTTGTAGCCATTGCATGGCAGATATCAAAGTCACAATCAGCACAGCCAACTCAACACAGAGCGGGAAACACATCAGCAGTGTTTGACAGTATGTTCAAATGTCTGTCATAACACCGGGGCATGATGCATCCAGCTGAAATACGAACAAATAAGACCGTTCACATTTTCTTACACATTGCTCAAAGGTGCATTAAAAAAACAAAACATAATTTCTCTCATGACCCAACATTTAATTTAGAAGGTATTTTGCAGAATTCACTTCATTTTTTATTTTTCAATGAATCTATCATGTCTAGTATTATAACTTAATCCATAAAATGGCATGACATCAAAACTAAGGCCCGTCATATATTACTCAAACTGGAAATGGTGCTTAATTAGTCTGGTCAACAGCTGATAAAAAAGTATTGAATTTGCAGTGCATTCAGAAAGTCTTCAGACCCCTTCACTTTATTCAAAGCCTTATGCTAAAATAAAAAAAAATTTTGTCCCTCATCATCGTTCTACACTCAATATCCCACAATGAAAAAGTCAAAACAATTAAAGAATTTTTTTAATTTATTATAGAGAAAAAACTGAAATATCACATTGACATAAGTATTCAGACACTTTGCTATGACTTGAAATTTAGATCAGGTTCTTCCATTTCTCTTCATCATCTTTGAGATGTTTCTGCACCTTGATTGGAGTCCGCCTGGTAAATTCAGCTGATTGGACATGATTTGGAAAGACACACACCTGTTTATATAAAGTCTCACAGCTGACGATGTATATCAGAGTGAAACCCATGAGGAGGAAGGAACTGCTGCAGAGCTCAGAGACAGGATTGTGTCGAAGCTGTAAAAACATTTCTGCTGCATTGAAGGTTCCCAAGAGAACAGTGGCCTCCATGATTTTTAATTGGAAGTAGTTTGAAACAACCAGGCCTCACCCTGGAGCTGGCCGCCCAACCAAACTGAACAATCAGGTAGAGGGCCTGGGAAATAGAGGTGACCAAAAACCTGATGGTCACTCTGGCTGAGCTCCAGAGATATTTATCACTTAGTCACTTTGTGTAGAAGAAAATGAATTTAAATGATTTTATGATTAAATGATTTTGACTTGAGGATGCAATATAACGAAATGTGATACAGTGAAAGGGTCTGAATACTTTCTGAATGCACCTTATGACATGAAACAGATAAAAAGAATGCATTTCTAAAGCAGTAACTGGCATATATTTGGCAATTCACTAAAAGTCTTAGTCTTATGTCACTCTAAGTGCATCAGCATTATCACAGTACTTTTGTATATCATTATTTATGGACCTGTTGTAATCTCCCACATTCCACCTTTGGTTCCTGACCCAGCCACTGAAAATCTCCCTCCTGTGTGTCTCTAAATCAGTGTCCTGGCCCACAGTGCAGAACATGGACATTTCCCTGGACCAACACATTTTCAGTCAAGGCAAGCATCACTCAGGATAGTGGGATGCCAGCAGTCGTGCCAGGAGGTGAGCAGTGGACCTCAGTCCGACTTTTGGTTCCATCACCTGCAACATAACCGAGACCACTGCGGGTGATTTGTCTTGCTCTGCCTGCAAACTTAACTGTGTGGAGAGAAAGTGATATGATGCCTTGGCTCTGCACCTTGAGTAGAGAGAATGGCCGAGTATCTCTGTCCTGTGTTGCGTGGAATGGTGGGACCCCGTCTCTCCACTGATGACTCGCTCTCTCTGGCGGGAGAAGACTCGTCAGCGGGTTCAGCTTCCTCTGGCTTTTTGACAGAGTTGCCGGCCCCTTTCTCTGCAGCTGGTTTCCTGGATCTCTTCTCCCGGGGTCCCGCCTTTCCGTCCTTGTGTTTGGTCCGGTCTCTCCTGATACACACAGTATGAGAGAGATGTGCCAACAAATGTAAAAATCAAGTTTTGCAAAATTATTGATTTTTAAAGGCCCCATCCATCATGAAGTGTATAAATACAGTTAGTCATACTTGAAGTTGATGATTTCAAACTTCCTCTCTCGGTAGAAGGAGCTGGTGTTCATCATGTACAGTAGAATCATATCACATGCAAAGGCTCCCTGAAAGGAAAAAAATATATCAACTTTATTTTCACCAGCTGCTGAGTCATTATTTTAGTTACTGATGGTCATCCATTAGCCTCTAATGGCATAATAATATGACATCTTGTGTAATTAAGTCCATTCAATAATTACACACCAATTATCCAATTACACATCAACATAATATTTCAGTAAGTTACTCACTATACCCAGCAGAGCAACACCCGAACCAATGGCAATTATTGTGGGAACAATATTGAATTTCCCAGCCTGCAAATCAACGACAGAGAGTCACGCACGTCTATCACTGAAATCATGTACTCCTCGAGAAAAAGAGTGCTCACATCACTGCTGTACCTGGCCATTGATCATTATATCGAAGCGAATTCCATAAACTTTGTACAAAGTGCGATAGGTTTCACCATTTTCATCCTTGTAATACCTGGCATATCTGTAGGGAGGGGAAATCAGTTCATTTAAAGAGTAAGAGATGAAAATAAGAGGTTGGACGAGCAGATTTATTTCCTGGCGAGTGCCTGAGAGGACGTACCTGAAGTTGTATCCTGATGTGACTGAGTTGTTCAGGTTCATGTCTAAACGGGTGAAGCTGTACTGTGGATTACACTGTGAAGAGTCTTTATCCAGGTCACAGTTCCACTCAATAAGAATACCAACAGACCCACCCTGAAGGACAAAACAGACACTTTGACAATACTAATAATAGTTATTATATAAACTCAGATGTTAATTCATGTTGTATATTTGGAGTTAATTTAAAAAATATATATATTTACAGGTTATGCAGTTAATTATTTACATATTTATGTTTATACAATTATTATTTACATATTTACAAGTTTAAATATTTTAGTGTGCATCTTTAAAAACAGTTACGGTAACGTCCTGAATCCATCTCTCTAGGTTTCCTCTTATTTACCTCAGTCTAAGTCCTCCTCAATTCTGATTGGTTAGTTTAGCGACATGTGACTTAGAAACAGGAAGTGTTGTTGTTGTTATGAAGTAGATGGAGTGTGGAGTAAAGTAAAACTGCTGTTTCTTTTATCATAAGTGATCCATACCACCACATATCCAACCCTCACATTACAATTATAATAATTATAATAATTATAATGATAATATACAGCATTTGTGCCCTATAACAAAACCAGGGATTACAAAGATAGGTACTTAAAAAAGAAAACTGATATTGATTGTTGAATTTTTAAGGCAGGTCACTCCACAGCTGAGGTGCCCAACTTTAGTCTTGCACCTCTTGAGGACGTCAGACTGTATGCAGGTTGACAAGCAGACAATAATTCAGGGATATAGTCAGGACATCTAATTTAATTGTTCTCTGATTCATCCCTTATGAGACATGACAGTAATGTAACATGAGGACATGGGAGTCTGTATGATGGTTTTAGTGTGTCTAAATCTCAGAATCAGAATCTCTTTCTAAGAACGGACAGCTTTATTAATATGCTGTTGGGAGTTAAGACAGGTATCAGTTCGGTAACAGTACACGGAGGGTTTTAGCAGAAGGCTCCACCCTCCGGTTGACGGTGGGTGGAGCTGGTGTGTTCTCAGAAATGCATGAAGATAACTGTTGAGCTTGAAGGTTGATTCTTTACCTTGGAAATAGCAGTTGGACAATAAAGGTCTTGCAGAGCTTTCAGCTCTATCTTGTAGAAGCGATGCAGCTATAGTATAGTATAGTATAGTATAGTATAGAATTTACTTTTTAACTCTAATATTTGATACTTGGGTCCCGTGATAAGAACTAAACATCTCCACGAGAGCTGAGCAGGTCGCATCTATTAATGATGGCTACATGATGTGACTGAAGCTCTGGAAAAACCAAGTGGACCTTGTGACAAGAGTTGATTTGTCGTAAAAACAGATTATTTTTGTATTTCTGCAAAACCATTGTGTTTTCCAATAAAAGGGAAATCCATTATCCACCCAAAAGCTACTGTTTGCTCATAAAATACAGCATACAGAAGCTGTGCTGTGGTCTGTTTGTTACTGCAGAACTGAATTGTGTTTCACCTTGATGCACAGAGATGCGCCTCTGTTTTGCTCCACACTATTTAATTTGGATTAATTACATATTTGCCCCAAAACCACAGAAACTTAACGTTTCAGTGGAAGCAGAACCCCACCCCTTTATAAAAGCAATCAGCTGTAGCACAAGTGTATTGTTCTACAGTTATTATTGTAATCACGAGCAGCTAAAACGGATTTCCATAATCCCTAGATTTTTATTATGGCTTATTATCAAATAACGGCGAAGAAGCCAGGAACTGACGTCACTCACACCCACAGTCTTAAGTGGCACATTAGTCAACTTCATACCTTAACAGCCATGTCCTGGAAGTCATGTCTAGTCCAGCTGACCAGATCTCCGAGGCGGAAGATAGGGCAGTAAGGATGGGTCTCTCTGTCGTACAAGCATCTTTTCAGGTAGTTGTCATCAGACGTTTCAAGGACGTTCGACCTTAGAGGTTAAGACGTGACAAACGTGCATCAAATGTCAGATTTTCATTGTCTTAATTTCACATTGAACATGAGTTTGTCCAGACACACACATAAAAAACACCCACTGAAGTTACAGTAAAAACCACTAACGTAAGTCGGTCTGCAGGATATGCAAAAAAACATCATATTGTAATTATTATGGCAGATATTGTGATTGTGATATGAGTCGCAATTTCAGTTGAAATGATCTTTTCTGCATTTAATTTTCACTGACAAAAAAAATGTAAATGATGATGTGATTTTTGTTAGGGCTTGTAGAGATAGATAGATAGATAGATAGATAGATAGATAGATAGATAGATAGATAGATAGATAGATAGATAGATAGATTTAATAACAAACAATAATAGTTGTAATAATTGTACCAAACAATCATGTTCCTTTACGTCTGGAGAATACGATGTGTAGGTCGGAGCGTCTCTGTAGCACCACAACACTTATGGTGCTGACACTGTACAACAATGTGACGCATTTTACCTTGATCAAAATTGGAATTGGAATTGGATATTGCACTTGGCCATACTGTGATTTTGATTAAATTTTGATGAATTGCGCAGCACTAAAAGTGAGAGTTTTGATGCACAGCAGCAGAAGTGCTGCAGTGGAACAGACTCGGAGACAGCTGACCCTGCCAAGTAAGAGCCACAGAATTCTCTCAACTTCTTATTTGGCTTTGACCTTTCAATCTTCGACACCGTTTCAGGCCAACATGAAAAAGCCCTCACACTGAGACTCCACACATTCTGACTGGACTGTAAGCTCAGATATGCAGAAGTCAAACCAAACCTTTGCACCCTCTGGCAAAGAGGACAGAGTGTGTGTCACACTGTAAGACGTGTAGAGTTGCCAGTCGTTTCAAGTGGAGCCCATTAACAGGGATTTCTATTACCTACCAATGCACATTAAGCATAACTACAACAAGATTACTGAGGAAACATAAGACAGATAGCTGTGTAGTTTGAATAAGATCCTGACTGATGAATTAGCCATGGCTTGTGGCATCTCTCTGCTGTCTACCAGGACGTGAACAGAAAGCAGCAGAGAGGGCAGCAGCAGAGCTCGCTGGGCAAGCCCCATCTGATCTGACACCTGTCCAGAGCAAGGCCCGCTGTCAAGGACGTCTCAGATGACTGTTTCACTGTCTCACTGAGTGCAATGCACAGGCTGGTATAAATAGAAGGCTCTCTTCACCCTAAAGCTATTTAAAGCAGCCACTGGAACACGTATATCCCTCAGCTCTCTCAGTGATCCGTGTCACGGCGCCTTGAATCCATCCAGCGATCGGCACCACTTACTTGGAGAATTCAAACTTTGGAAACCTAATGAAATTCTTGATGTAGATGGTGAAGTTTTCTGCTTCGCTCAGTAAGGGCTCTCTGAAAGTGAAAGAGACAGACAGGCAGCTGTGTGTAAAAGCTGACAGTGGAGCTGACAGGCTGCATTAGTAATAAATAGAACCTGTGAAATATCTTGGTCCCTGTGAGGGATCAGACTGAGTGTGAATGTAATGGCACAAAATGGCTAATTTCCAAAGTTCTGCAGCAGGGGAGGGATCCTCACGTGGGTCTCCTGCTGTGTTCAACAGGACACCAGGCGTGAATCTCACAGGTCCCAGTGCTGTTTAAACACAAGCCGGTCTTGATTCCTGACAAGAGAGCAAAGAGGATTTATTCCAAAATAATACACGATACACACATTTGGTAATGTGTGTATCTCATTAGCATTAGCATTTTTTAATTTGGTAATGTGTGTATCGTGTCTGATTGGACATGAGTAAATATCATATGTTAGAGCATGTTGTTAAAACAGAAATTATAAAGTCTGTGGAAGCATCTGGACCTGCAGATGAATATGTAAACTAATAATCGAGGTTAAAGCATGAAAACCACGATCCTCACCATGGCCGGCTAAAACAGTCTCCCCCTCGACGCAGTCATCATCACTTCGACATCGTCCATTCGGCACCTTGAAACTCTGTGAGGCAGAATAAAAGCTGCTGGATATGAAAATGCAATTCTGTGGACGATCTGGTCCAGATATTGGGATTGAAAAAATAATAAATGATAAATTAAAAAATGCTAATGAGATTCCTCTTTTTCTGTGTACTCACCTCAGCACAGAACCCCAGTCTCTGATTGGGGGTCTCTATGTAATTTGTTACTATGAAGAACACCTGCTCGCCCTACAAAATAAAATTAGGTCCAGACAATGAGATCGAAAAGCAAAAGGTTAAACAAATTACACTCCCCACGAAGTTCAATATTGTTAACCTGTTTAGACAGATGCTGAGGTTAATGACATCCACAGAGGCAGACGGTCAATAGCCTCATGATCTGTCTCGACAGCAGCGTAATTGGGGAGCGCTCTGACATCAATATTGGTGCTCTACCAGCTGAGATTGCCTTTTTTAACGTTACAGTGAACGATGGAGATGGACTGGTAGGTAAGGCTCACGTTTGGAGGTATGACGTAGTCCTCAGCACTCCACAGGTGAAGCCCTGACTCAGAGCTGTTGGTCAGTGTCACACCTTTAAGCTTGGTGATGACTGAGGTCTGGATGGCCTCCTCTTTCTCCTGGTACCCTTTCTTCACCACAAACACCCACCTGAGACAGAATCCATCATGTTTTAAAGTCTTGTGCTGAATTCATGTAAAAGTATCTCAGTATTATTATGTTTTTGGATTATTGAGTTTTTTTTAATTTTATATCAAAATGGGCACAGTGCAACAGTGCGATATTAGTGATCTCTTGTTGAGCAGCTTGCTTGTGACCATGTGGTCTGGGTTGACAGCACACACATTATAACTGTGTGTTCAACAGCATGTGGCAGATGGAAGGAGTCATGCTAATGTGTAAAACTATCCTAGATTACATCATAATATTTTGTGCATCTCCACTGGAACTATACTCAACTATTGAGGAACTGATTGGCACATACACAGAGTGTGAGAGCAGCATCCAATGAGCAAAATGAAAAATACCAAAGGTCTCAGCAGCGACATGGAAATAAAACCAGAGCACATGAACATGAGCAGTCCTTCCTCGGCTGCGTTACAGGCCATAGATCCAAATAGGATTTTACAAGCAGCCACAGCAGCAGCCACTAAATGTGTCAGTTCATCTTAACTTTGCTGAACCTGTGAGGTCAAACCAGTGGTTGGTATCAGCCCTCACTGCACTGCCCCGGTCACCTGTTGAGATTTCATCATTTCTTTCACATACACCAGTGTGACATCACACAGTGAAGGGTGGGGTAAGACCACCTGCTCTGTCCACAGCAGTTTGAGACATTAATGAATTCACCAACACAAACCTCTTCAAGACAAAACACATGGAGACCCAGAGACTCTGCCACTTTAACAGCAACACGAAGTAAAAACCGACAAGCTCAACTATTTTTAACTTGTGAATCACTTTCTAAAAGTTACTTTATACCATGTTTGTGAAAGGGAACATGCAATGCTCCTCACCCTATTATGTATCCCAGCACGGCCAGCTGATAGAGTCTGAATAATATTCCGATCTTCTTGTTTTCTGCGATGACATATTTCTCCGTCTTGTAGTTGAGGAGAGAAACGAAGAAGCCCCCCCAGCCTGCCATTCCTCCCGCACGGTGAACCCGACTGAGCCAGCAGCTCCCAGGCTCCAGCAGATATATACAGCTGGTTCACTTGTCATGCAACGGGCAAACCCACTGACAGAGGGGCTGCGAGACACCAACACAGTTTGATTTTTTTTTTGTAATAAAAAAATAAAACAAACCCACCCCCCACCCCACCCCCCAAAAAAAAACATGTGGATGAAATGTGAAAATTAAGTTTGATTAGATGTTAAATTCATTTTCAGTCATCACATCAGTTTGGGAGCGTCAGCCTCACAAACTTTGTATAATAGCTTTAATGATAAATCACTTATCTGTAGATGCACAATGAGTTTATGGAGACACTAAATATATTTGACCAACAGCACTGTGAATTTCATGACACGTCCCACTCTAAAACGATATTTATCACTGGGGAAACGCTGTATGTTGCAGTGCCGTTCAGACGGGGTGGGGGGGTCACACTGTCACTCTGTCACCCTTTCAGCTTCATGCAAATCAGCACTTCTTGATCCCAGGTCTTCTGACATCTTTTTATGAGGCATGGTTCATATCAGCAGATATTTCATGTGAACAGCTCAAATCAAAATGTTTCTGTGTTGTTTTATAAGTCAAAGACCCAAACCCAATTATTATTTATTTATTTATTTATTTACTTACTTTTCTGTTACATGTTGTCAACTGTCTGTTTTACTGGAGCTTCAGACCTGGCATCAAATCTTTTGGCAGGGTGAGATGCTGAGTAAAAAGTCTGTCGCTCGACCTCAGGATAAAGGTTCATGTCCAATGTGAGATCGACTTGAGCAACATGCTCCTATACTACACACTAGCTGTGGCCTCAGCAACTCTTTTTGCTCTTATTACTGGCTGTTTTTATCTCCGTTATATCTCCTCCATGGATCTCTGTATAATTTAGCACCCAGCAGTCAACACCTGCCTACCTGATAGCAGAAGCTTCTTCTCAAGGTAAAAGCATTCTGACCTTCTGTGGCACACCTAAAATAGGGTGACCACATTTAGGTGGTAAGATTCCTTTAATGAGTATCAAAATTATTTTGTTATTGTATATATTTATGTTTTCAATCAGAAGTCATATATTGTCTTGAGGTGCTCCGTTCATATGGGAAACTGGGGGCGGGGGGGGGGACGTTTGTGTTCTCATGAGTTGCTCCGGGGAACGGTTAGGGAGCGCAACCTCTGCTGTTTCCTCAGAGGCAATCTGGAAAGGAAACAAGACGAACTGTGTCCTCATTCCTCTGCTTTACCTGCTTTATACAGGTCAGTAAACGTTATGTTACGTTATATTGACAGATACTATGAGCGTGAGTGTTTGTGTAAAGTTTATAATCTGTTTTAATTAGTTATTTGTGTTTAAATGACATTAAAAAGTGGAAAAGTTTTCCAAGTTTTCAAGAAAAGTTTTTTGTGCCGAGCGCGACTGCAGTTGCACTAGTTAAAGTGGGAATAAGATATAACATTAAAACTCTGGTACAGGATGTAATTCCACCTAATGATGAGTTATGTGTGTTAACTATAAATATGTAACTTTGTTAAAAGTTACATATTTAAGGTTACAAATTTCATCTTTCATCTTTGTTTATCAGCCTGTTTCCGGGTAAATATAAGTTTAAAAAGGTAACACAAGCACTTTGTTTGGATACGCATTTCAGTGCTCTTTTACAGAAGCAAGATATGTAGTCTATTGTGTTTAAAGGTGTTTTATACACTGTAAAACTATACTATATGAAATGGTGTTTTGAACCAGTTTATACTGTGAAATGGACAAAGACAATGTAATGTATTTACAGAAACTGTTTATTGGTATAAATTTAAATATGTGTTGATTAGGAAAGAGAAGATGAGAGAAAATGTATGTTATTGAGACTGAAGTAGTGATTTAAGCAAGAGAAAGGCTGAATTGGGAGAATGTGAAATTGAACTACATAAAACTGAGATGAGGTAAAAAGATATGTATTGTGCTTATGTGACTGTTATGATACATGATGTTAAATAAATCATACTCAGAGGCAATCTGGAAAGGAAACAAGATGAACTGTGTCCTCATTCCTCAGCTTTACCTGCTTTATACAGGTTACATATTTGTTACCATGGTCTTCCATCCCTGGGACCCATAACACTTCTCTGGAGCCATCTGCTCTTGTATCAGTACCATGACCATAGCTGAGTTGATATACTTGTGGTGTTGCAACTTATGTGCAGTGAACCTGGAGCTGTGGAGCCTTAGTGGCACTGGAGCAGTTGCCTACTTTGTCTGGCTGGTACTTAATCCGTACTGTCATCACATACTTTTATCACAGTCACAGGAGAGATGAATGAGGACTTGAGTTTAGCTAAAACCTTCAGTTCTTTGTGAATTAGTAGTAAAAATGTCGCTATTTATTTAAGGTTCGGTACTGTGCAAAAGTTTTATCCACCACATAATACCAACGTAGAGCAGTTCCAACTTCATTCTTCCACAGCACGGGCCCAGACATACAGAACTATCTTCAGAGACAAAAACAAGGAATCCTGCAACAGACGGTGTGGTCTCTAGAGCCCTGATCTCAACATCATGGAGTCAGTCTGGGATCACATGAAGAGACAGCAGACAGTGTACTGAGGAGAACTGGTGGTGTTTTAAAGGCCAAGGGTGGTCAAAGTTTACTGCATTATTGTTGAAGTTAACTGATAAATAAAAAAATGTATAGCATTATTTTTCAAAAGCATCCTCGCTTTAGTGTCTAAAACTTCTGCACGGTTCTGTAAATCACAACCCTTTCATTAGCTCATTTTAGATGTAAAATCATCACCAACTCAACTCTGGATATCAGCAATGCACCTGCTTCAGACCATGATGCATATCTTCTGACAGATTGAAAACAACCAGTTCAAATGGGGTCTGTAAGAGGGCACTCACTTTAAACCACACATCTGTTCAGTGATAGTGGGAAACAGAGGGTGACCTCTAGTGGTTCAATGTGCCATTGCATGTTTCATTTAATAGGCTATGATCATACACAGTGGATAGAACCCAGTTACAGGGCTGTTTACAACTGTCCGTGCTCCTTTCCTGGTTTTATTTGGCCAGATTATCCAGATAAATGCATTAATTCATTAAAGCCGCTAATGTGGAATGATTTCAAACATATACAAATATAAATTACTTTATAATTCTATAACTATTATTAAAGTCTAATTTTTATGAATCCAATCAAAAATCTTTTAGATATATTTCATCTGAACATATAATGGTAACTAATGGTAATCGGATTTATCTCAGGAAACCCATCAGCTCTTGCAGCACTCACAGTCTAGACAAATGGACAAATGGAAAAACACTGTATAATTTAATTTCTCATTTTTTATTGGGTTAGGTTGTCATGTAAATCAAGTAAAAGCATGGAATGATTTATTGACCACCCCTCAGACGCAGGACAAGATGGAGGGTAGATTCTTTCTGGATGTTGTAGTCAGAGAGGGTGCGGCCATCTTCCAGCTGCTTGCCGGCAAAGATCAGCCTCTGCTGGTCTGGGGGAATGCCTTCCTTGTCCTGGATCTTGGCCTTCACGTTCTCAATGGTGTCGCTGGGCTCAACCTCCAGGGTGATGGTCTTACCAGTGAGGGTCTTGACGAAGATTTGCATACCACCTCTCAGACGCAGGACAAGATGGAGGGTAGATTCTTTCTGGATGTTGTAGTCAGAGAGGGTGCGGCCATCTTCCAGCTGCTTGCCGGCAAAGATCAGCCTCTGCTGGTCTGGGGGAATGCCTTCCTTGTCCTGGATCTTGGCCTTGACATTCTCAATGGTGTCGCTGGGCTCAACCTCAAGGGTGATGGTCTTACCAGTGAGGGTCTTGACGAAGATTTGCATACCGCCTCTCAGACGCAGGACAAGATGGAGGGTAGATTCTTTCTGGATGTTGTAGTCAGAGAGGGTGCGGCCATCTTCCAGCTGCTTGCCGGCAAAGATCAGCCTCTGCTGGTCTGGGGGAATGCCTTCTTTGTCCTGGATCTTGGCCTTGACATTCTCAATGGTGTCACTTGGCTCAACCTCAAGGGTGATGGTCTTGCCAGTGAGGGTCTTGACGAAGATCTGCATGTCTGCACCTGTGAAAAATGAGGATTCCACATTACTTATGCTCTTTAATGTAAAAAGGACAACAAAATTACATTACATGCATGACCATATCAAGAAGGTTTTTCAAAAATTTGACCAGCCTACTATGTAATAGTAGGCCATGTCAATTTGAAATACAGTATCTTACATCTACAGTTTAATATATGGCCCTTTAGTTAATAATTTCCTCTTGTCAAAGATATACACCATATTGTTAAATCGTATTATACACGTTTTTCATTTACACCCAGCCATTATTCGGTCACTATTGACAATTTTGTTTTACCACAAGCTGTAACAGTGAGCCAAGTCCTACTGTATCTCATGAACATACTGGTAGGAAGCCGGTGATTCGAGCACCAGCGCCATTTTAAAATAAGCTATTGTTGTTTGCCTTCGTTTTGTTCAGCTAACGTTACCCACTAATGGAGCATACAGCTAGAAATGTTGTACCATTGTTACTTGTTAACACTGGTAAATGTCTTTCTCGTTATTGTTCAAGATACATTAACTGACCGCTAGCACGCCATTGATAACGTAGGTCAAGTACATTATTCGTTTGATAAACGTTATTTTTCAATCTAACCGTCATTGTTTACCAAGCGGTTAGCTGCTAAAAAAGGAACATAAATAACAACAAATACAAAATAATGAAGCTACAAACTGATGGAGGAAGTACTACAGCAGATAAACTAAAAAATAATACTGCAAACATTTTTAAAAACGGAAGATTGTACTTACAATCACTTTCGGTTTTTGGCCCCGCTTTCCGGTATCAACACCTCCCTCAGACTGCAGTTGCCAGGGGGACAGGGTAATTTATACTGGACACACGTCATCGACCGATATTTCTCCGCAACCGAAAATAGTCCCCAGTTTTGGCCTACATAGTTTAAATATTGAGTTTAATCGTTTTAATTGTGGCACATTAAGCTGTATAGACAACAATGCAGTTTATCTCACCTAGGTGAAAGGAAAACAGAGAGTATGTAAGAATATTTTATTCCAACTTCAATATAAATAATACAGCTACCTCAGGATAACAAAAGGCTCATAGAAACTATTGTTTTAAGTGTATGACACATGACTGGCATGCTGTCACATGACTGGCATGCAGACAATCATAACACATGAGTCACATATGAACAAGACATGGGGAAACCTTAAGAAACGTGCCTTTACCAAATTAAAGAGAACTGGACAGACTAGCTACAACAGTTTCATAACACTTAAAAAGTTATGTTTGTTCTTAACTGGCTAAACAGGTCAAGTGCATATGATCTATTTTGGTTTTCAGAGTAGAGATGCTCTGTGAAAAAAACATATGAAACGGGTTGTTTCCATATCTGAATAAGTAAATAAGTAAATTCTTTGTCATACACTGATGCACTTGAACCAAAAGCATATTGTCAAGTCAGCAGTGCTATGAGATAAATGCCTTTTGGCAGGATAAACAGATGACACCAGATTATCCACATAACAGTGTTGAGCCAGTTTAGTTTTGGATTAGATGTTAAATACCACAGAATAATCCTTGTGCTCTCCGTAATCCACACTACATTCCTATAGTGCCATAACCTTAGCCTTTCTTGTGGTTTCAGATCAGTGGTGGAAAAAGTACTGGTGTCCTTTATTTAAATTAAGTAAAAGTGCTACACTCAAAATCCTACTTCTTTAAAAGTGCAAAAGTATTACCAACCAATTGTACTTAAAGTATCAAAAATAAATAGTAATAATAATAATAATTTTATTTATTGAGGCCCTTCCAGTAATAAGCACAAAGTGTTTTCAAAAGGTAAGACAATTAAAAACATAATCAACATTGAGGACAAACCAAGAAGTAAGTAATGAAAGCATACATACTATACATACACTCACACATACAAATATGCATGTCCACACACCCTATCAGCTGTTAGGAAAAGCCATTCCTTTAAAAGTAAGTATTCAGAGGGATTTAAAGGCAGCAACAGAGTCAGCTGACATGATGCTCAATGGAAGGCTGCAAGGGTTTAATCACTCTTTGTTTTTAACCTGGAGTCTGGAATAGTTTGAGGACCCAGACTAGCAGACCTGAGGGGCCTGTTCAGACAGTGAGGTGTAAGGAGCTCAACTACAGTATATTCTCCAGCGCCAGATCATTCGAATTCATATTCTTTCTTTTTTTTCTAATCTTTTCTTTTTTGTTAAATATTGGGTCGATTTAACTTTGGGGGCCTCAAACAGCTACTAAAATAAAACCATTTTATTTGGAGGGGAAATGTCTCTGGTGGAACTGTTAAAAATTCTTCAAAAACACCATAATGAGCTTTCTTTTGGAAGCGGTCAACAAGCCAAAAATGTTAGTAATTACTGGTTTAATCTTTAACAATCCATTCTGTATAAGTGTATGTTTTTATGCAAATCTTATTGTAGCTGTCAAATAAATGTAGTGGAGTATTATCCTCTGAAGTGTAGTAGAACAGAAGTACAAAGTAGAATGAAACAGAAATACTCTACTAAAGTACAAGTACTGATTAAAATGCAGATAACATTCTTGATCCTTGAGGGAAACCCTTTTTATTAAGTTGTCACTGTATATCACACATTGTCTTTCATGTCATCTGTTAGACTGCATGTTCTTAATGCCATCCTGACCTTTTCACACATACTGTTTTTCATGCCTTGTATAAACTAGCCTCAGCATGGTCAGACACAGGGTTCTTCTCTGCCTGCCACCAGGACATAAGACAGTCTACAGTCTGTTTGTACAGAAATATGATATCTGACATTTTCCTGTTTCCTCATGCTGAAAACATTTCTATCTTACTGAAAGAGTGCCTTTGTTCTACACAGTTTGCATGTACCAAGACCAAACCATGATAATGTTACCACGTAGCACTGTGTCTGCCCCCTCTCAAAGGAAATCATATTTGTATTTTATATTTCCTTGTTATGCCAATGTTCTTGTATCAACTACACAGCACAACCTTTCCCCTACATGTGATGTTGGTATATTTCCTCCTCCCCAGTTGGTCCCTGAATCCTCCTTCAGATCCCTAATTCTGTTTTGTCAACAGATGGCGCCACATCCTCATGAATAAAAACGTCCTCAACCTTCTGAAGACTTCTGTAGACTCAGAAACAGGCTTCTAGCTTAATAAACCCTCTCCAAGTGATCCATGTAACTGGCCTTACTGCTGAGTGTACAGGCCCGCAGACTATCTCTGAAATGACTCAGCATTTAAAGAAAAACAGTAATGATATTTAATGCAACATAAGTGACAGGATGGTGTAAAAAAGGTGTCCACTAGAACCCTGTAAACTAATTCACCATTTCATTCATTGATGAGACACATGATTGTATTTCTAACATACCCATTATTAATCTCCAGATCTAATACATATACACATGCATACATTTATGTGCTATATCACAATGTGCTGGCTTCTTAATAAATCAATGGGCACCATTATCTACTTACTGTGCTTGACATGGAAACTCATTATGAGCACTGATTTATAAAAATGCTGGTTTGATTATCTTTCTTTAAATTATGCTCGTTACAAACAGCATTCAGCTAAGGATGTGATTTTGGTGTAGACATGACACAGTAAGTTTCCCCTGTAGCACTTTATCCTGCTGGGGATCTGTCAAAGGTTACTGATAACAGAAGTACCTCTTTTGAGTACTTGCACATAAAAGATTTCATGTGGCTTCCATGGCAGCAGTACTACAAAATTATTACAGAATCAAAGCAGCTTATTAAGAATGAAAGTGGAAATCACCTCTTTATTTTATGATTTATATTAAAACAGTGGTGAATACTACTCGGCTCCCAAGGTGTCTTTATTTTGCAGGGCATTTTCTCAAAGAATAAGCCAAGATGGCTTAGCCCCAACATGCATTTTCCCCAGTTCATGTAATTTGGCAGTTTAACCATTATCATACTTTATATGTGCATGTTAAAATCTGTAGACAAATGCACCTGCTGTATTAGAATTAGAGACAATATTAAGAATTAAGAGTTTCCTGCACCTTTACCAGGCACAACCATGCTGTGACAGAGACTTCCTTACTATCCCTCCATAATACCATGTGTGAATTAAGTTTTACCCAATTAGCTTCTGTCCTGCTATACTGTATCTCAACAGTGGATTAGCACAAAAACTGAACAACACCAAGTTAAGGTTCACCTTTTATTAACTGATGTAGACACATTTTTGGTCACGCAAGAGATTAAAATTTTGTAACATTTTTTTTTAATACAGCATGGAGGACATAAACTTGCACAATAACTTGAGGAAACAGACAGTTAACATGGAATTGTGAACCAGTTTACTGCCCGCCCCTCAGACGCAGGACAAGATGGAGGGTAGATTCTTTCTGGATGTTGTAGTCAGACAGGGTGCGGCCATTTTCCAGCTGCTTGCCAGCAAAGATCAGCCTCTGCTGGTCTGGGGGAATGCCTTCCTTGTCCTGGATCTTTGCTTTGACATTCTCAATGGTGTCGCTGGGCTCAACCTCCAGGGTGATGGTCTTGCCAGTGAGGGTCTTGACAAAGATCTGCATCCCTCCCCTCAGACGCAGGACAAGATGGAGGGTAGATTCTTTCTGGATGTTGTAGTCAGACAGGGTGCGGCCATTTTCCAGCTGCTTGCCAGCAAAGATCAGCCTCTGCTGGTCTGGGGGAATGCCTTCCTTGTCCTGGATCTTTGCTTTGACATTCTCAATGGTGTCGCTGGGCTCAACCTCCAGGGTGATGGTCTTGCCAGTGAGGGTCTTGACAAAGATCTGCATCCCTCCCCTCAGACGCAGGACAAGATGGAGGGTAGATTCTTTCTGGATGTTGTAGTCAGACAGGGTGCGGCCATTTTCCAGCTGCTTGCCAGCAAAGATCAGCCTCTGCTGGTCTGGGGGAATGCCTTCCTTGTCCTGGATCTTTGCTTTGACATTCTCAATGGTGTCGCTGGGCTCAACCTCCAGGGTGATGGTCTTGCCAGTGAGGGTCTTGACAAAGATCTGCATACCGCCTCTCAGACGCAGGACAAGATGGAGGGTGGACTCCTTCTGGATGTTGTAGTCAGACAGGGTGCGACCATCTTCCAGCTGCTTGCCGGCAAAGATCAGCCTCTGCTGGTCTGGGGGAATGCCTTCCTTGTCCTGGATCTTGGCCTTCACGTTCTCAATGGTGTCGCTGGGCTCAACCTCCAGGGTGATGGTCTTGCCAGTGAGGGTCTTGACAAAGATCTGCATACCGCCTCTCAGACGCAGGACAAGATGGAGGGTGGACTCCTTCTGGATGTTGTAGTCAGACAGGGTGCGACCATCTTCCAGCTGCTTGCCAGCAAAGATCAGCCTCTGCTGGTCTGGGGGAATGCCTTCCTTGTCCTGGATCTTGGCCTTGACATTCTCAATGGTGTCGCTGGGCTCAACCTCCAGGGTGATGGTCTTGCCAGTGAGGGTCTTGACGAAGATCTGCATGCCTCCCCTCAGACGCAGGACAAGATGGAGGGTAGATTCTTTCTGGATGTTGTAGTCAGAGAGGGTGCGGCCATCTTCCAGCTGCTTGCCGGCAAAGATCAGCCTCTGCTGATCTGGAGGAATGCCTTCCTTGTCCTGGATCTTGGCCTTGACATTCTCAATGGTATCGCTGGGCTCAACCTCCAGGGTGATGGTCTTGCCAGTGAGGGTCTTCACAAAGATCTGCATGTTGTCAACTATGTCGAAATGAGATAAATAAAAAAAATACTTAAAAAAAAAACATAAACTTAGTAATGGTGTGACATCTGATTTTACACATTCACATCAGATTTAGTCATCAATATCAAGGAACCATTGTATGACCCTCCATATAAATATAACATGTACCGATGACATCATGACTATAACGATTAATGTAAATTAAGGTCGGTTTAAAGTTCGATGGTGGGTCGTGTCACTAAAGCTAAAAACATTTCAACAAAAGTGTTATAATACAAATTTAAAATGTATAGCTTGTTATTGTCGGCAGCTCAGCCGCCATTCCAGTCCAAGCGCCATTTTGAGATCATATTGACCCTCCTTTTGTTCAGCTGACGTTACCCGCTAATGGACGATACTGGAAATGTTGAGTCACTGCTGTAGCTAACATTAGCTAACCACTGCTGTGTTTCGGCTTCGACGTCGACGACTTGATTCGCATTAAAAGATAAAATAAAATAACACAGTAAAACTAGTTGATTTTACTTTAAGATTTAACGTCAATTTGAGACAGATACCACCGTTGACGCTTTTTGAGCGAAGCTGTAAAACCGTTACACTTACACAAAATAGGCTACCAATAACACCCACTTTATGAATAATTCAAAGTGTAATAATAACATAGCTTGAAACAAGACAAATTTGGTACTTACTGTGCGGAAACGCTGTGTATAATCTAAACTTTCCTCGCGTAAAATAGCTCTCTGTTGGATTTCCCGACGAACAGTAGCTGCAGTACAGACAAACACTGTATTATATACCGAAGTCTGCCGACGTCATCTGACAATATCCCTCCGCATTTAAAAGTAGTCCCCACGGCTGTGAAGCACACAATTTCAACATACAGAATCATACAAAACAATATATTCAATATAATAATCATACGTTTACTCAAAACGTAAAGATTTAGTCAAAAATGTTATGATTAAGAACGATGTTTTGATATATTCTCCGTGGCGGAATAATATCTGAATACACTCCGGTTCTGGCTCTAGAATTTGCTAGAACCACCACAGCAACAGGAACCTTGCCCGAGCTTCTGATTGGATGGCGCAATTGTTTGTCTGTTCAGCGATTGGTTGCTGTGTTACAGTAAGTAATATGTTTGATGACTAAATTATGGGATCATAATACAGACCCATTCAAGGAATATACAAGACCTAAATAGACAAAATCTTGTATGATATGAGGTTATGACAGTGCGACCTGCTTGTTACACACACGTAGACTTTGTCCGATCTTTTTTTTCTCCAAGAAAACAAAACATCGTACCCATTGTCATAATAAGAACTCATCGAGTCTATGTATTTATGTGACTGGCACACAAGAGGGACATGTGCAGACTGGAATTCCGTTGATCTGCATGAAACGTGCCTGTTAGCAGATGGAAACGTGCTTGGTAAACGTGCCACCAGCTGTTGTGACAGCAGGGTAAAGTATTTGAGGCAAAGAGGAAGATCATACTGCTAACTGCCCTTCTTTACCCTCTTTATTTCATTTACTTGCAATCCCAATCCACATCAGGTTTCTTATTACACAGATCGTCTAAATAAAGATTACACTCATATATAGCCAGCCTAATCACCAATGTAAAAACATGTCACCAATGTAAAAACATGTAATTTAATGGAAATTTTGCTGATACCGAGTATCTGGCGGGCATATACCATAATAGTTATGACCATAAACTGAATGGTCAGGACCTTAATACTGAAACAACAGAAGTTTGAGATCTAGTGAGACCATATTTAGTCAGATATCCTGGTATATTGTAGCGTACTTTTTAGCCAACCTCAAATGACCTTCCCTAGTAACTAAAAGGTCACTAGATATGTCAATAGATATGAGTATATCACTTTGGGATTGTTTGAATTTAGGTGTCTTTACTGAAAAGAAAAAAAAAATAATTCGGCTTATCATGATGCAAATACTGTGTCCAGAGAGCAGATTGTCAGGTCATCATCAGCCCTGTGAGATATCAGCCAATGCTGAATGTGGCTCTCATGCACACTTCCTTACAGGACATGATATGAGTATTTCTGCCTTTATAGGCATATTATTATCTTTATAGCTTGAGCTGAATGACTGACAGTTCAGTCAGAGTTCAGATTTTTTTGTCCGCCTTCCTAGTTAATCCCTTTAGTAGTAATTTATGCCAAGGTAGAACAGTGACCCATTATATTTTTATTGTCAAAGTTACAGGAAAAGTCTTGATCCTGTTTCCATGAGCATAAGTATAAATAAGCCTGGCATGACCTCAATACCCAGGTGATACTGGAAAATTTCCACATGTTAAATGCTGATTTAAGATTGTATGTAGTTCATATACAGTCAGACAAGGCTTTTCATTTGGTGTAGTGAGTTTTTGTGAAATGGTCCTGGAGAGAAGTGACCCGACTGATAAAACATACTGAGCATCTGATTCAGGCGTCTGGGAACCAACAAGTACTGACCAGTTATTTTCTATGTTTAACTCCCACCATCATTAAAGGCATCTGTGGCACAGTAAACTAAATTAAATCAAAGAGCAAAATCTCAGATGGGGGTCTGCAGCCTGCTGGGTTTCTATTTTGGGTCATAGATATGATACAGCTAAGAGAGTTCTAATTTATGTATTTGGGTCACAGCATTCCCTTACCCAACCCTCCCAGCACCCTGTCATATGACACCCAACTCGTGATGCACCGCCCCAGGGCTTTCCATCTCAGAGCTGGGTGTCTGGCTGAACTAGTTCAATCTCTGAGGAATGTGTTTGTGCAAATGTGCTGTAGGTTGCCCTGCCCCTTCCTGGGAATTATTATGGACAATGTCAGACCGCTACAGGAAAAATAAGCTTTCAGGAAATAGGCCTAGCCCAGTACTGTGGACGCTGACACTATTAGCACATGAAATGAAAGTTTCCATGGCCAAGGACAGCAAACTTGACACTGGCTTTTCTTAGAGGTACCCAACTTTGAATTTAAATGACATACTCAATAGTCACATCAATAGCTGTGAATGGGTCAGAGTCGTAACTAGGTGAATGGCTTTTAATGTAAATATGAGTGTTATCAGTGATGGACCTTGATCAGCGTCATTGTGTTTTCTTCAGCAGGGTGGTTGTTTTGATTTGGGACGCCCAGTTCCACGTCAGCAGGTTTCACAACAGACACGTCACACCAGTTTAACCAGACCTTTATGAAAGAGCTGAGTAAATACAATCCTCTTCTTGTACTTGTTGATAGCAAAGTGACTCAAGTAAGGCTTGCCACCCAAAATACTCAAATATGAACATTTTCTTTATACCTACAGAATGGATCTTGTGAAACATACAGGCGGCTGCCACTGTGGGGCTGTTAGATTTCAAGTCCGGTGTTCCCCAGACCTCCATGTTTTCCATTGCAAGTATGGATAAATAATTCAGTGATATTCTTTGATAATTGTATGAAGAAGGAATCAAGAGAGGTTTTTATTTTAAATCTTAAATTAATTGGTAGTCTCCTGCCAAAATTGTAACTCAGACCCAGAAGTCACATTTTTAACTGTAGGTGGAAAAAAATCTATTGATCCAAAAACTGTTTGTTGTTTGTTTCTCCAGCTGTAGCATTTGCACAAAGAAACAAAACCATCATTTCATTGTTCCAAAAAATAACTTCACACTCTTGCAGGTAGGAAATTATGCTTCTCAATGTAACTTTAAAATCATAAGAGCGTGAATAATGTTTTTTTTTCCTCTTTCCCAGGGGCTGGATAACCTGACCACATACACATTTAACACTCACGTTGCTAAACACACCTTCTGTAAAATCTGTGGAGTTCAAAGTTTCTACACTCCACGCTCCAACCCTGATGGATATGGTATGACCTCCAACTGCTGACACAAGATAGTCACACTGCTCTCATGTGTTGTAAACTTATTTCATTGCCCTTCTGTGTTTAACTCCAAACTATCCTGTCCGCTCTGTAATATACTTTTGTGATATTTGTAAAAAAGCTGAAATGTTATGTTCACAATGGGAGTTAAATGATCCAACAGTGACATCAGGAAAATAACAAACCAGACTTGAAACCTAACGCTTTGCATTACTGAACCGGTAAAGCCAAGTTGACTGTGACAATGGACTGTGTCGTTCATATGCAAATCAGTCACAAGTCCTTTGTTGTTATTGTTTTCTCCCCAGGTGTTGCTCCACACTGTCTGGATCCAGGTACTGTGCGCAGTGTCACAGAGGAGAACTTCTGTGGGGAGAAGTGGGAAGAAAGCATGCAAGCTCACAAGAGCATCAGAGACATGTCTCGACATGCATCAGACACAGCTGAGAGCAACAAAACAACAACTCTGTGATATAAGAATCTAACTTTTTTAATCAGTAGTACACCAGAAATATTTGACAGTATTGTCAACAATCTGTGAAGTTATAAGATGAAATAAAGAAGCTCCACAGTCGATACAAACCCGTTTTGTTTTTATACAGTGTAATGGCTAAAAACTATAAAGACATTTCTGTAACAAGAAGAAATTCATTATTTCAAGATTGCTGTCAGTTTTATTTATGGAAAGCTTATGTTCACTGTGAGCAAAGCAGCTCATCAGATCTGTAAACAACCTGTAAATTCACTCTCGCCTCTGTATTCAAGTAGTTATGCAGCGAGACACCTAACAGTGTATCTATCAGTGCTTCAGGATGGGACAAACTTTTAATAGATCTTCAGGTTCTTTGGTCCTTGTGGGATCATTTGGAATGTGTTTACGAACATGTACCGCGAGAAGGTGATGTATAGGTAACGAAACCACAGGAGTTGAGTGCGGTGACAAAGCATGGCAGCCTGACAAGAAAAGACAGAGAATAAGAGAGTAAATTTATTTATGTATGTAGTATTAGTGTAATGAGACAGTTTAAATCCTCCTCTGTTTACTGTTGAATATCTTTTTACAAACTTTATCTCCACTCCAGCTTCTTCAGCACAAATACCGTATGTGCTCTTGTTACAATATGCTAAAAACGTGTGCCCTCTAAGACTACACAATGGCATGTCTTGCCAACAAACTGCCTATTCTAAGGCTTACTTTGGCTTGCCTGTAGCCCTGTGAGCCTATAATGCAGCAGAGACACGAGGACAGCAGCCAGCTGAGGGGAAGCTCCAGGAAGGCGATGTACTTCCTGAGGAGGCCAACAGTCACCAGGGAGAGCAAACAGCAGTCTGGGAGAACAGACAGAGACCCAGTTAGCTGTTAACGTTGTTAAACATTCACTGCAGCAGCAGACATTTCATTTGGCCACTCTCAGGTTAGCAAACTCAAACATTTCTTTGTGTGCAGCATTTGGCTGTAGGTGTAGCACAGGTTGTGGGTACGATTGTATGGGAGTTGAATGCGTCTGTGAGATATTGGAGTTTTTAAGAAATCATAGAAAAACTGGATAACCCACTAGAGAAACATCACATTATATTACAGAGCCAAGACTCAATATGGTGCTGAAACGTTCAACCATAACATTCATCATGCAGCAGGAGTTTGTGGAGCACAAGAAGCTTAAAGCTGTTGGTAATGAGCAGGGAGTCTTGCTGTACTGCCAGGTGAAGAGGCTTATTACAGTCACGTTGGGCCTAATTCTCCCCCACCTCTCCTTCAGGCTACAGTCAGACTGGTCCAACAGGTGAGGTGTAAAGGCCTGGTAATAAATAACCAGTGTGCATGTTTCTAAGATTGCACACTGCAGGATAAAAAGGTCAAGGTGGACCAAAGTCGTTTGGTGTGTGTGTTTGGGAACAGCCCGGTACAACAGTTTAGATCTCATATATGATAAACTACACGGGCATGTGACGCTCGTTCCTTATCAAGCTGTCTACTCAATCTTTGATGTGGGAGTGCTCTGTGTGGGCCAAACTAGCAAAGCAGTCAGCTTGTTGTAACATGCTTCCCCCTCACTGTCCTACTTTTCCTTTCACATTCTATTTAAGAAATTCCCCGTGGGCACCGGCATCAGACCTTTCAGAGCCAACTGAAACTCTAAGTTCAGCAACAGCTCGAGCCACGACATCAATCTCAGTTTGAGGGCACACACCTGAAAAATAAAGGTTTGAATTGCAGCTGGCGTCTCTGCTGTGATATCCACCTGGCCCCATGCTGCCACCAGCAGACCAAAATGTGTAGAAGACGCAAGACTCATGCAACTGTTTTGAACAGAAGAGGGCGCCGTACATTAACAAAATACCCAGTCCGAGCCAGTGTTTACTTTCCAGGGTTCTCAATGTGAAAAATGCAGACTAGGGAGGTGGTGTATCTCATGTGAGGAAGCCATTCCTGTCTTGTCTGATTGCGAAGCCGTTTGTGTCCTTAATTTAAAGTCATACTTAAAGCTTAATAGTTAATACAATTATAAGCATGTACACTCATTGCGCTTCACATAACTGGGATTCAGTTCCTTGCTCAAGAATTTTTACTTTTACGGACAGTTTTCTAAAGAGTGATCAGTAAATCCGGCCTGTGATACTTCGGTCACAAACTGTGAAAATATAAACCTCTTGAAAGTTTTCTTTGTGTCAAACCTACCATTGGGCACTTGTCCAGTAGAAGCCAGATGGCTGTAGATGGAGAGAAAAAAAAAGGGTTACTCACTGAAAATGTCAAGGATGCAAATACTGTTGACAAAGAGATGATACATCTTACTGATAAAAGTTTGTGTTGGCAACTGGAGCATAAAATACCCACACTGCCATGTTTCTACTTGCCGGTGCATAAATAAAATGACAGTTTTGGCTGCAGTGATTATAAACTCAAATGGGTAAAAAGTCAATGACTGTAAGCTCACAGAGAGAACCACGCAGTGCTGCAGCCAAGCTACTGCCACATATACCGTTATGTGTGTTTCTGGTTCATGTTGTATTGAGTGTTGAGGGGCAGCAATGACATCACTCTCCCTTTTATATTACACTATATTGTAGTATAGCTTCAATGTACACTTGATTTTTAAAATGTTGACAAAAACAAACTTGAGATTTAGAGCACTGTGCAACTAGTACAAAGTGCCTCTGGGTTCCCGCCTAATGGGAATCATGAGACGTGAGCTGGAGAGCTCACATCTTATCAACAGACGAGGCCCACAGATTGAAAGACAGCTACACAGTTTGGGGACAGCAATGTACACTTCACAGTGCAAAAAACCAACAGTCTGATGCAACTTGCCTGGTCGGCCTCTCCAAACCAGAGCTGCCCTCCCACCTCACCACTTCAGGGACAGGATTTACTGCTGCTCTCTGGGAGCAGAGCCGAGAGCCTCTGAGGACTCTGTTTGGATGACCTCTCAGCTATGTAACAAGACCAATTCTGAAAAACATGGTGTGTGTGTGTGTGTGTGTGTGTGTGTGTGTGTGTGTGTGTGTGTGTGTGTGTGTGTGTGGAAACATTTGGAGAGATGGATGTTAATGTGAGTCTAAATGTTCTGCATTTTCCTGGACAGTGTTTTATGATTGTGGAGTGGGCTGGTCTCTGTGTGTATGTGAAAGCCACACAATATCCCTTTAAGTTGAGGGATTTAAAAAATACAGTTGTTTTTCTGATGGCAAGGCCTTAAAGTTCATTCTGTACCTGACAGCTTTATGGACGGCTGTATGATTGGCATGGCCGCTCACTCCTCTTCCATCGAAGGTCAGCACCTAAAACAACAAAATCTCTCATTGTGTGGGTGAAGAGCCAGAATCTGGGTATCTAAAAGTGAATTTAAATAAACTAAGGCAAAGGCAAAGGGAGAGATTTTTCTTGGGTTAGTGGAAGGGTTTCTGTGTCTGACTGCGGAGCTGCTTGGCAGCTGACAACTGATATTTAAAAAGCCTTTTTCTGTGTGCATGCTTGCACACCAGAGGAAGCAAGTGAAAAAAAAAAAAAAATCAGGTCAAAGGGAAAGAAAAAATGCTTGACTAAAGACTTGGCATTTGCTATGCTCAGGCATATTCTACCATGACCATGTCTTTGCAATCAAGCACAAGTTTAAGCTCCCAACCTCCACATTATACAACTTGTAAACTCTGAATCTTTTCAATCTAGCTGGCTTGTAATGGAAAAGCAAGAGAATGGCACAGTGTTAGACGAGTGAAACATCATCCAGTTTAAAGTTTGTTATCTCTGTGCCTAATTTCCCTGTCTGCATTCATTAGAGACGATCTCTACGTGTGACTGACTGATTCTCTGAGCTACTTTCTTGTCTAGAGGCATTTTTTGCTGTGAGCCTGACAGGATGGGAGGAGATGGTGTTTGTTTGTCGTCTTTGATAACAAAAAAAGATCAGCAACTAAAAAATAGCAGAACCAGCTGTACTTCTTAATCGTCTACCCCTAAAGAACTGTGTGTGCCATTGCTGCTGTACTTTCTGTGTGTCAGAGCGTTTGACTATTTTTGCCCCTGTTGAGACGGACTGGTTGAAAATGCTTTGATTCTAAATTTGCCACATTCCCATCACCTAATAGTGCAGAACTGGACTGGGCCCGATAAGAATCTCTGTGTAAACACAGAAACTGAATCCAAACTTTCTACTGCAGCAGAGGCAATTTCCCCTTGTTTTTTGGGAGGCTTGAAATACAGTGTGCGTCGGACAAAAAGAGAGATGGCGGCTGACAGGATTATTGCACAGACCACAGTGGAACTGGGATAATGAGCTAGGAAGCTGTGTTGCCAAAACATATGGTAAAAACAAAACAATGGCAAGGAAACTGTGTGCTAACATCTAACAGGAAATGACAGAGAAGCCACTGCTTTGAAAGTCAAAAATGTAAGGCAGAGCTGAGCGTACCATGTTGACGGAGTGGGCGCGGATGTGCCTCACAATTACAGAAGAGACCAAAGAGACGCTCCATTCTGCTTTGGGGTCGTCTGGAAGTTTTCTGGAGAGCAAAGAAATGGACTCTGGTTATCAACCCAATTAATTTTACCACAGTGTTTGACTGATATACAGGAGTGCATTGTGTCTGTGTTGAATTCTACACAACATACGCACTGAATGTTTCTGAGGCTGAACAGTCTACTTCCTGTCTCAAGCACCAGATCCCTGCACAGAGCAGATTCAACCCAGCGTTTGAAAATAGGCTGTTGTGGAATGCAAACATGAGGGAGTGCTGGGAAGTCTGGGGGTCAGGGGTCAGAAGGCCCTTAGCATCCTGTTCATCTGAAACTACAGCCTGGAGACAACATGGAGGATACATCAAACATCACACACTAGTAAGCTCGCAGCTTACTAAACATACAAAGTCTCAGTCTCAGTTTAAAAAATGAAAGTATTTCTCTCTATGAGTTTTCAACATCCTCCTTGAACTCAAGAGAAAGCAGCTACAAAATAAGAATAAAGGGAGAGAGGTGCTTAGAAACATACTCAGATATGAGATGGGCCAAAACAGTTCACATCAAAAAAAAAAAAAAAAAGATCTGAAGGTAGAGTGAATCTAACTTGCGCATTGGTTCTCGCTTCTCTGCTTTATGTTGATGAAAAACTAAACCAACAAAGGAAACTGACGACACTGCACTGCAGTTTAAAGTACTAAACTGTGGAGGTGCTGGTTTGACAAGATAAGGAGAAAGATCAATGAGGCCATGTGTTGTTGTACACTTGGCGGAGCACATGGGTGGTGTGAGTGACAGTGCGTGCATGCATGCATGTGTACGTATATCTAAATGTATAATGTGGGTGTGTGTGTGGGTGGGGGGTAGGGAGGGGTGGGGAGGGGTGGGTCAACAATTGTTCCCCTCCCCTTCGTCACTAACAATGTGCCAGGACAGTTGAGCTAGTCGAGGGAAGTGATGGATTAGGCCACAAATCTATTGGCTGCCAGTGATGTGAGGGTCAGGGGTGGGTGTAGGGGGGTGGGGGGTGGAAGGGGTGGAGGGTTGGCTGTGTCACATGGAGGAGGGGCAGAGGGTCAGGGGTTCAGAGATAGTCTAAAACTGTCTGTCATCGAGTGAATGCGCTGCTGTGACACTTTGATACCAGTGACCTACATATCATAAGAGCTTGAAGAGGCGTGTTTTATTAAAGTTGGATGGCACTGTGAGTTATGTTATGGAAAGAAATGTTGATTAATTAATAAAATACAAGGCTACTGTCCTAATTACTGTAATCTTAAGAGTGAAAGTTAATGAAAACAAGTAAAGTTTTGCTAAAATTTGGCTCAAGCGCATGAATATGAAGTATCTTAATATCATTCTGAATTCACAACGTGGCTTCACTGTAGCTCTATCTGTTTTTTAACGATCCATTTTTTTGAACTGATGCATTTATTCATTTATTATTTATTATTAGGCCTTACAGCTTGACAACCGTAGCTAAGCACAAGGCTGCAAGGAGGGGGGGGGGGAGAAAAATGAACAAAAGATATAAGACACCTGACCTTTTTCAAGCAGGATGCAGGCTGAGTGTCAGCTTCACCATGGCAACAGTACAAAATGTCCTAAAGTAACCTCCCCAGCTCCCTTTTGTAGCTTTGCATGTGGATGTCTAATTGCTTGCAGGCATCTGTATGCAGTTGTTGAACTTTGGCCCAGTAAGGGGATTCTGTGTGTGTGTGTGTGTGTGTGTGTGTGTGTGTGTGTGTATGTGAGCGAGTGAGCTTGAGAGAGGGGGGAGAGAGAGAGGGGGGGGAGAGAGAGAGAGAGAGAGAGAGAGAGAGAGAGAGAGAGAGCTTGTTTAGTCTGGTCACATGGACCACAGGCCTGAAACTGCCAGACTTCTGTCCACACAGTCAGATTATATGTCCTGCTGGGAACTGTTGAGATGCCACTAAATGCCTACAGTACACCCACAATATCCCAGTGTAATAAGGCAGTTACAACTATAGTAACAACAGCAATAGACACATGTTGTTTCACAATGACTTACAGACATCTGTGGCTGCAGGTTCTGCCAATATTCACCCATGCTGAGGTAATAAACTGTCATGAAAGTAACCATGGAAATAATGCTGTTAGCGTTGTTTTGAAAGTAAGCTGAGCAGAAAAAGAGCAATGTAATGTGACAAAATTACAGTTTGCTGCTGGCTGCAGGATTCAATAAATGAGAAACAACTCTTTCACTACGCAAGGGAGCAGTGTGTGGTGGTGACAAATGTATCTAGGATAAAAGCACAGCCAGAGGTCAGTGGCAGGGCTGGAACATCTCTCCACAATTTACTGCACCCCGCCATGTGCTTATAAATCAGTGAGGGCTATTTTTTTTTTTTTTTTTTTACCTCTGATCAATGTATATTTAAACCTTGTGTGGGAGTGAAATGTTACTGCAGTGAATACAGCTTTCCTTTTCAGAAAAAGCTCTGTGATTACTTCCATACAGAGAATTTGACTAATCCAATGAAAAACAAAATCTTTGTTTGTAAAAGTAAATCTGCAGTATGTTACCATGGACAGGGTTAAATCGTTACAGTTAGAAAGAGATGTGTGTTGGTGAGCTAGAGAGAGGCTTCAGTACAGTCTGATGAGTAATGTAATGAAGAAGTGGAATGGTTGGATTTGTGCAGTGAGCAGCTATAATAGAGTCCAGGCAGCAGACAGAGGTCAAGCCAGTGCAAGTGGAGAGGCAGCAGAGCGTGCTCAGATCGAGCTTGATCACAAAGGCCCCAACATGCACTGGGGCCCCAGATACTGTCAACACAGCTGTCCTATTCAGTGAGCATTAAAGGGAAAATCCTATTTTAAAACAGAATCCACGTGTTATTCCTGTCATCTTGGAGGACTAGACTGTAGTTGTGAGTCAGAAAGTTTCACCCAGATCTGTCATCATGACACATAATCCACACTGCGCACTGGACTTTTGTTGTGGAGTCGAGATCTCAGCTTGAAAACTAAGATCCAGTCAAGCCAGTGCATCACTCTACACTAATGAATGAGATGACAGTACAGAGACCCAGCCCATACTGCAAAAAATACATCTTAACATTCATCTAGTGTAGTAACAACTACTATATTTTTTTGCTCATTTCTAATACAGTTTTACCAGGTCTGACAAACTCTTGATGTTCCTCCACTTGTATGAGGACAATGACAGTTATTTCTTATTATGAGTTCATTTGTATCACGATTGGTCTGATATAAATCCACTCACTAGACAGGAATACAAGTGACATTACAAGACCTATTAACTCATTAAGATGGATTAAAAAAAAAAAACTGTAACAGCAAAGCAAACTGGGCTGACTTTCCGATGCACAGCACATGACCTGGTTGGTGTTCGCATTACTAAAACATAACACTCTGCTCGGCAGCCAAACTTGGCAAATATTTTACGCCCCCACAGAACTGAGGATCTGCGTTAGGTTTTGTCCTTTGATAGTATCACATAAAAATCTCCACTCTTGAGCCAAAGTGCTCATTTTCATAACCATACTGCTTGTTTTAGACTTGACATTATCTTCGATGACTTCACTGTAAACCTCCTAAACATTTGAGCTTTGTCTGTGGATCAGTATAGAACTGCAACGACTGCATAAGAGATACACTCACCCCCAGTCCTTGTTGTGTAACCCTGTACCCTTCAAAACTCTGAGTGAGTTTGTAAGAAAACCAAACAAACTTTGACTTAGTTTCTTTAGTTCTATACAACGGTCGTTTCCTAAACTACTGAAGCTTACAGGGCCATTGTTTCACAGCTGTGAAAACAGCAGAAAGCATTACGTGGCTAAATGATTGCTATGCGGATCCAATTCCTTTGCTTTATTATCTATTTTCAGTTTCCTCATTGACAGCAGCTCAGTAGGTTCACACAACCAAAGCAGTTGTCAGTGAGAAAATATCAGAAATAATAAAAGGTATGAAATTGAACTTTGTAATTATTTGTTCACAATACACTTAGCTGCGTGATGTACAAACTATTTGACAAATTAAATGGATCTTGAATAATTCGTCTGGAGAAGACTGATGTGAAACTGCAGTTTATGAAATGCCTCACTCTGTGTTTTTAATTTAATGCCTCAGGTATGTGTAAATGAGTGTAGGCAAAATATTAGAAACACCTCTTAGCAGAATACAATATAATTCTACAGCACCACAAAGTACAGTCCACCATAATATTAAATCATCACATCTTTTAAAACAGTTTCAACAAAAAGTGATCAGATAGGATTCATTGCAGGGCTGTTGTATTAGACTGGATTTGTTTTAGCCAGGTGTTTCTAACTGTGTGGAAATGCTCACATCAAACTGATAAGATGCAAAAAGCCCCACACAGCAGATGGTTATTATACTTTGTAGAATTGTAATTCAACATTTCTTTTGTGCTGTTTATAATGGACTGACCACCAGTGTTTGCACAATAAAATGAGAAGTAAGAAAAACAGGGAGAGGTCAAGTCAAGGATGTACATCTGCACATACTTGGTCAGAGAAGGTTAAGAGCAAAGCCAAAGCATGGCTAGCTATGTAAAGACACACAGTTTGGAAAAACAGTTTGGAATGACCTACATTAGCAGTGCTCATAGTGCTGCCAAAATGTATCCCACAGTCCTTGGCAGTTGGCTCCAGCAGACATGGACAAGAGGAGGAGGGGTGGAACAGAGGGAGAGAGTAGTGTGTGTGAGAGAGACAGAGAGAGAGAGATAGAGAGACAGAGAGAGAGAGAGAGAGAGAGAGAGAGAGAGAGAGAGAGAGAGAGAGAGAGAGAGAGAGAGAGAGAGAGAGAGAGAGAGAGAGAGAGGAAAACGAGAGAGAGAAGAGAGAGGTTGTGATAGAGTGAGTAGGGATGGAGCTCTCAAAGTGCTGATTAGGTGTGTGTTTTGGGCAAACAACAGAATACACAGAAAGGGAAAATGGGCTACACTCCAGTTCAACAGAAGTGCAGACAGCACTAAGATCAAAGTTCAGCTATACTCTGTGTGCACAAGATGATAAAACTGTGAAGTCTGTGTGTGTGTTTTAAAACACACACCAACAATGTTCGCTCGGGCAGACAACCTGGGCAGGCTGCCAGCTTATTACTGTGAGTCCCAGGTTAGTGCCAGAGTTCATACAGCTCTCCTGGTGAGACAACATGTAGACACTCACATGTAGGCAGCCCCAAGGTTCTTAGAAACTCACTGCATTTTCAAGGGAAGCTGCAGGGTTGATCCACGGGGAAAAAAAATCCCCTTTTTCAACATCACCTTTAACAGCTATTTTCTCTGTAACTTGACCTTGCCAATAGCCTGAGCCAGAGGACTGAGAGTCTTACAGCTGCATCAACAACAAAACAAAATATAGAAGAAAACAGAAGAAGAGCAAGTTCCACAAGTATTAGAAACAACAATAGAGTTTAGTTCAGTCTCCAAATTCTGCGCACCACTCTGACAGTGAAATGACAATGGTTATGAATGAAGTCTGTTGGAGGCATTCACAGCCACACTGAAAGATCTAAATCTGTTTCTATGACTTATAGCGTTCCATAAAATACAATATTTGATTCAGTGAAGCGACACATTTACATTTGCTGTGGGAAAAAATGGTATTATGTATTTTTCTATAGTTCTCTGAGATGAATGAGCTGGCAAACAAAAGCTAGAATTTTTCTTTAAACTGTCATGTTCCTGCAACAAAGCTGGAATGTGCAGGTATTTTCTTACAGAGCTAAACAAGAAATTGTTAGAAAAAAAGTACCATGCAAATCTGAGGCTTATTGTCAGCAAATCTGAACTACCTGGCTCAGCAGACACTAATGGATGAGGGACTGTATTTTGGTAGCACCAAAATATATAATAGTTTAATTGGGTAGAAAACAAAGTAACTAAATTAGTAGGCAATTACTGTCTAGAAAATAACGTCAACCAACCTTACAGTCATCCACATGTACCAATTTCCCCTTAGGTATCATTGACTGTTCCATCATGACTGCTCCAACAGCTTGATAGATTGCTGAGAGCATACAAGCAGCTCATTGGTGCAAACATTAAAAAAAACAATAAGTTAGTAAAAAAGTTAATAAAAAAAAGAAGTTGAAGTTTGCTTTGACAATAATTTCAGAACTTGCTTCACTTTTACTTTATTTTTTGGCGATGGATATACAAAAAAAAAAGTATATATATAGTAGATAGATGTATAGATATGTTGATGTCAGACCTATCACTGCCTCTGATAATGACTAGCTTCATTAGGAAGACATAGGAAGAGACCTGAGTCCTGAACTGAAGGCAGCCTAAGTATGTTTTGTTAAGTGATTTTTTAAAGCTAATTAGTTTTAAAACAAAATTCAGTCACAAATGGACATGTACAGTAGTCACGTTTAACCCAAATCTGTACATTCAACAGCAACATTTTTACAAGCCAACACAAATTCAGTGCCTTTAACATTAAAAAGGAACACAACTGAAATAAGGTAATTTGCATGTTGTGTGTTTGGTGCAGAGGGCTGCTTACTTATGGTCTACTACTGTGACTCTGGAGGCTGGTATCCCCAACACGGCACAGCTGTTGAGAAGTTCCTGTTTACGCTGAGCTCCTTGGTTGTAGTAGTTTCCTGTATGATATTAGGAGTAGAAATTACTGTAGATGTAGTGTAATGTATGGAAAATCCAAGTACAAGTCTGAATTCTGTCAGAAGATTCTGTCGAGGCACAATTTTGAAACATTTTGAAACAACAAGCAATGCCACCTTTTAGAAATTGAGTGTGTTGGGTGACAAAGGTTGATACTTTTACTTATACATAATCACTACATTTGTACTTCTGTGTTTTTGTGTAGCTTGATTTATCTTGCTGTGAGAGCACCTTCAATTCACCCATGAAGGCCTTGTTTATTTTGTATTTAAAAGATGATGAACACAAACACTGTGAAGCATTTCTTAAAAAAGACAGTTGCTGTTGAAAATCCTGTAACATAAATTTGTTTGATTTTCATAATTTGATTTTACATCTTTACCCTTCTTTCTTTGCTTTCATATTTCACCTAAAATTCAGCAACTATTAATCTTAAGAAATCTTTCCAAACTACAGTGGAAAAACTAAAAGGTGCAAAGTTTGCCATCTGATCTATAGTTAAGAAAGTGATTAGCACAAGCCACACAGAAATCACAAATAAAACACCAGCAAACAACTTCCTGATTCTAGGCTATTTATTATGTAAACACAACATTGTACGGTTTTAAATAGAAATGTTTTTCAGCTCTATCTGTTTTCAGTGGATATATGATAGCAACAATTGTGCTTAAATAAAACCAGTTTAAGGCAAGAAAGAACCAGGACATTAAATCCAGAGTAAAATGTCTGCAGCACCTCGTCTGGCAGCATAAATGGTGTGTTATTCAGTGAGACACAGTAATTCTTATACCGGAGACTGATAATGGACATACACTGTAACTATATGTAATATGTGATGATTTGCAAAGGCACGTTACTGTTTTGAGAGAGCTGCTATTTCACTTTCCTTAAAAAGGCAGATTTACTTTTATGTTTTACTATTTTCCGTTAACTCACGAGTCAAACATGTAACCAAGACTAGCTAGGGCTAGTTAGCAACACACCACAACAAGTCTTACTTTAGCTCACATTGACTTATTGACGTTATTCATGCAAACAATACTGTGCTGTCACCGTACCTTCAGATAAACACAGCAAATGGACGCTGGCATTTAACTCAACGAGTCGTATAATCGTTGGCGCGAAGAACATACATTCATCATCCGGATGCGCAGTTACAATCAGAGCTGTGATATCAGCGCCGTCGGCTTCTCTGCCTGGTAAAACGTTCATTACACGTTTCAACGACTTCACCAAAGTTCGCCGATGTCGATAGTAAAGGCATTTTATCGAAACCAAATAGGATAAAACTAAGAAGAAAATCAGGTAAATACTCATTATTTTGACCGTTACCGTAAACAATCCGTGTAAAGACAAAAGTCCAATATGCAAATGGTTCCACGTGCCAAAAACAGGTACGCAGTCTGTCTGATATATCTGACGTGACCCCTTCTTTACAGGATGTAAAACTAAATCCAACAAAGTAATAGCTGCCTATTTTTAGCCACACAATGGTGTGTTTTACTCAAATGAAGTCACTGTCGTTTATTCAGTTCATCTGAGTTTGAATCAAATTATTAGGAGAGCGAATACACGAACATTTTAAACAATAATTTTTTGGTGGGTTTCATTAAAGGGGGCTTAGAAAATATAGAGGAAACTTGCATAAATCAGGCAAAATTTATGTTTTTGAAAAGTGAAAATTACAAACAACAGAAACGTTACCATGTTTGAGGGGAAGATTTAGCTGTCACACTGCATTATCCTTGCAGGTACATAAAAATCTAAATTGAAAATCTAAATTATTTATCAAAATACTGTCGTATCTGTCATCTCATTTTGTAAATTCAAAGACCACAATTTTCTTCGCACATACACATGTGTCGAAGAATGCCAGTGTCCTGTGGATTAAACCGAGTACGGACATTTTATTTTACCCTGTCAGGACATCGACCGACAAATGCGGCGCAGCCTTCAGTCTGCCCAGTCGTCCACAGCCCATAACCCGCGGATTTACAATCAACAATTGACACATATTTCTGTCCAGGGGTACCTTTCTCTCCCATCGCTATATTTCCTAAATATGAGGTGAGTGCTAATCGCTAATGCGAAGCAAAGGAATATGTCTAATTAGCACGCTATTTAAGCGCCCCGGTCTACGCTGAAAATCTGCCTTGCAAGATGGCGACGTGGTTGAGAATTCAAAGGTGAATTACAGGCTAAGTTAGCTAGCTAGCGACAACAACAACATCTTAAACGTCATGTTTCAACAATGAAGTGGTGAAGTAGCATGTACTTTTGAATCGATGGTTATTGTTTTGCATGTTTTTGGTGCATTTCCGGAAGAGCTCTCTGTTGTGGAAATAGACCCATCCCCCAAGATAAGCTACAAATCCAATTGCGTTTATATGACAGTATGTGTTAAAAGACAACAATAACAATGCACAGTAGCAGTATTTCTCGCGTCTATGTTGTGTATAGGCTCCCGAAGTTCACAATAGCTGCAGAGTTTGCATGTAAATCATCAGAGACACCACTGAATATGCTTTCTAAAATAACTTTTATTAGATCTTCATGGTGGAACAACAAAAGCTTACAGTAGCAATGCACACTGCATGTATGTACTCTCTAAAATAGCTTAAACCACGATGGAAAATACGATTATAAACTGTTGAAATGGAAATGACAGAGGTAGGGGACACACAGCGCATGTACTGTAATTACAATTTCTTTTATCTACTTTCGTGATCTATGGTAAAAAGGATGAGAGAGGGATACAGCTTAAATTGTATTTCTTAATATGTCCAATAAATTATTCCCATCATTGATTTCTATCCAAGTTAATACTAAAACGGGGATAAAACCAGAAACAGGTTATGGATGATCAGGTCACTAACAAGGACTGCAACAGCTGATTGATGAGGGTAAGTTATCCTGCACACTTAGTTGCTTTGAATAATCGAAGAGGCAGGGACTTAAAGTCTTGCTGAACATGGAGGATGCTGTGATGCAGACTTGAACCCAAGAGGTCTCTATTTGTTTTAATATGTAAACAATGTGTTTTTAAAACATTGAGCAAAATTGTAGAAAAGACCTCACTTGAAAGATGACAAAATCCTTCCTAGCAGCATGTGCAACAATTTTTGTTTCCTGTTTCAGTGATTGCCAGGCATACTTTTAAATATTTGGTCAAAGCCTCACACTGCAGTTAAAGTTCCTGATCAGTTGAACTAAACTCAGGCAAGAGAAGATTATGTAGAGGCAAATTAGATCATGTGTAGAAAAACAGAACAGTAAAAATAAATCATAAAAAAGTAGTTGTAGTATTTTGAGGCAGCTGTAGTGCTGCTGGTTGCTCTTTCAGAGTTTGGCTCAGTGTCAAAAGGTCTTGTTGAACATGAGTCCTGTATACATTTTAAGAACCAGCTTAATTACCATGTGTTGAGGATATGGGACATGACAACCTTTTATTACTGTTTTTATGGTTTACAAAGTTACATCACTGTAAATTAAAAATGGAAAATCTAAAAAAAGCTCTAGTTAATGGTAAAAAAAAAATGCCTCTACCAGCTGCATTGACTGCAACTGTCACCTCTACCGTGACTTTGTCAAGATACTGTTGATATTTTTAGTATTTCTGAAATTGTGAAAGTGCATTCAATTCTGGGACCCATCTAACGCTGTGGCCTGTGGATTGAAAAAAAATAACGGCTTCCCACCCTGGTTATGGTGGCAGTGGTTGGAGCTTTTCCAACCCTGAAGTTAGCATCATAATGCCTTGGCATAGTGGTCATGCTGTAAATCTTTCAGACCTAGAATAAAAATGACAGAGCCAGAGGAACACAAATTCACACAAGAAAGACAAAAAACCAAGAAATGCCAGTTATGTTTTTTATTCTAAACCAACACACTGAAACCTTTAATGGCAGCATGTTTTTGTCACCTATAAAGATTTCAGACTGAATACGAAATCAGTGCTTGTTCTGTTGCAAACTCCTGGGATATTAGGTGTGTAAATTTTCTTTATTAGCAGACAGTCATCATATTAATTACATTCATATGCAATTGTTTTGAATAAGCACAATATGTTTGCGCATAATGCTGCCTAAATTGTTTGTTGGTAACTTAAAATGGTTATATTCAACACATCTGCAAAATACGACTGGCAGCGTTTTTGCTGATATGTTTATACTGAACGTATCTGCAAATGTTTAATGGTCAAGTTTTTTTCTCCAATAATACATACGTGGTGATTTTAGGATAATTGAGGCACGATGAAGGCAACTAAAACATCTCAGTTAAGGTTGGGGAAAATCTGAATGTTGACTGTATGGAGGGAATTCGAAAAGTCTTGTCTCTGGTCATGCAACCAACTCACAAAGCTGGCATTTTTGCACATTTGAGCTGATGGATGTAACAAACAATCCACATTCAGACTAATAACAAGCCATCATCAGTCAAATCATATTAACCCAGTTATTTGTGTTCAAAGAACAAGGCCCTGTTTTTTTGGGTATTTTTTTTCCACCCACAGAACGACTGTCTTGGTGTTTTCTAGAGCTGCAGCTGCACAGTGTGGCCTAATGTTTTTTTAATGCACCAGTAGTTCCAAGATTGTTTCTGCACTTTTGGTTTAAAGGCTTTGAGTTAAATTAACACCCCATAAAGTAAAGTAAAGGAAGAGCTGAGAGGGGTGTATTTTGAATTTGATTCTAAACTGTTTCCCACTCTGGCAGCGGGAGCTGACATGAGCAGGTCGGGGCTTTGGGCCTGTATTCACCTGCATTGAAACACAGAGCAATATTTAGGAAAAGTTAAATATGTAAGAAGAGATGAGGGGCTGCACTGACTGTGTTGGTCAAATAAGATCTGTGTTTTAATCAATATACTATCATATGGGAGATTTGTGGCTGACCTGTGACCTGCTTTTATATATTCTTCGTGATGTCTAAAATCTGACTTTAAAAAAATGAATCTATGTCTCTGTCTTGGGCCAGGTGGTTTGTGTCTCCAAACATGGTCTAGCTAAAATCTCTGATCCGTGAAGCCGCAGCAGCCCGGTAGCACTGAGCCAGGATGTCCAGTAGCTCGGGCTACCCCCCCAGCCAGGGGAGCTTCAGCAGCGAGCAGAGCCGATACCCACCACATTCTGTCCAATACACCTTCACCGGCACGCGCCACCAACAGGTAAATCCTTACTTCTGCTTTGCTGTATCTGAGCTCATGTTCGTCATAATTGGGCCAGCGCTCTTGATGCTGTTGGCTTGTACAGTATAAATGACTTAACTCAGAGGTATTAAGTATGTAAATACATATCTATGAGTAATAATGATAATAATTCAACTTTATCTGTATAAGTGTGTTGCAGATAAATATGGCTTCAAAAACAACAAACAATGAGCATGGGTTGAACTCAGCATGTTTTGGGCTGGTTAAATGTAAGATTTTGTATGTGATGAATCTTAAGGTATATATTTAATTTTTATTTTTGACAGTATCTTATTGCTATAAAGGTTTTTATTCCAGTCAGAGCCGCACACTGGTGTAATACTTTTGCTTTCACTTTCGTACACTCAGCAAATCCAAATGTGGGAAGAGGCAGGCTAACGTTTGAAATACGTTCCTTTTCTCCTCTTAATTGTGATTCTGGGCTTTATTGAGACAGACTAAAAAGAACAGCGAGGTTAGGTTCAGACTTGGCAGGTTGAACTCAGACTTTTATTTTCAGGCTTGTGAGAAGCATTACTGATGATTGCATTGAGTGATTGCTATTGTATTTTGTTGTCGGTCTAACAAAAAAGTTCATCTGTATACTGCAAGTGTTGCTGCAGTTTTGACCTCTTTAGACTTTTCCTTTCTCCAAGCTCCTTGGAAGTAGGTGAAGTTGTGCCAGAAACCTCTACTTTGTGGCTCTACCTGTGTTGACATTTAATCTGAATAGTTAATGTGTGTCTGTTGAGGTCTTTGCGATGGATTCGCAGCTTCACACAGAAAATAAATCAGAAGTCATGACTCATCCTAGCTCACCATTTTTCAGTGTGGCTTGAGCCTTTGGGCGTTCAGTTGCCCGAACCAGGCTGCAGCAGCATTTTCACTAGTACGCAACCTGCAAGTGAAATGTGATGATTTTCTATGATTTACTTGCTTGTTCTGGTGGAGTTACTTTTAGTGTAAATATTTTGTATTGATCCTGGTTTCATCAATATTTTAAGCTTAAAACAACCGTCACTTCCTGTGAACAAATACAGTTTGATTTCAATATTTGTCCAGTTGAGACTTGTTTATAGATTTATAAATCAAACTGTAGAATTGAATTTTTTGTTTTTTTTTGTCAATTTAAAATGTAATTAAGATGAGAAATGTTTATAATATTGTGACTAGTATTTAATTCCATCACACTTTCCAGTTGCATGCTGATTTGAATGTAGTGAATATTGGATAATGCTGTTACAGCTGTTAGCCGTTTTGGTTTCCAATTCTCAGAAGCAGACTTTCACAGAAAACTGTCGAGGGTACATTTCTGAGCATTTGGACTGTTTGCTTAAATCTGGAACAAAACTGGAGTTTGGAAATATTTCCTGTAACTGATTTTGCTTGTCCAGGTTTGTTTGGAGGTCACAGTGTGCTGATAACATTTATGTGAAATTTAACCAATTGCTCATTGATAGAAAAAAGGTTTTCATCACTTTTCTTGACATCAACAAATTCATTTTAGTTTTCCAGACTGGAGTCGTGCCACTGGTTTCAGTAATATCTGACTGACTGATGAGATGTTTGATGAGGGGAAGGGAGGGGGGTCTTGTTCCACTTCCATTTCCACAGTATACTGTTACAAATATGTGTTTTTTTTCTCACCTTTCCAGTTAGCATCCACATGATATTTGGGTATTCTCTTCTTATTCCAAGCTACATGGGAACTTCTTCTGTATTAACTGATAAATGTGTGAACCTTGAAGTAGTTTTGAATCTTTTACAATTAGACCTCCAAATGCTGAAATGCACACATGGATCCACCTTCCTGGCTGAGGCACTTCTGACACGTCATTGTAGCAGCTGCAGGGTCGTCAGCTGGGAGACTCCCTTCAATGATGTTTCGCTTGTTTAATCCTGGAACATCTCAAGGTGGTGGAGCATCAATAGAGATGTCTCGTCTCCGTACCGCCCTCTGCAGCCAGCCGTAGGATCCTTGCTTTCACCATGCGTTGTCCTTTTCCTTGGAGTCAGAGCCAGAAACTCCCTTGTTCTGCCTCCTCTGCTGAGCCCTCCTCAGCTCTGGAGCTTGTGATCCCAAGAGACTTCAGGAACCGCTGGGTGGATGCTCCAGTGTAGCTTCTGCAGCCAGCTTCCACTGGATAAGTGAACGCCCTCCACCCTGCCTGTGAGCACACAGCTAACAGCTCTGAGTACTTCCTTCCTCTCAGAGGCAGCCTCCATTCCCTCTTCCAATAGAACCAGAGCACGATATCTGGCTGTAGGGAGGTTGTGCTGATTTATTGTAGGAACACCAACTGGCGTCCGTGGCTAGCTTACACATGACTGGGTAGTGGGGCCATCCGTACTGGCCCTGCGTCAATGCTGCCTTGTCGCCAGAAAGGATGTGCTGCAAGCTCAAGTTCAGGAAGTTGACATGTGTCCTCTGAGCTGTACCAGAGCTGCAGGTTCCAGGGAGCCGGAAGAGTATCGTACGTGGCCCAGAAGCTCAGCCTTGCTTGGGGCATGACTCGCATGTTACCCATGTAACAGTCCTGTTGATCACAGCCTCCCAGGTCATCCAGCTCACAGCTCTGATTTTATAGCTCGACCATCTTCACAACTTCAGAGATCACAAGGTCATTCCTTTCCTTCTTTGTGACTTTGTTCTCAATCCAGAACTGGTCCTACCTGGCTACAGCAATCCAACAATCTCCTGGTGTTTCAGTCCATTGATTCCCTGGTCTACTGTCTGCATCGCATTGCACTTGTGTCCTGTTTTATGAACAGACAGGTCAGGTGAGTCTCTAAGGAGATGTTATCGTTCCTGACTCATCTCCAGATTGAGAGACTGGGGGACTTGGATGAGCTGGTGGGGAACAGATCCAGGCATTTGCAAGATCCAACCAAATTACATGGAGATATGACTTGCTGCACGTGGCTGTCTGGATTTGTTCTCGGCTCATGGCCGAGTGCTCCTCGCATCCAGAAACCCTGGAACGCCTGACTTCTGATGACAGGTGTCAATGTAGTTTGCCAGGAGGCAGCTGGTCATGCGCTTCCACCATCATGAAGAATATCTTACTTTCCATGTTTAGCAGGACGCAATCTCTCAGGATCCTTTTGATCATTCATCGCTGCAATGCCAGTCCTTACCATGTTAACCGTCCTGAGTGGTCCAACTGCCATCCCACTGTTATTAGATTGATAGATACAGCAGAGAGCTTACAGGAAATGAGGTTGGTGGGGGGTGGGGGTGGGGGGGTGAGACACTCAACAAAGGTCCCTGCTTAAACCCAAACTGGGGCATTGTAAATATACAGTCCATGCCTCAAACCCTGAGGCTCCTCAGACAGCGTTTAACGGGGCTCACAGCCCAACACACAATCTCTGTGGTTGTATACGACGGGAGAAGAAAGACTTTGAAGCTGAAAAGATGCTTCAGGTCACTGATATGTGTAAAGTGCGAATAAAGCAGCCAGTGTAGACGGATGTTTAGATAAAAACTGTGTGCGTCTGTTGCATCACACAGACGAAGACAGACAGTGAAAAGTTCAAACTTGCCTGATCGCCTCTCTGTAAGCATGATTCGGTTGATTCATCTGAGGAGGGCTTTGTTGTAGCTGTAGCTTTGCAGGAACTCATGATGTTGTTTTTCTTTTTCTCTCTGGTCAGTGGACCTGTCCATCGCTTTCCATACAGATCTCTGCCTCTTTCATAATGTTGTGACCTTCTGTTTATGAAGTTGTTTGTGATGTGTACCTCTTACCTTCAGGATTTCACCGTCCCAGACTATCGGGCTCACATGCAGGATCCGCAGGGTCGGAGAAGACCATCTTTACTGTCTGAATTCCACCCTGGAACTGAAAGGTGAGGGCCTGTTGTCTAAATATCTGACAGATGATAAGTGCATAGATTTGGGTTTATTTATGTATTGCAGGGTTTTATTGTATTGTAGTTTTTCCTCTTGCTCTCCACTCAATATTGCCATGGATGTCCTTAGATTAAAATGTGCTAGTCATTTATCTAGACAGACAGATGTGGCTTCTGATACATCTGTAACTTGACTGTTTATTCTGTTCTTCAGGCCTCCGGAGAGACGCCATGGCTATGAACAGCAGTTTCACTCCGTCACAGGCCAGCCTGATCATGAGGCCTTGGAGGCTAAACGCCCTCGCATGGAAACTGTTTCTGAGGCCCACATCACTCGCACTCCCCCCTCTGCTGGGGGTATTGTCCTGCCCATGCCCCATTCAGTACAGGACAGCTTAAGAGCCACTGTGGAGGTCAAAAAGGTAGGTCTCAGTTGTTCACTATTGAACTAAACCATGGTTTACAGCCCTCTCCTCATAATGAGAAAGAACTAGTGATGTATTTAAGAGATTTGTATTGTCACCATGTGTTTGTAGATACTATTAGGAATAAATACAGTCCACACCAAACGGTAGGACCTGTTCTGACTCTATGACTGTGGATGTTTGTGATTTTGTGCTGCAGTTTTTCACAAGCTCAGTGGCCCTTTTTGTTTTTGCCAGGAGTCTCAGTTCACTGTCAAAGTGGAGTCCCCATCCCAGGGAGGAGCGACACTACACATGGTGGAAGAGCAGGACACTTCTCCCTCCAAACTGTCCAAAGAGGAGCTGATCCAGAGTATGGACCGCGTGGACAGAGAGATTGCTAAAGTGGAGCAGCAGATTTTCAAGCTGAAGAAAAAGCAGGTTGGTTACCCAGTGAGACCTTTTGTCTCTGAACATGTTTCAAACACAATGGGTGTTGTGTAAGAAAACTTGGCATAAGTAACAGCTTTTAAATGAAGCAGTAACCCGTGATACACTGAGGTGATTTTAGAACAGCAATGAGGAAAAATGTAAATGGCTAATTGCCTTTTCATAGAACAATGTGTAATTATAAACCACCATAATAAAAGTTTTTGTCTTGTAGTTGATTTGCATTGGTGAAGATTTTGAAAGGGCTGGTTTGACAGTGGCTGATGATCAACACAGATGAATGTGTTTAGGTGTCTGTTGTTACTTGAATTGCTCACATGTCCGTTCAATCCAGGCACAATTTAAATACAAATATTGTTAATAGAAAAATGTACGTGAACATTGGCATAAATGGAAAAAAAGCCGCAGGCCAAAGGGGTAAGCACAGAAACATCATGCTGAAGTGAGCAATGTAATAAGCATAGCAAATTGAGCTCACAATTAAAATAATCAGTTTTCTTTGTCAATTTTCCAGCAGTGTTTGGGCTTCCTCCCTTCACTGAGAAACATGGAGTTAATGTGAACAGGCTCCACTCAGTGTTTGTGAGGAGGCTCCTGCAGGATAGCTCGTCTTCTCAGTGAGGAGTTTTAATCAGTGCACAAAGTCTGAGGACACATTTGAGATCTGATCACTCAGACCTCACGGAGGTGGTCCGGGCCACATGTGTCCACATTCTTTTAGCAGTGTGAATGTGAATGTGTCCTGGCCATAGTGAAGAACCGCCCACTCAACTGCATCTCTGTCCCAGTCTGATTAGTCCCACCACACTTTCATAATGAACTGAAAATATTTTACTATTAACATGTGTTTATTTGCATATAAAGCAGAGAAGTGAGATCTGATCGCAAGTGGTCAATCGAGACGCGATGTGGAGACGCATTTTAAAGTCATTTGTGAACTGACAAACGTAGAGCTCACCACTCATGATCGGATCACTGAAGACTATGTTAATACCAGGTCTGATCAGGGCCTTAGGTTATCAGTTCACCTGGGCTATAAGATGCTTTTACATATCTATGAGTTAACAAGCTTGTGCATGTCATTTACTATATATTGTTCCCATTAAGGTGCTTTCAAAAACGTCTTATTTAGAGCTGAAGCCTTATTGTTTTATCTGATCTTCCTGTCTGCATTAGTTCGTTTTTTAATCTAATTTGCAGTCGTCTTCTTATTTCTATCTTTTTATAATTCCTTTTGAGGAGAGAATACCTCTCAGTTTTTCCCTCACTCAGGGATTTATTTGTTTATTTGAGGTATTTCAGGAACTCCTAATCTTGTCCCTGTAACCTGGTAGTTTACATAACCTTTAACTTGTAAACACTGACCTACCAGACGATCGTTCAGCTTGTCTGTCAGTATCAGCATGGCCTCAAAGGCAGAAACCTTCAGTCCTGTTGAAAAAATGCTGTACTTGAACAAGCCTGTAGAGAATAATCAGATAATGCCTGCATGGACCTCAGACACCAGGATCTAAGATCAGATCAACACTGTGTCGATGCATCTTTTTTTTTTTTTTTCCACCATTTGCTCTGTATGAAAATGAATACAGATAAAAACATTCAAAATGTTTAATTGGGTCAAGTGTAGAAGAACCGGCTCCACATATTTTCCCTGTGTGTATTTTGTGTGTCTTTTTTATTGTGTTCTATTGGTCAAAATGTTGTGTGTTGTCTCTTAGCAACAACTGGAGGAGGAAGCAGCAAAGCCAGTGGAGCCAGAAAAGCCAGTGACCCCTCCCCCAGTGGAGCACAAGCACCGCAGCATAGTCCAGATCATCTACGACGAGAACAGGGTTAGTCGTCCGCTGCACCGAGACACACCAGCAACAAGCATGAGTTCTCCTCACTTCCTTCTCTTCATGTTGTTTATGCTCTAAACAATTGCAGCTATTCTTTCTTTGTCATGTTTGTTTTTCCACTGGCCTGATTAAACTCCCTTAAATTGTGCAGCGAAGCACCAAGCTGAGAACACATGCTCTTCTGCCGCGTCCTCACAGCAGGGGATAACCGTGGTGACCGTGGCCAACCAATGACAGTCTCCTCTCTCAAATTGAGTCATCTCGCTCAAAACTGATGGCTGCAAACGTATCTTTAAGTCTGTCTGCGCTCAGCTCTCAGGACTTTTGTAGCTTCTAACTGAATCTCTGTGGTTTGGAGTTTAATTTCACTCCAACATGCATGGTCGTATGTTCAAATATCACCCTTGTTTTACTGTTAACTGGTCGCTTTTGGCCGTACTCGGATCTGTGTCAAGTTACCACTGATTCAAACGGTTCGTGCCACTGCATCTTCACATTTAAGCTTTCCACTAGAGAACCAGTGGGAGCTGTGGCGCAGCTTTATCAGCTCAGCTCTGCGTGCGTATCCCCACTCCTGTCGAAAAACGGCATTTGGCATCGTGATGTTTTAATTTTCAGAAAGAATATTCAAGTGAGTCTCCTGATGAGACATGTTGCAATGCCTTCTGGTTTTTGCATTATTGATGTTTTGAAGGCAGGAGTGAGAAAATAAGTATGTTTTTACTGCTGTATATTTTTGTCAGATATTTGCTGATTTAATTTTGGTTAATTTTTTAAATATTAATACATTAATAGTTAGTCGTTTCTTAATTAAAAATGCATGAATAAAAAACATTTGATGGTTTCAGTTTCTCAAATGGGAGGATTTGCTCTTAAATTATAGTAAATGTAATATTTTGGACTGTTGATTGGACAAAATGAGATATTTCACCTCATGTTGTACAATATTGTTATGGTCATATTTCACTGTTGTCTGATATTTTATAGGTCAAGCGCATAATCGATTGATCAAGAAAATGATTAACCAGCAGATTAATCACTAATGAAAATAACTGTTAGTTTCCACCCTTGAATACAATAGTGTCAAGTCATTATCTGTATGTCACCTGAACAGTGAGGGAGTGAGTGAGCTAGTGTGTGTTTATGGAGGTCACTGTAGTTCATGGCTGTCAGACAGTGTTGTGGTAGGAGATCACTGAGACACGCCTTCCTTCTCAGTCAGCCGTTAACCCTTTAGGCTCTGTAGCTGCTCCAGCTCTGTACGCAGCATTTAGTCTGGCAGGCGGGGTTGTTTGTCTCAGGCTGTAGATGGAGGCTTATGAAATGTGAAAATGGTCATGATGGTCTTGTATAAGCTGACAGTCTGCACTGGTCTTTGTCGACTGTATTAATTATGGAACTGCAGTGGAAATGTTCTTTCTTCCTTTTTTATTTTATTTTTCATATTACATTTATTTTTTTCTTGTGTCATGTTTTGCTCCTTTCAGGCAGGGGCAGCTGCTCATGTCTCATATTTATAAAATGTAGAAGTCTGATGCCTCAGTAAAGTAAAATATTTTAAAATTATCAAGCAAACATCCTTTTTTCTTCATAAAGGACTTAAAGCTATTCTCAAGGTTTATTTTGAGTGTTTTTTCTGAACCTTTCCCCTTTTATATAAAACAGATCACAACCCTGATCAGTAACTTAACTGGATGATTTAAATTTCTGTAAAGTGGTTAAATGATTTATCCAATGCATGGCCACATGTAGCTACTTTCTTAATTGAATCTTCCTTTATGTTCTAGCCAATAAAATGTCTCATAAACATAAAACACCATATCTAAAGACCAGTTTTAACCCAGTTGTACTTAGTACTGATCCTCAGATGGTATGTTTTTTAGGTGAAAATGTTTTGTCTTTGAAAGTGCTCAGATTGCAGTCTCTCTTTACTTTTAGTAGGCTTTGTAAATATGTTGTCAACTCTTGTCTATTTTTCTAGAAAAAAGCCGAAGAGGCCCATAAAATACTGGAGGGTCTTGGTCCCAAGGTTGAGCTGGTATGTGATCTTTAACAATATTTTCTGTCTTTGCTTGAGCTCTAAGGAAGAAGTAACGCTGAGCCGAGGAATAATCCTCTACCTGTTCCTTTTTTTTCTTTTTTCTTAGCCCCTGTATAATCAGCCGTCAGACACAAAGGTTTACCATGACAACATCAAGACGTGAGTATCTACATTTGTTCCACAGACCCATTTCATGAGCGCATGATGGTGCAAGAGTGTTGCAGCAGACATGATACACACCACAAATACAATATAGGAACCGTCCGAGCAAAGTGTTGGAGCTCAGCAAGATAAACCCGGCGGATAACTCTGTCTAATCTGATTGCTGAGTCACCTGATTGAGTTGCCCTACTGACACTAAGGAGAGTGATTGGGAACGGAAGCGAAAGAATGTACGTGTGTCGGCATCAGGTGTGTTTAAAGTAGGTGTGTGTTATGGGTTGAAGGTCATGCCGTGTAGGACAAAACCCTTATCAGTGTGCAGCATGAGAGCAGCCCATCTGGCTCAGTCTTTTATCGAGACAGACACCACCTCTGTGTGAATGTGCTGTACAGGCCACACTCTCAGGGTCAGCTCTCCCACTGTTATCTCCCACAGCCACCATCATGAGTAAACACAAGTTTTCCCAGTATTTTGTGTCTGCCACTTTGCAAATAAACAGTGATACGTTCAAGATATTTTTTGGCGGGGGTTTTGGAAAACAAATTAAGCTCTATCCCTGGAAGAATTTTCAAATTTACAAAGGCACTTTTGTATTAGTTTTGCACTCATTGATCTTCTCTGATGAAATAAGAGGGCATTACTTTTTTATGTGTTGTGCAGTTTTGCTTGATTTCTTGTAAACACCACAATAATATGTGTTGTTGTATTTCAGCAACCAAGTCATGAGGAAGAAGCTGATTTTGTTCTTTAAGAGGAGGAATCATGCTCGCAAACAAAGGGTAAGTGTCCCTGCTGTTAAGAAACCAAGTTCCAGGTATTTCTGTTTGTGCTCTGGACACAACATTAGCGGCGCCATCCGTTCCCACGGCCACTGAAACAGTCATATCATACCTTACTGTCTGCACTCAGATGACTTCAGCTGAACGGGCAACAGTTAAATCTTCTGTATCTTCCTTATTTACCTGAAGCTACAGAATGCTGGCTACAAATTCAACAAACCACAGGTTTTCTGGTTTTAACATTTGTATTTTTTATATAATTAAATTCAGAAGGCAGACAGTGTAGCTTCGTCTGACTCAAAGACCCGATCAGGAGTCATGCTAACAGCTCTGTGAGGCTACACTTAGGCAAAGCTGTTGCTATGTGCTAAATGCTAACATCAGTATGCTGATTCAATAGGTACAGGTCATTCGTCTTATTGATATTTGATGATAAACCCAGGAATTGATCCAATTAAAATTCAGGCCTGATGATGAAAATTAAGTTGTCGAGACGTTTCACTGAAAACCTCAAACGTCTCATGGTGCTAGAGTCGACCTCCAAAGTCAGTAGGCTGGGAACCGTGAATGTCTACAACATTACATGGAAATGCATCCAGTAGTTGCTGTGGTATTTCAGTCTCAACTAAACTAGTGGACCGACTGACCAACACTGTGATGCATTCGTTACAGTGACTGTACGACCAAATGGGAAACGCCTAGGTTTCCCCTGTTTGTTGAAAAGTATTGTGTGAACCAATTACTGCTTTTACATAGAACAGAATAACAAATACCGTCACATCAAAGAGCAGATTTAAGCAATACATTGGTTAAACATCTGTCTTTCTGTCTCTCTGATCTGTAACCGGTGATCTAAATACTTCTGAATCACCCCATGTTGAAAAATTTGGATCCCTTTTTGTATTGCAATGGCTCAGTGGGGCCCACCTTTGTCTGGCTGTTCCCTGTCAGGGTCAGACAGACCTTTTGGACTCTGAACAATGGCAGAGTGCACATGGCTTCATGCCAAGAGGAAGGTGAATTGTTTGTCCCTTGCTGCACAGAGTGGAAACGAGGGTGTATTGTCCTCCCAATGCAGGAGTCTTTCCATATTTTCACTAAACATTTTAACTCTTGCGCCTCTGGAAATGAGTTTGATTTTAGTATTTTTTTTTTTTTTTTTTTTTTTTTTTTGCATGTGTATGTGATTAAAAATTAATCTGTAACAAAATGGCAATGATCTTATGAAAGCTATTTGTAAACAGAATAGTTGCATCAGAACAAATTTTGCCAGGGTCAGGGCACTGCCTTAGGCAATTTGAAAGACAAACACAAACCCACAACAAACACAGCCAGCTCCTGAGCAGCATGTTCTCCCTCAACTCTGCAGCTCTCACCTCAATTTTCTACCGCCTGTCTGTAGTTGTTTACTTTAGTTCTCATGTTTGCTTTCAAAGATAAACTGTAACACTGATTTCACCAACGTCTGTAAAAAATAAAATTCATGTTCGCCTACACTGCCTTTAGAAAAGAGACATGTCACAGTCATTGTTGATATTTAACCTGATGGTTTGGTTTTAATACCTGTGTTTCCATTATTTGCATCTATTTTGCCTCTTCTCTACAGTGTCCTAGCAACATATTACACCAACTGTACCTCCAGCACACTGAGCTCCATCCTGTGCTCAATTAGACACATGAGTTTCTCACCTCCAGAACTTCATAACCCTTTAAAAAAGTTGTATATAAACAGTGCTCCTTTGGGTTCAAAAAATCAAGATAGCCCTTATTTTAAGTAACGTACACTGGGGTAACATTAAAGCATCAGAAGACGCCCTTTTAGTCTGTATCACAGACCAGCATTTTTCATGCTGTGTGCGCAGGAACAGAAGATCTGCCAGCGCTATGACCAGCTGATGGAAGCGTGGGAGAAGAAGGTGGAGCGAATGGAGAACAACCCCAGACGCAAAGCCAAGGAGAGCAGAACACGGGAGTACTATGAGAGGCAATTCCCTGAGATCCGCAAGCAGAGAGAGCAGCAGGAGCGCTTCCAGAGGTAACAGCATTTACCTGTCACATACTGGGGCACAACATACGGTTGGCTGTGATTGGTTCTTTGTTCAGAAGCACACATATAGTTACAGATATAGTTCCTAAAAACATCAAATATTCGCATTTGGAATCAGTGACTTCTCTGGAATTTTTGTTCAGTATATTACTTCAACATTTGATCAATGATCAGAGTTGTTGCTGACAAATTTTCTTTTGATTGATTAATTTTTGCATTTCGAATACAGACACATAATTGGCTGGTGGAAGGAGATTTACTGTACTCCGTTTGATTTACTTTATGGGATACTGGATGACCTGTACTTGAAGAAAGCAGTTTCTCAGTCTGTATCTCTCTGAGAAATTATACATTTATATTTATTTTCTCTATCATCATAGTTTTATAGCCCAGTACGTCTTCTGTTTAATACAGATAGCTGAGCTGGAAACTGTTGCTTTGCAAGAGCAGATTTTATGATGGAGTGGAATATTCAGCTAGCAGTACATTAAGCCATCACAGCACAGGGCAGGAGCCACTGTTATGTGAAGGTGGTCAAAGATGGAGGGACTAGAGTGAAATTGTATTCTGGCAATCTTATGATGGTTTAATAATTGACAGTAACTGCAGCCACCCAGACATTAGGATATCCGTTCAGCTATCACCTAAATGGAGGGCACTAGGTGTGTGTGGTGGCGGCGTACTTTGGGCAGAGACACTGGCTGTCTGGGTGGCTCTGGAGAGGGTGGGAGACGGGGTCAGGGTCCAGCGTCTGGTTGTTGCTGAAGCTGATGCTTTGTGCTTTCATTGAAATCTCCAAGTAAGAGTTTGCATGTCAGCACTGTTTATGCAGACTGCCAGACCATGAAGGAGGAAGCAAGTAATAACTGGCCAGAGAGACTTTCATTCATTAATAATGGGTACAGTGATTCTGCTTGTTAACAATCTGACTTGGTTTTGACTGGAAAGGAAACGACTGTGAATAAGTAATTGAAAACTTGGAAATATTTGTGCAGCATAGACATTTATTTAAATATGTTTTAACATTTGTAACCCCGTTTTCAACAGAGTTGGACAAAGAGGAACAGGTCTTTCTGCAACAATTGCCAGAAGCGAGCATGAGATTTCTGAAATCATAGATGGCCTTTCTGAGCAGGAGGTGGGTACTAACTATAGAGCCTTTGAAATATGCTACCGTGTAGATATGATAGGCCTTACCTAGAGGAGAACAGTCCACACAGTTTGTGTTTTTGAAGAGGTGGGGGGTCTCTGTAGCATTTCTCTTATTTCATCATCATGAGTGTATATATAATCTGCATAAGTCTGGGAGCAGATTTCAAAGTAGAAACAAGAACAAGGGAACAAGGGAGAGGGTTCTCTGTTGCAGTAACTACAGCCACTTTCCCTGTCCATGTTCCACAGAACAATGAGAAACAGATGAGACAGCTGTCCGTCATCCCTCCCATGATGTACGACTCCGAGCAGAGGCGAGTGAAGTTCATCAACATGAACGGCCTGATGGACGACCCGATGAAGGTGTACAAAGCCCGGCAGTTCATGAATGTTTGGACCGAACATGAGAAGGAGATCTTTAAGGAGAAGTAAGTTGTTTTTGTTTTGTGTCTGTCAGGACATGCCTGAGTCGCAGCTCGTCCCCGTAAATCTGAAGTGCAGAGATGGTTTATGGACCTAAATGTGAGCTTGCACTTGCACTGATGTATTTTTGGCTGTGGCACGTGATTAACAGCTGACGTCTCTTTGCAGGTTTGTCCAACACCCCAAGAACTTTGGCCTGATTGCCTCGTATCTGGAGAGAAAGGTAAACTGCTTCTTGTATTTTCACATGTGCCAGTTTTTAGAATATATAGCAGGATTTAATGTTATTGATCTCTTGGGTGGTACATTAAATACACTCTCTCCCAAAGTCAGAAACACACGACTCTTCTGGATTCAGGACCTTAAAGCTCTATGGTCACTTTTTCATGGTAAAATATAAACTTAAAAGTTTTGATGTAATTAAGTATTTAGCTTTAATTATTTAAGCATTTGTCATAAAACCCCTTTAGACCAGTTTATTTTGATTTATTATGTACAAGGTATTTCTTTATAATGAACAGAAATATTAAGATCTGCTCTCTCTTGCTCCCCATCGCCCATTAGTATTAGCCATATCAGCTCTAAATGTCCATCTGGATGATAATAAACCTGTTAGGTCTGTGGTTTCTGCCTCTGGAAGATGGTTATTATCAATATGTTGACTATGATACTGCACAGGAGTAATACATATGAAGTTTTCATATGAGCACAAATGAAAGGAAATAAACAAATGCTTGAATATGTTGCAATTTCTTGTTTCAGTGTGTTGCTGACTGTGTCCTGTATTATTACTTAACCAAGAAGAACCACAACTACAAGACGTTGGTGAGACGGAATTATGGACGCCGGAGAGGAAGGAACCAGGTAAGCCTCAGACTTTATGAAATGTATACATGAAAGATCTTTTAAATGATTGGAAAACTGGTTCTCCTGATGGATAAAATTACATTAAAGTATAAAAGATGACGAAGTAGTAAGTCCAGTTCTATTTGAAATTTCTGTTTGCAGCGTTGGGTTTGTCTGACTCATTTGCCACACCTGTTTCATGTTTGCTCACATGTTGTTTGTGACGGATATTCGGCGTGTCTGCCACATTTCAGACTCACATGCCACACCTATCTATAGTGTTAAGTGGTAAGAATTTGGCATCCACATCGCTGGCACTATTCATGGGGTGGAGTGAGCAAAACAGGAAGCAGAGTGGGTACCCCTCAACTTTTCTTGGATTATTAGGAATCATTAGGATTATTAAGAAACTTTTGGATTATTGTGACACTGCTACAGTATGACTTGCTTGTGAGTCAGTTCTCCTAAGGACAGTCAAATAGATCAGATGGAGCTTTTATTGTATGAAAACAGACGTTTGCACATTTGAGAAAAAGTTCAGGATTAGAAAAAGTGACGCTGTTGCTCCCAGTAAATTATCATTTGTTGAAGTGTTGAACTTTATGATAACACTTAATTGATTAATTAGTTCATACACAGAAAATTCAATGTTTTGAAATTGGATTAATTGTAAACACTCATTCTTTCCAACTTCTCAATCAAGGGGATCAGCTGCTTTACCTTGTTTTATGTGACGTTAAACTGAATATTTTTAGACCGTGAGACAGACAAAAAAAGCAGACAAATATTTGAAAACATCACGTTGAGCTTTAGGAAATTGGGACTGACCTATTTCTTTTATATATAAAACAAATACTTGATTAATCAACCAACAAATGAATCAATAATGAAAATAATTGTTAGTTGCAGCCGTTTTTCAAACCCAATAAAAAAATTATGATGTACCACATTCTGCTCCTGTGAACAGATTCAGCAGAACAAACACAGTGGAGACAAAATGCTGGGGCAAAGGTGACATTCAGAATATATAAACTTGGGACACACTAGTTAGAAAAATGAGTGTGTGTAAATAAAAACATACATTTATTAATGATGTAATAATACAACAAAGATAACGGCAAAAGAAGCACAAACTAAAGCTGCAGCAGTCTCACTGAACAGTTTCACAAAAATCAGTAACAACTAATGCGAAGGAAATGAAATAATTCCATATTTATTGACAAATGTAGGAGATGATATGACGGTCTGGGTCTCTACACAGATGTGTTTGTCACGGTATCAAGCACAGAGACGAACTGGATTCGCCTCTCCCTTTAAAACCTCTGTGTGCCAAAAGTGAAAATTACAAAGTGACAGCTATGAAGATATGTTGTTGTGCTCTTCAGGGCGTTACGTAATTATTGTCTTTCCCCCAAATCCAGTACAAAAAGAAGCACCATCTCCCAAGCCTGTGTTGAGGGGTATTAAATTATTTTTACTCATCCTGGTGGATGTTTTCTTCTTACTTTACTGATGCCACAGTCCTTGTACGGGACATTTTGTCTCTTTGCAAAGTACAGTACATATGCTGTGTAACCCAATGGGTTGGTTGTAGACTGTTTCTTGACATAGGAGGAGGTGGAGAGCACAATAATTCATGATTACATCCTAAACTCAAAGATGGTTCTTCTTCTTTTACTAAGTGACAGGTGCAATTTCTTCATGGATGACTGATCTCCGCAGTGTGGAAGCGTCTTTCTGTGTATGTAGCTTGTGAGCTAATGATTCTTTAGCTTACTGAAGACTATCTCTGTGTGTTTTTGGACTTCTTGGTCATTTGATATGGCGGATCAGAGGCAGGTTGCTTTATGTGGGTTTTGTCTGAGAGATGGGGGACATGTAAACTGGAACAGGTTGTCTGTGATCATGCAAGATCCTGTTCAGCAGCTGTTGTGCCTGTGCTTAAGATGTCATGTTTCATAACTGCTGAAGCTGCTTCCTTTTAAACTAACATACATTTTGAGGGATCGGAGCACATACAAACATAAAAACAAAGGTTTTCAGTGGGTAGGCGCTTTAATGTAAAAGTGGGTGTGAGATCATCTTGAGATTTAGGTGAATTGCTTCAATGACGTTGTTGTGGATGTAAATACTGTTTTTTCTTCTTTGCCATTTTGACTAATGCACATCAGGATGTCGTGGATTTCCAAGCCGCTGGTGTGACTTAACAACTGCTGTTTGAGCGAGTAGAGTGAGTCATTAGCGAGGGAAGGAGGAGGACAAAGTTAGCAATAGCAAGAGCAAAGGAATGTAGGGTGAGTGAGTGAAACTGAGTGAAAAAACCCTGAGCGAGACAGAGTCAGCGCTTGCAGCTTATCTGGTGGAGTGTGTGCTGTTGTTTTTTTCATTTTCCATTTCCTCTTTCTTCTGTTCCTCTGAGAGAGCGAGAGAGAGAGAGAGAGGGAGAGGGAGAGGGAGAGAGCGCGCCACCCCTCTCTGAAACAGCTGAATTGGTACAGCCCAGCCATCTGACAGGCCCAAAAAACTCACTGTGCTGCTGTGAGTGCCAATCAAAGAGGAGTGCACGGCAGGGATTACCTTGAGTGACCCTGCATAGATTAGTGCGTGCATGTGAGATGGACAATTCTTTGGGCGGCTTAAGCGGCCTGATGACACGCTTTCCTGGAATATGTGCGGCCGTGCTGTGGCCCGGCAGCCCTTCTAAGGAGCTCTGCTATGGTGCTGTCCTGCCCCTCTACTGCTATCGTTACCACCGCTATGGAACTACCGGAGGGTAAACTCACATTTGCAACACCAGTAAGCTGTGGCTCACAGCAGAGCAAGGGGTTTTTGTGACCAGCAAATGAGCTTGCAGGTATGTCACTAGCTTTGAAACCACGGATCTTTTTTTCTCTACTTGATACCACACTCTGTCAGTTTATTTCCGTTGTCTTGTTTCTTCTCTTTTTTTTTGTTTGTGTCATATTTTCTGTTGCTCTTCTGCTCGGGCCTTTCGTTTCTTAGCCTACATATTTACTTGAGCCTTGTAGGCAGTCACACTCGGCTATTTTAGGGCAGTTTTTCTAGGACATGTGCAGACATGGTTTTTAGTTTAAGAGTCAAGCCAAGACTGTGTGGTCACGCATGTACATATGTATCTCTGCTATTGTGCATGAACTTCTGAGATGAGAAAATATAGGAATACATTTTTAGATTTAAGATTTTATAGTGCAGAGTTTGAGGCATTAGACACACTGGCTTTATATATAATATTTCTTGAGTTAATGTGCTTCAAGTAACTATTATAATATGTCCCCCATGTCAGCTGAACCTCATTTACTGATCTAATGAATATTCTGACTAAGTTTGTGAACACACACACACACATACACACAAACACACACACACACACACACACACACACAGACGCACACAAAAAAATAACAACACCAATAAACATCAGTTCAGTACTCACAATACACATTCATGTGGAAGCCTTCATAGGCTACATCCCCCACTGTGTCTGCAACCATTTCATAGTAAGAACTTCCTCCTCGTGTTCTTGCTCATGCAGGTCTGTTCTGACAGGAACACAGCATCTCTACATCTTTGTTTTAAGCCCCACCCTTAAAACAAAAGTCTCATTAGACTTTTTTTTTTTTTTTTTCAGCAAAGGAACATTTTCAACTTATTAGTCATTTTTTTGTGCAGCTTTGGCAATGTTTGCACAACAATTCGGACCAGCTGCAATACAGTGTGGCCTTTTATGATCTTCTCTTTTATGGTCTTGATAATGAGTGTCAATGTGTAATATTTATCTACATTATAGCCGAGGGAGAGGCGGTCCCTCACTGATTGTGTTTTATATTGATGCTGTAACTTTCACGTTTAATTTAGTGACCTTCTAGGGCTCCACTACTGGGGGGCGGTGGCAGTATTTGCTTATTCCAGTTTGAAATTAGTTTGTTTTAGCATAAAGTTAATCATGTTTTAGACATGTGGTTGTTATCAGTTTTCAGAATTGTCAATATTTTCAATTAGATTTCTTCCTTCGACAAATTCTCTCTAAAACAGACATCACACATCCAGACCAATACGAGCCTATTGTTGTCACATCTCTGACGTATTTTTTATGGATCCTGGAAACAGTGTTGTTGTCGCTGAAATTAAAAAAAAAAGAAAAAAAAGAATCTGCTTATCTGTTCATCAGCCATTGTTTTGAGAACTAAAGACAAACATGAAACAAAGACTATGTATCGTGAGAGGAGAGCAGGGCAGATATGACGACTCGTATTGCAATCCTGCAAAAATCCAGTTCTACCACAGCCATCTCTTAAGCTTGATCTCATCTGATGTACTAACACACCTACGCTACAGGCCATGTTTTTGCTAACACAACACATTTGTCAGAGGAGCAAAACACTGACAAACATCCAGAGCATGTGTTATGGTAAAATGCCAGAATGGAATACAAACGCAATATTCGCCATTACAGAGAAAAATGTGAGTAGCTTGTGGTTGTCAGCGCAACTTTTTACATGTTAAAAGATGAAAACTATGACATAAAGCTTAATTTAGGGGGAGTGTACATTCTCGTTGTCATGTAGCCATAAAGTGCGAGGACTGACCTCCTGCACCCCTTTATTGTCTTTTGTCTTTATTATCTTAAACGTGTATATATGTATATGCCCCTTTTCATGCTGATGAAAGCCTATAGCTGAAAAGCATCAGCCGTGATATTGCACTAAAAAATTATGTTCTACAGGCTTTTTTTTTTTTTTTTTTTTCCACCGAACTGATTTGACTTTTGAGGTTGAGCACCCTACTGGAACGTACACCTGTTACAAAAAAGTCTTCTTCTCTTGTTGAAATAATGTAGCCACCTCCTGGCTGTCATCTTTTCTTTAATTTCTTGCCTGGTTATTAATGAAATGAAGACTAAGGAGCTGGTTACTGGGAGACACCACACCTGTTCAGTTTATTGATCAGCCTGTCGAAGTGGTCGAGGAGTTCTGATAATTAGGAACCTTTTTTTGATAGCACTTTAAATTTTACAGCCAACATGGAATACATTTTTAAAAAAGCAATGCAGCGCTTGTATCTAATCAGGAAATTGCACTCATATGATATAAGCAAGCAGAAACAGCTGCAGTGTATATACAGACTACAGGTGAAACAGAAAGCTTGACAAATCATCAGCATCAAGGATGAACTAAACTGCCCTCAGGAAGACGCTGTAGAACAGCAACCAAGGACATTTACAGAAAGTCCTTTTATACCAAATGCAATAACTTTGTTGAACTCATCATTCACACTGGAATCATGTCCTTTATGGTTGTTTGTACTGTGCATGTTGAGCTAATTTTATTATTGTATGTATTGTTAGTGAGTCACAATGATGTGTTTTAACCAGCTTGTGAAGCCAATAATTATAGATAATAATTATTATTACACATATCCTAAAGGTTTTTATGTTGGTAAATGTGATCAGTGTATATAGATCTACAGGGTGAGCAAATATGTATAACTCTTTGCTCATGTCTGTTCTTTGTTATGGGGATGCATAAAGGCAAAATGATTCTTGAGAGCCTCTCTCTTAATTGCCTGGCAGTAAAGTTGATCAAGCAGTGAAGTAGATTTCATTGCTTTGTAGCACCAATGATGAGCTATTCTTTCCCTGCTGAGCTGCTAGTAACCACGGTAACTGTGGCTCATTTTTTTACCTTATTTTTGACAGAAAATTTTTCCACTATGAACACTTAGGAATTAATGTCACCGTCAGCTGGATAACAAGATATACACATGGATTAAAATGCTGCTGTTAAATATAATGTTTTAAACTTATTCCCTTCTTTTCCCTTTTCCTCATTTCAAGGATTTCTTGAATGTTTCTGCTAATTGTTTCTGCTAATGTTAATTGTGTCTTTGGATGATGGTAATTACTGTAATTAGTTGTAAGGATTGAGGTGACACATAGTAATAATTAGTGTAATAATACGTTATTTTTTCATTTCCTTCTCCTTCGGTGGAGCTGCTTGAAGCAAGAGTGAGATATTCCTCTGGTGGCCGAAGTTCTGTGGTAGGAAAGGGAAGATTGACTTGTGGCTCTGTCATTTCCTAAATCAAACAGGACTTGTGAATCAGCAAAAGAGGGGAGAAATTAAAACTCTCAAAATATTCAAGCCAGGTCAGGAAAGAGCTTCATTTAAAAACACTGAAGAACCACAGAACCACAGGGCCTCATTGACTTTTGGAGAACATCTGTGTAGAGGCTCTTTACGCAGTGTGGGAGAAGAGGCAGGAATGCCACGGCTCTCTGACCACCTCCAAAGCAAACACGAGCGCTCCCAGACCCAACCAGAACAGCATCTCAGTGAAGGACATGTAGGGGGAGAATAACTCAGACTGGTCTCTGCAAAAAAGGTCTCTGAATTGTTGAGTGCCAAAAACATTCCTTGCAGACTGCTGCAGGCAGGAAACGAGTCAGGAATTTAATTCTCAATCCAAGTTTGACGTGGGCTTGTCTGTATACATCAACCTACAATATGAGCTCTGACTCTGCAGGGGTTTCCTTAAGGAATTGAACAGTGCATCACGCCATCATACCATTACCAAAATATAGTTACATGAGTATTCTCAAGCCATTTTAGCATGTAATATACTAAATATGGATTAACACTTTTGAAACGGATCTCACCATCGTATCTATTCTGGCGAGACCCCTCGTCTGCATCAGAGAGTAAACGCAAAAGGAGCTTGTAGTTAACAGCGATGACATCAACTACAAATCAAATCTTCCAGTTTTGTCTACAATTGATTTAAGGGGTATGAAGGGGAGGCTGTGAGCTGAGCAGCCTAATATGAAGTATATGGGGTAAACTTAATATAGCATCACATGCAGTTTTCTTTTGAATATTGTAGATTTGATTTGGTGAGTCACTCCACTCCTAGAAGGCAAAATCCTCCGATTATTGGTCGTCTCTGGTTAGAGCTGGCTACAGCAGACGCTAATTCTGCAAGTCAGGAGACACAGACATGAAAACAGCTACGATCCGAGCAACTAAGGCTGACTTCAATAAACTACTGGGGCAGTTGCTCGCTGTCTGTTTCTAGAGAGTTGTCAAGCTTTTCAGTATCAGGCTTTATTTTTTTATATGGTAGCCAGACTCCTCATGTGCAGAGCCATGTTGTTGTAAAATAGACAGACTGCCAAATCCCAGCTTTTGTTTTTTTTTTTCATGTTGTAGCCCTGTCTTCCTTCTCTTTGCCTCAGTCCATATCTTTTGCCTTTACCATTGAGTGCAGCACATTCCTTGGCCCCATCTGGTACCAGCATGGGATGTTTGGCTTGGCATAGCCAGACTTGTTCCAGCACAGCGCTTTCATGGAACAGGCAGGAGGAAGCATTCTGTGGTGTACCGCGCCAGCAGTGATGATAAAGAATGTTGCTCTGCCCTCAATCACTCTGTCGGTCCTGTTTTTTAAAATTCGGTTTTGAATGATGTTTTCACTCTGCTTGTGTAGGCAGTGATATCGATCTGAACTCAACCTCCAGCCTTTTTTTTATTTTTTATTTTAAAATACTAACATCGTCTTCTCTTCGGTTTAAGACTTGCTGCCTTTTTATCTGTTGCAGTGTGGTGTAAAATTCATAATGAGCATTATGGTCAAGTTCTTTTCTCTCTTTCATGGATTTACTGAGACAATTAAGGCATGAGAACTGGCCGCACTCCAAAATTCATCATTTCAGATCTGGTTCTGCAATTTGATTCGTTTGTGTTTCACATGTTTCTGCAGATACTGGACCATGTAAAGATCATCAAATATGGCGCAGCCTTAAAACTGTCTGCACAGGGTGTACAACTCCACTTTTCATCTTCTATCTAGTCATCATATTTGTTGTGTCTTTGGTTTTTGATGAAACCTGAAAAGCAGTTGGAAAGTGAGGAAATCTAATAACCAGATGGCAGCATACATTTCTGCCATTCATCTAACTTGGTCTGTCTGCAATCAAAGACTTTGACTATGTCAGCACACCATTCAGGCCCATATTGTGTTGTACAATTTCAAATGGTCCTCTGGGCTCACAGGGCCAATGCAGGCTCTGCTATACCATGAGAAGATGGCTGTCACTTGATAGCATGTAATAAAGCTGGACCAGGAGGTGTGTAAATGTCGGGGGAGGGGGGGGGTGTAGAAGAAGGTGAGGGTGTGTGGCAGGTGTAAAGCTTTGGCATCAGTATGTGTGGTATATTCTGTATGATAGCTGAGAAGTATCAGACCGGTCTAAGATACATCAGGATGTGTCCTTTAACAATACTTGTGGTGGTTGTTTGAATGACCTTTTTTAAATACATTACATCTGAATTAAAACACTGATATCACCCTAGCATCTTGAATGACTTTTACTAATCTGCACGTTGACCTTTTTCTTCATGTTTCAAGGAGAAACAACTAAATGTTTTCCTTTTGTGTTTTGTCTCCAGCAAATAACACGTCCCTCACAAGAAGACAAGTCAGACGAAAAAACCGAAGAGGACAAATCTGAAAAATCAGAGAAAAAAGAGGACGAGGAAAAGAAGGACGAGGAAGAGAAAGATGAAAAGGAGGATTCTAGGTGAGTTATGAATAGTTGTTTGTCCTGGTGTCAGTCAGCACACATTAAATTTCAGTGCTTTCAGTTAATTATAGCAGTCATTAGAAGCAACTCCATTTCTTTAAATGCCTTTATTTAAAAGTAATGCTGGTATTTAAAATCCAAATCGTAAACAGTTCACCTTTTCATAGTCCAGTGACCCTGTGCAGTTACAGTTGTATATATCAACAATGCGCCTCCAAGCTATAAACAAGAGATATGACTGTAGCTTGTGCTGTGAATAAACAATTCTCCCTGGATGTAACCTGTTGAGCACAGCAGTAAAGAATTCATAAGGCTGCCTGCACAAATGACTTTTATCACTCTGTAACATCCAGTTAGTCATAATGTGTTAATCCTGTAATAAACAGAGCAAAGCCTGTTTTTAGGATTGTGTTGTTTTATATTGTCTCATCAAATAATGAATGAACATCAGAATCCCCCGGTTCTCAGTGGAGTGATGCACGTTCGTGGTCTAGAGAAGACTTGCAGGTGGTAGAGCTGTGTCTGTTTTGGTGCTTTGCTAATAAACTAGCCAACTTGCTAACTTGTCCGGCTTCAGTGTGGACAAACTCTAAAAGGCTTTTATTGTGTGTTCAATCACGGAGGAAGACAACAGATTACAAAAAGGGCCTGTTATTGCTGAGTCAAAAGGGAATAGATGTTTGCTATACCAACCGTCTCTTAAAGCTTCGCGCTCCCTCTCCAAAACCACAGGGACATTGGCAAGGACAAAGACAAGTGTGACGGTGGGGAGGACGAGGACGGAAAGGAGCAAAACACGCCGCGTGGCAGGAAGACTGCCAACAGCCAGGGCCGCCGTAAGGGAAGGATCACCACACGCTCCATGGCCAATGAGGCTGCAACTGTGGCGGCCGAGGAAGCACCTCCCCCTGCCCCTGAGCCGGTCTTGCCAGATCCTCCGCAGCTCCCTAAATCTGATCCAGCACAGAAGTCCATGAAGGAGCCAGCGAAAACTCCAGTGGCTTCCATGGATGCTAATAAAGGTGAATCCCTTTGGGGATGCTCTCTGGAAATTGTTGAAAATATTTTTCTGCAACACACAAGCAAAGTTGGTGATGGAGAATTGACACAAAGAAAAAAAAGAAAAATAAAATTGTACGATATTTCATCGCGAAATGTGTGAAGAAAAGAAAAATGTGTACTAGAGCATCTGATTGATGAATCAATGGCATGAGATTATCCAGAGCTCATTCAAGCTGCATTAGCAGGAGTCTCTTACACAGTCTAGACTTATTATATATAGATGTGTTTATTTTCCTTTTACACATGCAAAGATTTCACATTACAAACATTAAAAAATTCAGTGTTTTTTTTATTTTTTATTAAGAGACTCTCATTCTTGATTTTAACAATGACATCTTTTGAAGTTATTACAACACACCACAAAGCACACAGCAACCTGCACAATTAACTACAACAGTTACTGTCAAGTGAGCTCAGCGTTCCCTTCTAGCTTTGTAAATGTCACGGTAGGATAAAAGATATTTTAATTTCTCTCTCATGAATAATCAGGTGTCGTCATTGACTGGCCCGGTGTAACAGCCAATGTTCAGACTGTAAGCGTCTTGTTTTAAGAGCTGGAATAATAGAATAGCACATGCCAAATATGCATCTTAAACAAGGTTTAGACACATGTCAGAATCGTGTAGGTACATGAGCTGCTAAAGCCTGAAAGTGGACAGTTGGTTCAGTAAGTACATTCACTCGAAGCCAATTTCAGACAGACTCTGTCCTGCACTCAGGAAGCTCTGTGTAGTCCGTCCATCACCATGGCAATCCACTGCCCTGGTTGAGCTGTTGTCATGGTACTTAGTCACGCACTTGTTCTCTTCCACCCTTGAAGTCCGTCTGTCTGACGGTGGCAGCTCAGGTTTTCAGGTATCAAAGTCCCCGTGTGTTAAGCTCGTTGTGGCGTTAATCTGAATCATTAATTCACTGTTTTGTAAGTGCGCCGTGCTCCTCTGCCACCTGCTCCCGCTGCTGTCTGTCGCGCTCTACCTCGCTCAACAGTTATGCAAGGTTTGCCCTGTAATGTGATTAATTAACCTTCTACTGTGTGTTCTTCCATCATGTCAACCCGCTGACCTTTCTGGCCCTGTTCTGGGCATATCACGGTTTACGTAGGACTGTATCAACTGTAATCTCTCCTAGTGACTACATGGAGGATATTGTGTGTTTGTTTGCTTGCCCTGTTGTAACCCCTGCAGCTATGGCGCTTCTCAGAAAAAAGTGTGCTAGGTGCTAAAGGGTAGCTATCTGTCAGTCTGGTCCAGTTGAAATGGTGCCGAGCAAGTTTAGGAAGCTGCTGATTCAGTGGGAGGTGGGGGGTGGGGGTTTGATCCTGACGCAGTGGGGGATGGTGTGTTTGTGTGTGTGTCATTAGGTGAGATGCTACAATATAGACGGTTACCCAGTCTGTTTCCATATTGCGGTGATTAATGGCCACCCTAGAGGGGTCTAACCCGTCACGGGGAGAACATGTGAGGTTTGCCTCTGAAGACGGAAGCCCAGTCCAGTACACATTTGTTTAACTAAGTGTAACAGACTGTGTGGCTGGGGGACCTTTGGTAGGAGCCGTCTAAACAGTGAGAATTGATCTCCTCATCCTAGAGGTAGGGGGGTGGGCGGGGGATGGGGGGGGGGCAAGCCGCCTGTTAATGTCAAGGGTACATCTGCTGCTATATTAGTCCAAATGTTTACACAGTCTCAGTGGGTGCCATGGAGGAGAGTGTGCTAGAGTTCACTCGACCCCCTCCACGCTAACCGTGCACTTCTGTGAATTTTGTATTGGGTGGGGGGGGTGCAACTGTGTAGTCAAGCCAAGGCAAGAAGGAGGAGTGTGTATGAGATGCGCAGTGTCACAGTAGAAGGGGTGGGAGGGTTATTTGTCTCCATCCAAGGCCTTTTCCCAAAGAGGGAGGCACGGCTCTCAACTCCTCCACTGTCTGGTGCTGGATCAGCTGACCAAGGCCCTCCCCCTTGTGGATTAGAGAGGAGGAGGGCTTGTACTGTGGGTAAGGGGGAGAGACACATAGATGGGAGGAGAGAGAGAGAGAGAGTGAGGAGAGTGAGCTAGAGCAAGAGTGTAAGTGAGGGAGCAGGTCTCGGCAGCCCCTGAATGTAAACAGATTATTAGATTAGTTGCCATGAGAAGAAGACGGCTGAAGAGAGGACTGTCACTCTCTCTCTGTGTCTGTCCCCCTCCCTCCCTCTCTGTTGCTCTCTGTCTCTCTTTCTCTCTGTCAGTGCTCATGGAGCTGTTTTTCTTTTCTTTGTGATTTAGCTGGTGCTGGTGAAACCGGAGAAACTTCTCGCTGGACCGAGGAGGAGATGGAGGTCGCCAAAAAAGGTAGAGTTTCGATTCATTTCTCTCTCGCTTTATCTCTCCATCCTTCCCCTGTTTCTGTGTCGCTGTGATCTTTTCTCGTCTTTCCCCCCTCCCCTGTCTTTTCCTCTTCTGATTATCTGATGTTGCCTCGCCCTGCCTGTTTCTTACGTGCACAAAAAAAAAGAATGTGCACGTGTGTTCGCACGAATACAAACTTGTGCTGCTGCTTTACTGGAAGCTGTGAGAGACTCATGAAGGCTTTCAGGGATCCCTTTTTCTTTTAGCTCCACCGCTCTGCTGGTTTCTCAGAAGTGATCTATTAAGGCCATCCATTAAGCAACATAGCGTGATTTTTTTTTTTTTCCTCTCTTTTTTTTTGTTGCTTCCTTTAAGATCACTATCTATTATTCACATTCAAACACTTTGTCAGATCCTCTGAAAAGATTTAAAATCACTTTGGTCTCGTAAATTCTTTAAAATGCTGCATACTGTGCCTGATCTCGTCAGTCATTAGTCAGGTCATATGCCATTCAAGCGTGCCCCCTCTCCCCCCTTTTTGCTGGCTTTGTTGCTATAGGCTCTTATGTAGGGTCCCCTGAGTGCCAAGAACCATAGACTGGGGATTTAATGTGGATTAATTGAGACTCAGTTGTGTGGGTTTTGGAGATTTGCTTTCCCCTTTACAAAAATACGTTGCTGCTGTGATCTCCTCAGGCATTCAGACCTGTAGTGTTTCTGGATTAGTGTACGTAAGAGAGACCTGCTCGACCTACTCTAGTCATATGACAGAGCAGGTTCAGAAATCACTTTTATGCTGTGCTGCCACACATGGCTGATCATGCATGCACATTGAAAGCAGTTGCTCTCTAACTCATAGTTGCAACCTGTTGATCTACGCGAGCCTCTGAGGAAATACAAGGCTAACACACCCGAGGCCTGGAAGTCGAACCAGAAGCTTTTCCCCGAGGAGGAAAAAGAACTCAGCTCTATGAAGGGAAATAGAAAAGATCAGATTATTGTTGGTATAATTTCACACCTGCAGTCTAATTGGACTTTATGAACAAGCAGTTTTTCAAACATACCTCATCAGACAGGATCCTGTCATATGAGGCTCACATATTTCAGCCTAATCCTGTTTTTGTTTTTTTTTAAACTTGCTGGTCATTGTTATTTCACTGGTTTGCTGCAACTACATTATCTGGACAAAATAATTAGAGCAGCCAACAGTGTAAAACGTATAATACAACAAATAGTTAAAACTACCATAAAAATGAATCTGTGCCTCTGTGACAACAAACATTTAACATTACAAGCTTTTTAAAGATGGCTTTTTATTGTAGAGCTGTTGCATCATCTTTTATTACAGAGAGAGTTATTTGTTATAACATTTACAATAATTATAACATATTTGCAAATCCATGTGTCTGCTAAACCAAGAATTTAGAGTAAAGATGTTAACATCTCCTTAGCGCTGTCAAAGACTTTAGTCAAGGACATTGGCACAATATAGTGAGTAGATTCCTCCCATGGTAATTCTATAATGCTGATATGTTACGTCTGTAGTTTTATGCTGATCCATGAACGAGAAAAACAGCCTGTTGGTCAGAGTTGGTAATTTCACTTGAGTCATTCTTTGTCATTCTACCTACTGTCATTTGTCACGTGACAATGATGAAGACAGTCGAACAACCAAGTGTAAATTAGTCTCAAGACATCCAAGAGAAGATCTGGGTGCCACAACTAGCACGAATATCTCTTGTTGAATGTGTCGTGCTCAGTTATGCTGTGAAACCGTGTTCAGGGTCTTTGGAAGGTCCTGCTTGTTGGGATTGTTATATATACTTGTGTATATTTCTATGGCTGCTAGATGAAGTTACCATAGAGGGGTTACAGGCTTTAGAAGAGACTTCCTCGTGTCATAGGTAAATGGCAGTCTTCCGGTTCACTGCAGCTTGGCAGAGAAGTTTCAGAGTTTAGTGAGAACCATGGAAGCTAATGGTGGCTGAGCTCAGTGTTAATCAGGACGGGAAAGACCAACAACGAGCCATAGCAACAGGGACCCCAGGGTTGTAGTGCAAACATCAATAGGAATACTAACGGCAGCTTTGGATCGTGAAGAGAGACTATTAAGAATTTATTGGGATCATATTCTTGCATCTGATACAGCATTAAGCAGTAATGGGAAATGTAAGAATTATTTAATGTCAGGGTTTGTCCATGTCACTCAGTTGAATAGAGTGCAGAAGGCATTAATTAGTCTTAGTTTAGCATTAGCTTTTATTATTGTGAACGACAAGTGTTTTCAATTTTACCATCTTACTAGCAAATCTTTAATGCTGAATTGTCTTTCTTCGTCCAGGGCTTGTTGAGCACGGGCGTAACTGGACAGCCATTGCCAAAATGGTGGGCACCAAAAGCGAGGCGCAGTGCAAGAACTTCTATTTCAATTACAAGAGACGTCACAACCTGGACAACCTGCTCCAGCAGCATAAGCAGGTAAGCAATTTGTTATCCTCTGCTTTCTGTCACGGCCTGTCATTGAACTGCTGTAACTATAATGTATGAATGCAAGATGCGACTTTGTTTGTGTTTCCCAGGATACGCGTCGGGCTCGTGCTGATAGGTCTCAAGGCGAAGGTCTAGCCACAGCATCACCTGATGATGATGAGGACAACGCAGATGACAGTGAAGGTTAGAGAGATGGATGATAGAGAGCATGAGCTCATTGTTAAACACACACGCACACACACACACACATTTTGTTTTGTTTTTGACTTTTCTTCCTGTTTATCTGACGTACGCGTCCTAGGGCAACCTGCATGAAGGACACACAGCAGGCTGATAGGTTTTTCTATCCAGTTTTTGTCCTTGCTGTGAGTCGTGGGGCTTTGTGCCTGATATTACCAGGTACTAAGTCAAGAGAATAAGGAGAGAAAGAATGTAGTGCTACAATGCAAAGCAGGAAAGCTTGATCCAAAATGCCCTCTGAATTGTCATTTAAGGATTTCATTTGAGTTGATAGCAATGTGCCTGCTCTCCACCGACTGTAGTTTTAATGAGAGAGGGGAAAAAGGATCAAATGAAAAAAAAAAAAAGCAAAGGGAGGAGAGGAAGAGATAAAAGATATGAACTAATTCTGACTACATGGGCGCCTGTTGCATAACAGTTCTTGGCTTTGAAGACTCAAGAAGGCCTGCTCTTTGAAGACAAAGTGCTGGTTCTCTTGTTTGATCCAGAAAGCCTGGCTGTCTACCCGCCTTCCTCCTCTCCAGAAGCCCTTATCTATGCTGGCATGATATGGTGAGGGCAGCCCCCTATGAAAAATACACCATGCTATGTGTAGAAATATAGTTTTACAAAGAGAATCACCGGTTTGTAAAATCAGCATTTTCTCTTTTGAACACTGAAGTGATTTTAATTTGTGCCTTTTGTTGGTCGCACTCAGCGAACCTCCAGCTCACAAGATAGCAGCGGCAGCGAGAGGAGGTCACAAGGTTTTCTGTCATGTTTATTTGACTTTCTCCTTGTCTCACGGAAACCCAAACTGCTCTGCAGAGGCCTTGGTGATCTGCAGATCTCACGTTATACAGTTATACAGTTATACATAAAGCCATACAGAGGCATTAGTATAACTCTATTAAAGTGTACTTACAAACATTGTGATGATTGTTGTGTGGATGTTTAGTAATGCCGCTTCTCTGATTTAGGTTTGATACATTTAATGCATCTGCAAATTGTATTTGCATAGACATAGTACCGGGATCATCATGGCAACAGCTGCAGTGGTAGACAATATGCAAACCAACAGAGGCAGGCAGTTTTTATCTTAAGGATGTATGGTATTTGAGCTTTTTGTATCACTTGTTGTTCAGTGTCTTTGTTTGACACACTGTATATCTACAAGTTGGCATTTAAGATATCTTAAATCAAGTGTTATAGAAAGAGATGATTAGTTTGTATCTTGAAAAGCTGTTTATTTGTACCTTTTTTAAATGTATCTTTGGTCTTAGCACAAAACATACATGGTGTAGAAAAGATCATTGAATAAAAGTTGTTCATAGTTTGCAGCAGGAAATGGTAATTACATGTGTGCTGAAGCAAAAAGTGAGTCCAGATGGGAAGTAAAGAAATATGTGAGGTGTGAAGTGAAGTGAAGACAACTTTCATAATCAGTTTAAGGTCTGTGTCATCGCTGGATCAGATAAGCAGGTGTTAGTAGGTCGCACAGTTTGCTGCTGTAGACTCTACCATCAGCATCTGATGTTTACGTAATGATATGCATATGTTCTGGATTATTACCTATGTGATGCCATGTTTTCAGTTTCAGTGGTGTCTTGGGCTTTTCATTGATTATTTCACTTCCACATTCACGATACAGTTGATCTTCTAAGTAAGGCTTCCCTGCATGAGAAATCACAGCAGTATGTAGATTAATGTTGTGACAGTTCTACATTTATTTTCATGTTTGTCATTATCTTGTTTGTGTCGTTATTTATTTTTGAATGACAACTCAGTTGGCTTAAAAACCTTGTGAGTTGCAATGGGGTTTGATGTATTCTTTGACATGTACTAATTCATCTTGTCATGCTTCTTCAGGTGGCGACAACAGCTCTGATACAGAGAGTGCCCCCTCCCCCTCTCAGGCTGACTCCTCAAAGTCAGGTGACTCCAAGAGGGCGGACAGCGCTGCAGGGGATGCTCAGTGCTCTGACCAGGACAAAGGTCAAGCCAGCAATGGCAAGACCCCAGAGCCCGCATACGGGGAACTCTGTGTCAAGGAGGAGAAGAGCCCAGAGAGCGAGACCGGATCTCAGGAGGAAAAGGCCCGGGTGTCTGCCTATACAGGCGCGGTACATCCCAAAACTGAACCTCAGGATGTGGACATGAAGACCGGAGAGGTTCAGGTTAAGATGGAGCCTGAGATCAAGGAGAAAGGAGAGAAGGGAGATCATGGCGAAATGCACAGGGATCTCCATTCTGATAATGACTCCAGCGCCACCTGCAGTGCTGACGAGGACGTGGAAGCGGAGCCTGAAAGACAGAGGTGTGTTTTTTTTTTTTTTTTTCATAAACACCGTCTTCAATGCTCTCATGTTGTGTGAACATATTTACAGTTACTGATACGTTTTGCCTTGTTGCCGCTGCAGAATATTCTCCATGGAAAAGCCTTCACTGCTCACCCCGCCAGGCACCGTGCTGGTGTCCTCACCCAAGCAAACCCAGCTCAACATCCAGCAGCTCCAACAGAGGGCAGCTGCCATCCCACCCATGGTTAGTCACAGTTTCACGTTCATCCATATAAGCTGGTACGGAGGCAGCAGCAGGTTGAAAACATACCCACACATTATTACACACGCGAGACATTATGAGCAGCGTGGTTCTGTCAGCCTTTTAATCTTTTTACAAATTTACAAAGCTCTTTGTTTAAGTGTAAGGTGGACATAGTCTTACTTTTATGTTCATCAGATGTGTTTTTTATCCTTTAAAAGCTAAAGTTCATCACAACATATACAGAGAATTAATTTGGTCAGTGTTTCACTACTCAGACAAATTGGTATGTATCTCACCTGGTTCATATCTGGCATTTCAATTCATCTGGGCTTTTTTTTTTTTTTTTTTTTCCTCCGTAACTTATCTAGGTGCCTGGTCCCTTTGGCCCTGGTGGTGTGCCCATCAGCGGTTTCGCCATGTTGCAGCACCAGATCAAAGCGGTGCATGAGTCTGCACACCAAGAGGAGAAGCAGAGGCAGGATCAGGGAGATCTGGACCGCAGACCCCCTTTCAACACCCGCAGCCCCACCGTGCTGGACAGAGATGGTAAGTGAACAAAAGCTATCCTCATTCTGTCCTCATCTGTCCTCCTCCCTGCTCATCGCTCCTTCAGCCTCGTTCCCTGTTGCTGCTAGCGGTGGACTATTTATAGCTAATGCATTTTTTAGGCCCCATTCATTTTTGTGCAGTTTCAAAAAAAAAAGGAAGCGTTTGAAGGTGATCTGGACTGTCGTAGTGTGACCTGAGCCGAGACGAAAAAGTTAGCTGACCCTGTTTTACATTTGATGCAAACTCAAAGCCGAAGTGTGTCTTAACGGTGCGCCTCCTGAATTGCCTTTGGAAGAAGGGGACTGTGGTGCTTTTTTGAAGTTGAGCGACTCGAGCATGTCATCTTAGGACATTTGCTGCTTCTGTGCGTTCAGACAGACAGACTTCAGCCACTTAGCTTCAGAAGGGAGAGCGGTAACGTCACTAGGCAGACTGCATTACGGCTTGATTTTTTTTTTTTTTTTTTTTTTTTTTTTTGTAAAGCTTTTAGCACCTTTTAGCCAGAGTGCTGTGAAGAGTAGAGCAGCTGTCAGTAAGCTGCTGAGCTTTGGCACCAAGATATTTATTACATAGGTTTCAGCGGGTGTGTGTCCAGCTGGCGGTGTTAGCTGTAGAGGCCCGTCCATTCTAGGTCAGCTCAATGCTCACTGGCATTGAGTTCTTGTTTTAATAGTGGCTGTCTTCCCTTTGTCCTTATGCCTGTGTACTGCAGGTAAGCTCTTACCCTACATGCCTTATGACATGAAGCTGGCTCTGGACCAGGAGGCCCTCTCTGGTCGGCCAGGCTCTCCCTACAGACTCTCTCCCAGGGAGCTGAGCAAGGCCTCACCCCAGCCTGACCCCAACGCCCCCAGTGCCTCCCGCTACAGTGTGCCACCAGGTAAAAGCACACATCTTCACCTCCTCCTCCCCCTCCCCTCCCTTCTTGCCTCCTCCCTTCCTTTGCTGGTATAAATTAGCCTCGCCTGACTCTCATTTGAGTCTTTTGTGTTTGACAGTGGAGGCTTTTGTTGACTGTTGGCAGCAGATTATTATATAGTTCTCGCCACTATTATATTTCAGTCTGACATGTTTTGATATCTTTATTTTATTTACTCTCCTACAGGCTGCTGTAATAGTATGTTTTTATATCTTTATATACAATTGTTTGTGGAGATTTGAATCCTGTTGTAAGTCGGGGTTTGGCAGTGTTTCCCAGCACTTGTGCATTAGATAAGTCAGGTTGAATGTTCTCTTGTCCAGAAGTATATGTACATGTACAGGATGTATTTACTCAGTGTTTAGCTGACGTAAGATACACATTTTGAAACCTCTGCATGAGTTTCTCTCATTTTCTAGTACTTTTATTCTGTCATTTTCTGTGTAGTCCTCTTATTTAAAGGTAAAGATGTTTAGGCGCTCGGGTGGAGCCAAGCTTTTTGTATGTTTGTATGTTTGTGTGTTTGTTAGCTCTTTTTTTGGTGTGTTGATATTTAACACTTAATAAGTAGCATTATGAACATATATATATATATATATAGTTTTCAGGCCATGCAGAACCTGGATCTCTGCATGTGTTAAATGTACGTCTGCTTTAACACAAGTGTGCTTGTGCATGTGTACCAGTACAGAAGAGGTCAAACAAGCATGAGCCAGCTCTGTCTGGTTCACATACTAGAGTAGGTTAGCGATTTTATAACTGCAGTGAGTACGTCAGTGCATGAATCAGATAGTTTTAGCACACTTCTTTGACCCTTAATCTTGCCCCTTGTGCTACATTCAAGAAGCTGAGGTGGTTTGTGAATCACCAGTCAATAGTTGCCATCAGCACCAGTTTTATTATTGGCTTAGGATAACATAATGTTACCTTATTTGAAACGTTACCTCACTTTTAAAATCCAGTGTCATTCACATTTCAGTCACTAAGAAAACAAGAAAAAAGACACTTTTTAATATTGGCTCAATAAATCACGCATTATAATCTAGACATGTATAACAAAAACCAGCTACTTAGATCACAATAACAGAATAAATATAAAGCAAAAGGCAACATTTAATAAAGATTTCACAGCTGTGTGATAATAAAATGAGAATACTCAGTTAACACAGAACAGCAAGCATGTACGTGGAGCCGTGACAAAGACACTATATTGATATTGACAAAGATAAACAAGTAATAAAATGAAGACATTTTCTGCATCTGTAGTGTTACAGCTCACTACAGCTCACAAAGGAGAGCACATGACAAGAAATACCTGTATCTGTCTGTTACGATACTCACTCTGTTACACACTGAGCTGCAACGAGACATTTATCTTCAAAACAAATCCATTTTTATTTATACGTGTTTGACGTTGTTGCAGGGGAAGTTCAGATATCTTCTGTAAATTGTTACAATGAACAATGAATTTTGAATTGTATTTTGTATTAATGATTAGTTTCCATAATAAAACCTATTTTATTGCTGTTGTGACACTGATTGAAAGCTCCATAAATTGGACAACTTTCAGATGTTTTAGAGTGATACCAGAGTAAAGTAATGTGTCCCGGGCAGGAGTAGGATCAAAACCATAAAGACGTTTGATGTTGATCTTGCGGGCAATCATTAGTTTCTCTGTATTGCATTGCATTCATTTACTATATTTACTGAGCGATGATTCAAGGACAGCAGTAAAAGTTTTCTTCTGCTTAAAGAAGGCAGCAGGCAAAGTGCTGCACTTCACCAAATTAATGTGCAAGGAAAACATTCCCTGTGAAAATGTCTGCTGCTGTCGTTGATGTGGAAATGGCATTTGGACTTTTACTGAAGCTGGACTGCAAGAGTTTCTCTTGTCATTTGGGGAAAAACATATTTCTCATGTCCTGACAAATTAGGTTGTTGTCCGTGATGGTGAACTGTAGCATGAATGTTAATGTTTGACACAGTCTCCCTGCAACAGGGATTTATAAATTCGTCATAAGAGTGGCTTGTTTTCTTATCGGTCCCTGTGCGACGGCGATGACGTCCGTGCCTGCTGGTGGAACTCTAATGCAAACATTTGCATTTTTGATTTTGTAGAGTGCAGAGCATGAGGCGCACTCCCTGCAGGGAGGTTACTCCCAGTCTGTTTGTGTGTGTTCGTGTATTAAGATCCATTTCGTCTACTCAGCTTTCCCAGGAGACAGTAAAGCAGACAGCAGGCATGGGCCAAGGTTACCTCAGGCTGAGGCACAGACTATTAACTGAGGTCTTCACTGCTTACTTCACCACTCACTGCAGTCTGTCAGAATGAGGCAGAATATTTGATCATGCAGTCTTTGATGGGAAATGAAGCTTAATGGCATGCACATGTTGGGTGGGTTGGAGCTGTGCTGTCTGGCAGTCAGAAGTTTACTGTATGAGCTGATAGCTATTTTACGGTTTTGTTGTTTATGTAGGTGTTTAATGCCCAAATGTTGGCTGGTAATCAGTTGTGTCTGACTTTTTTATGTCCTTTTTTTATATTCCCACCAGTCCTCCACCCTGCCTCCAACCAGCTGGTCGGGAGTATGCCAGATGGAGTCCGGGTGACGTTCAGCAGACCCAGTCGACCTCCCAACATTCCCTCTCCTCCTCCACTCATTCCAACCACCAAGCCCACGGACAAGCCCTCCTTCATCCAAGGAGGCTCCATCTCCCAGGTGAGACACCAGGGGGACGATGGTATCAACGCAAAGTAGAGACTAACCAATGTTACTTAATCATCAAGTGAATGCATCTGCGTTTGATGATGAAATGTTTTCCAAAGCAGACACTGTGACACAGTAAACACTTGATTTTATTTATGCAATGTACAGTATGTGTCAAATTATTATATTCCATCCTAATAAAAAGCCTCTCCTTGTAAGTTATTCTCATCCAAACAATCGACTCAAGGGGTTGTCATTAAACTACTGGGGTTAGTAGCTGAAACAGTGAAGCAGAGTGTAACCCACACCTCAACCCTGAACCTTCAGAGGAACAAACTCTGTTCTGTAGACCTATTTTTTCATAACAAATTTCAAGTAATCCTGAGCTATAGTCAATATTTTTATCTACTTTGGACTTGTCAGGATGAACTTTAATTCATGAAACAAATGTACATTTGCAGGGAATCAAGGAACGGTGAGAACGTACAATTGTGTACAGCTTCTCGACTGTCATTATATGAGCTAGGCTTTCTTGGAAGTTCAGCCCTATAGAAATGGAACAGGGAGGTGTATTAATCAGAAAACTTCAGAGTTAATGATTTGTTCATTGACAGTTTATTAATGAAAGACTGTTACACATGAAAGATCATCAGAGTCACCTCACACCACTTCCTTGTTTCATAAACAGCCACTGGACCTTGAATTTTGTTCTTTGTCCCTGCTCTCCCAGGGAACTCCTGGCACATACCTCCCGCCCCACGCTGTCTATGGGCCAGAGGGGACTAAGAGCACCGTGGGCTCCATCTCTCTGGGTCTGCCTCGGCAGCAGGATCCCAGCAAACCTGGTAAGACAGCAGACGGTCACATTACTGTGCTGTTTGGTCACTGTGCAGGTCAGACAGGCAGAACACCATTCAATAAAACCAGACATGACATAAAACAAGAGTAATGACGCCCCTGAGGTCCGTAAAGCTTTATCTCGCTACGTCAAAACATTCTGCTAAAGCGAGATTTTATTGTATAATAGATTTTTTGCAAGTAAATGTTTCAACATATAAAAATTGATGCTTTTGTAATAGTGCACTTAAAATTTGCTGCTTAATTTTTAGTCGTCACATAAAGTGGCAAAAAGCAAAGATGTGAAAATTCATCCATCCGTAAAGTAAGACAGAACATGGTCGTTAGATTATCCTTTTAATCTGAGATCACATAAACGTTGTCTACTCCAGTTGCATCCACTGTTTCTGAAGTGTTGTCTTCAGTGTCATTGAACTTGAACTGCTGCGGTCTGGAAACTGTGACCAGTGCAGTAATGAAACAGCATCTATTCCCAATCCTTCACGCCCACACCTGCGTTGCGTCTCGCCACTTTGCATTTATCTTCAGTCACAACAGAATCTATGAAATGCTCTGTCAAGAAGTAAACATGTTGTTTTATTGTATTTATTATAAAGGAAGCTCATTACAGATTAAGCAATAAATTGCCAGAACCTTGATAAACAAGTTATGTTTAGTCTCAAATACTGACAAGCTCACTATTGATATTTCACCATAAGCCTGTGTGGGTAGGTATTGTCCACACTGGTGAAAACAAAGCTGCTCATTTGCATTGCCACTAATCGTTGAATGAGCTTTACTGCATAATGTTTCCCCGTCAAACGAGATTGTTCAGGACATTTAAGGACATGTCGACCTGAGAAAGGTTGATGATAAAAACATCTTTAGGACCTTTGCGGCCCAACTCTGTTGAACTGACACAATGTGAGGAACTACTTCACATCAGTATGTTTAACACATTTCCTCTTTGTTGACCTGAACTTCCTACATGATATCTGTCTGTGGTCTCTGATCAGAACTGTTCCTGCCACAACATACCGCCCCAGAAGAAACTGCTGACCTGTACTGCAGTGATCCTATAAATCAGGAACTGTAATAGTAAACTGTTTTCCAGAACTCCTTTTCTGTCACTTAATATACTCTGTTATGTTTTTGCACAAAATTCATTTCTATGAAAGCCATTGCTTCAAAAAAGTACAAGGGATACGATATGTTTTGTTAGGAAGATCATTCTGCACAACTTTCACTCAGGCTGAAAACATGACAAACGGAAATAAACTTGTACTTTCAGCACTTCTTTTTCTGCTCGTATGTTTTATAAGTTAAGTTGTGACACTTAAACCGGTATTATTAATGGACAGAGAAGGAGTCTGGGCAGGAAGTGTCCTTGAGCAAGACACTGAACCTGAAGTTGCTTCTGGTGGGAAGGCCAGCACTTTACATGGCAGCTCCGACATGAGTGTGTGTGTGAATGGGTGAATGAGAGGTAGACTGTCCTCTGAGGGTGAAAAGCGCTTATATAGGTGCAGTCTATTTACTGTTTATTGTGAAAATCGAGCTTTTGGTTCAACTCCACTAGATGACACCAACCACACAGAGCTTAGCTTTCTATTCCTCGTCTTTCAACTCTCCAGGAGCTGCAGTTTCGTCGATACAGGATGGCAGAGGCAACCCGGCGAAGGTGGGCGAGGGTATGGCTTTCAGAGGATCAATCACTCAGGTAATGACTGGATGAAGGATTCTTTTTCGCTTGTTTGGTAATTATATGATAGAAGCCTTGGTGATTTATTGAGAAGTGTGTGTTTTTGTTCTTAATGTTGCATTATCTCTTTACTCTTTTGTAAAACAGGGCACTCCAGCCCTGCCCCAGTCCAGCATCGCTGCTGACCTCCTGAAGGGCACAATCACAAAGCTGGCCACAGAGGACCTGAGCATCCCAGACAAGGCTAGAGGAGATCAGCTGACTAAAGGTCATGTCATCTATGAAGGCAAGAGTGGTCACATCCTCTCCTTTGATGGTAAGTGCTTTGATTATTGATATATCAAATAACTGTTTGTGTATTTCTTCACCAAGCACACAAACTCGATCGTGACTTTTTATGTCCCAAAGCTATCAAGAACCCGAGGGAAAACACCCGCAGCCCCAGAACAGGCCATGACATGAAACGCACTTACGACATGATGGAGGGGTCCATGGGCAGGGGACACCCCGGCCGGGAGGGAGCTCCCTTCGAAGGTACTGCTTGTGTGTCACTGAGTGTACAGTATATGTGCCGGTTTGTTGGTTGTGTATCCGTAGCATGACGGTGGTCATTTGTTTCTCAGGGTTAATTAGCAGAGCCTTGCCTAGAGAGGGTATCCATGGAGATTCTAAGGAAAGGCCATTGATGACCGGATCCATCATGCAAGGTAGCTAATTGTAAAAAACATGTCCATAAGTCGCTCACTGTTGCTAGTGGCATCAAATAAAGAGAGAAGCTGACATACTTTTCCAACATTTCCAGGAACACCGAGAACCGCTGCAGAGACTTACGAAGACGCCATGAAATATGGGAAACAGATAAAGCGAGAGAGTCCACCGATCCGGTCCTTCGAAGGTGGTATTGGCAAAGGAAAGCCCTATGAGGGAGTGAATACCATCAAAGAGATGGGACGCTCCATTCACGAAATCCCCCGGCAGGATCAGTCCGGCCAGGACATCTGCAAGACCCCCGACATGTCAGACCGGAGGGTTATGGAGGGCGCCATATCTCAGGTGAGACAGTTTGAGTGTTGATGGGCTGGTCAGGATATGCATACAATACAATACATTACAATGTGCAGCATCAACAAATTTACAAAGTGGATGTAAACAATGATGATGAAGAATTAATAACTGACCTGTTGTTCCCTCCATCGTCCAGATTCACCCTCTCAACCAGCCGACTATCAAGCACAATGTCAAGTCCCTGATCACCAGTCCCTCTAAGCTTCCTCACAGCATGCCGCAGCTGGAGGCCATGGAACGAGCCAAATACGAGGAGAGCAAGGCAGTGCGCCACACGTCCGTGGTCAACTCCACCACCTCTGTCCTGCGCTCCACACACCAGGAGGCCAGCAAATCCCAGCTTAGCCCGGGCATGTATGAGGACGCCAATGCTCGCAGGACCCCTGTCAACTACAGCACCAATCCCGTATCCAGAGGATCACCTATGCTGGGACGTGCTCCAGAGGGTATATCCCATAGTCATTTTATTTACAAACGGTGGACTTCGGCCTTCTCAGCCTCGTTGCTTATCTAACACTATAACTACAGCAATTATAGTGTTAGACAAAATTACATTAGACAGTTATCTTGCTAAGACAGGTCATCTTATTGGACGGAGTAAGTGTATTAGGAGTAATATGTAATGTGTACCCACTACTGAGGTCATTGGGTGAAACTTTATTCCTGATTTAGGTTACTGGTCACAGATGTACTCTCATGAGATGTTTCGTTGTTTGTTAAATTAATTAAAAGAGCCGTGTTGGTTCCTCTCTCCTACTAAGGTGGTATGAGCTCTGCGAAATCTGCTGCACATGAAAGAAAGAGTGCCATGACCCCGACACAGAGGGACAGTGTCCCAGCCAAGTCCCCAGTGTCAGGTGGTGACCCTGTAGCCTCTCACAGCCCCTTCGACCCCCACCACAGGCCCGTTGTTCCCGGGGAAGTGTACCGACCCCACCTGCCTCCACATCTCGACCCCACCCTGGCCTTCCACAGAGTGCTGGATCCTGGTACCGTGTTTAAACCCTCTCCACTTTCCACCCTCTCCACCACAACTCCAAACAGAATAATAATAGCCTTGATTCTGAGCAAATTGACGAAAGCAGCTCAGGCCCTCTAATTCATAGGCATTACATGTCCAGGATCTTTTTCAGCCATTGACGTCAGCAGTTGCGATCAGTATCTGTGAGCCTTCTGTTCATATGTTTTGTTTTGTTTCTCTCCTGTCCTCTACGACAGCGTTCATGTTCTCCAGGCAGCCGTCCCCCACAAACTACCACAACACCTACCAGCTGTACACCATGGAGAACACGCGGCAGACCATCCTCAACGATTATATCACTTCCCAGCAGATGCAAGTCATTCCTCGGCCCGACATGGCCCGGGGATTGTCACCACGGGAACAGCCCGTCGCTATCCCTTACGCAGCTGGAACACGAGGTACGGGCCTCCACCAGCTGACCCTCTCTCACCTGCCGCATCAGGCAGGGGAGAGGCCTTGAGCGGGAGGGGCTGTAGTATGCCGATTGTGTGTTTGTGAAGTAGTGGCTACCTTTTCCAGACGCCCAGAAGCAAATGACCTAGACAAATTTAGCTGATTTACTGCTCTTTACATTGGGGCTGCAACCGATTCGGCTGATTTACCAAGTGGGTACGGTCATCCAAATCTCCCTTTGCTGAGTGGTTGCCTCTTACAAGTTGACCACTATTCCACTCTCTTTGCAGCCCTGTCAATTAATCAATGATCAATCTGTATTTGGGAGCACTAACAGAGGAAGGTGGCGGGTTACAGCTAAGTGTATACGGTGTTCGTACATTCAGAAATTGATGGATCGGTTCTTGTTGTTCACCGCTGGCCCTTTGCTTCTGTCTGTAAAAGGGATTATTGATCTAGCCCAGATGCCTCCAACTATCCTGTTGCCTCACCCTGGGGGAACAGGTACTCCCACTTTGGAACGCATCGCCTACCTCCCTGGAGCTCAGCCCCCTTTCCCTCCTAGGGCTTTCAACCCAACCTCCATATCGCCAGGTGAGGACCCCACCCCTCCCTATCCCTACACCCCCGTGTTCCCTTATCTACCTTGCCACGATCTCCAATGTTCCCTCACACCTCTGTAAGAGTGCAGCCCTGCACTGGCCTGAGGTGTCAAAGGTCAGTTCCGCCTGTCCAGGCACAGATCAAAGCTGAATCTTACCGCAGTCACACTGGGAAGGATTTCTCACCAAGCTGACTGTTGTGTGGTGGCAGCAGAGGGTTTTATTACTTCAACAGAAAGAAGAAAAGTTGTGCTCCACATCATTTTTATGGGCAAAGAAATGTAAGATTGAAACGTGCAATGAATTGAAGTTGAACTTTTTTTTTTATGTTTACAGCTGGAACTCTGTAATATCTCGTAGTTCTCAGATCTTACACTCCGACACTCTTTTAGACTCAAATTCACTAAATAAGCCTTAAAAAATTTGGAGGCATAAAGGATCTGCAGTTGTTTTTTGTTCCACTTTTGAATTGCAAAACTGTTTTCATGTTTCATCCCAGTTAAGAATAACACGATCATAACAAACAGCACAGTAGAACCCTGTGTAGTCCGTTGCACTAAAGGTTTTCGTCTCAAATTTTAATTATGGCAATATTCCTGGGACAGAATATTACCGTGACGGTGCTGTGATAGATTCAGAACTTATCAGCAAAGCTCTGATCCATCCGGCTGAGACCACATGACTGGTGTGTATAAACCCCGTGTCTGGTGTTTGTCATTGTTCTCCTCAGGTCACCCTGCCCATCTTGCTGCTGCCGCTGCCGCCAGTGCAGAGAGGGAACGGGAGAGGGAGCGTGACCGCGAGCACCAGGAGAAAGAGAGGGAGAAGGAGAGGGAGAGGGAGCAGCGGGAGAGGGAACGGGAACGAGAGAGGGAGCGGGAGCGGGAAATGCGAGAACGAGAACGAGAGCGGGACCGGGAGCGAGCCAATGAATACATCCGCGGAGGTGAGTTGTTTAGCTGCTTTGTAAAACAAAAAAAATCTAAACTCCAGCTCAGTATGTTTATATTCTTTTAATACAATTTGATGTGTGTGTATCAGGTGGACCAGAGCAGCCAGGCCGGCCAGGGAGTCGAGGTTATCTGCACTCACCTTCTCCTTCGCTCAGGACGCAGGAAGTAGTGGTTCAGCAGCGGCCGAGTATTTTCCAGGGAAAGAGTGTCATCACCTCTCTAATGTAAGTTTAAACCTGCTCTTACGCTGTGTTTACATCAGCTCACTTACACTCTGTGTGTGTGTGTGTCTCTAAAAATATGCATAGGAGTTTGTCGACACATCCCTAGTTTACGTTAAAAGTCTGGACGGTGGACTCGGATATGTTTGACCCCTTCATTTCCTTATTTCCTCATCAGGCCCCATTCAGCGGCAGCGACACCAGCGGTACAAAGTAGCTCTCGCTACGGTACTGCCGCTGATGCTCTGGCTGCGCTGGTGGACGCTGCAGCCTCAGCCCCACAGATGGATGTGGCCAAGGTGAAGGAGAGCAAACATGAACGGGATGATGACATGTCTTCATCAGCTGCAGCTCGGCGAGCAGCCAGCCTCTCCGAACAGCAGCAACAGGAGGCAGAAAGACGATCCATGCAGTCACCATATGGTGCTATGTCTCTGCCAGGAGGTAAGCCCCATCCAGCTTACTCTGAGGGCCCTGGCGTCGGGGTTAAGGATAAGGGACCTCAAACCTCAAAGTCCCGCATCGAAGAGGAGCTTCGGACTCGTGGAAAGACGACTATCACAGCCGCTAGCTTCATTGATGTCATCATCACACGGCAGATAGCCTCTGACAAAGACTCACGAGAGCGAGGCTCTCAGAGCTCTGACTCCTCTAGCAGCTGTAAGTGTGTTGTATACACATGGCTTAGGAGATAGCTGAACCTTATTAAAACTGCACACAAGTGCACTATGACACTGTCATCGTCAGTTACCTGAGTGGACTAGAACACAAATGAGTTAAATCTTAAATGTAATCTTTTACCAAAGTACATATTTTTATAACATGATTGAACCTTTAATATTGTGTCCTTTGCGCAACAGAAATAACTCTTTGTTCATACTTGTGCTGCAGTGTCATCTAGTCGATATGACAATACCGGCGGAGGAGCCATTGAGGTGATCAGTCCTGCTAGTTCCCCGGTCCAACTGCAACAGGACAAACCAGAAGACGGACAGCAACAGGCAGCAGGTATGAACACACACCTGGAGTGAGGAAGTAAATTCTTGGAAGTAGAATGCTGAATATTTCAGTTCATTTAAAGAGTGTTTCAAAAATGTTGTAGTTCATGTCAAAGATGACATTTAACAACGCTTGAACAACGGTTTGGCTGTGGAGGCTAAATTTAGCTGCTAGTGGAGTAAACATGCCCCGACTGACCTTTTCATTTGAGACCGTCGGACGCCGTTCCTCGGCACCAGTCTAGTCACCAGACTCCACTTGAAGTTATTCCTGTCAGCCGCACGCAGATGTAGATCAGTTACTGTTGGCAAACAGCATGTTAGCTCCTCCCCATCTCATCACCCCTTACCTCAACCTGACTGCCGCTCCAAAACAAAAACACTGACCCTGGTCAACCTTCCCCAGCTGGCATGCGGGCGTACGACATGAGTCGTTACCGACCATCGGGGGAGCCATCCCAGCCCAGTTCCCAGCAGCCCCCGTCCTCCCAGGCAGACAGCTACTCTCAGGTCCCCAAGACTCACCGGGTCATGACCTTGGCAGACCACATTTCGGTAAGATGTGCTGGAGAATATGAAAAAAGTAATGAAGCACATATCAAATTTCCAAGGTACCTCAGCCCATCATGCCTAACTCACCTGGTTTTCTGGTTCCTGTCACGCAGCATATCATAACCCAGGACTTTGCCCGGAATCAGGACCCTCCACCCGTCTCCTCCTCAGCTTCTGCCACATTCCAGAGCGTGGTGCCCTCCGTGTCCTCGTCAGGTCGAGCCAAGGTGCCCAGCCGCTACAGTCCTGAGAACCAGGTCCAGGCTCTACACCACCAGAGACCCTCCAGTAGAGTTTCACCAGAGAACGCCCCTGACAAGCCCAGAGCCAGGTGCGTGGACCAGACAGTTAATCCTGATATACTGAGAGTGAGTCTGATTTATTACACATCGTGTGTCTAACGTTAGTCTCTGTCCTTCCTGCCCAGGCCTGGTAAGTCTCCAGAGCGAGGAGGCAGGCCGATGGAGAACTATGAACCCATCTCTCCACCGCAGAGCTATCAAGGCATGGACAAACAGGAGGCTGCCGGGCCTCCACCCCAGAGGCGAGAGGCGGAAAACTCTGAGATCAGGTACCGGTTCTGCACAGTTCAGATGTGTGATAGTTTGTAGCTGTCAACTTAGCAAGCCAGTACATCTCTTCATACAGCTTGACACTCAGAATCAGATTTGATATTTATATATTTAAAGTAACTGATACTCTTTTAAAGGTTAATTACAATAGTTGTTGGATTACTGTAAAATGTAAACGAGGAATTTTCTCTGTGCAGCTTGTCATATATGTTGTGAATATCAAATTACCAGTATCTCCTCACTTGATCGACACATTGCTAAAGTTAGTTTTCCATCAGCACCCTGACATTTGATGCATGACTGTAAATCAGTTTACCAGCCGGCAGAATGCTCCCTGCTGTCAGCAGCTGTTTGACATCCCAGTTTAAAGTCCCTAGTTCTACTGAGGGTTTGTTGCCCCAGTTACCCCTTTTGCTGTTTGACTCTTTACCGTTTGTCTGGTTCAAGGAATGACTCAAGGTCTCCAGGGAGTGTCAGCTACCTGCCTTCCTTCTTCACCAAGCTTGAGAACACCTCGCCAATGGTGAAATCCAAGAAGCAGGAGATCTTTCGTAAGTTGAACTCCAACTCTGGTGTCGGTGATTCTGACGTTGGTAAGTGGGTCTTCTCTTATCCTCTTCCTTCTAACTAACATGCCTGCATCAGATGATTAACAAACTGTTAATATTTGTGTGTGCAAGACTTTAGTGTTTTAAGAAGTCAAGTCCTACTAAATTTTCAAGCTCATTAAGCATGTGACGCTGGCACAATTTGCCTTACTGTTACATTTTTTTTGTGTTTTTCAACGGCCAATAATTGTCTTGCAGGAAATGCACAACCAGGCACGGAGATCTTTAACTTGCCTGCTGTTACCAGCTCCAGTAAGTAGCAGTGACAGTCGCTCAGACACTTAACGCTTCGCTCTAGTTGATGTATCCTTCGTCACTGTTTTTTTGTTGTTATTTTTTGGTTTGTAGGCAGCATCAACCCCAGGAATCACTCCTTTAGTGATCCAGCCAGTAACCTGGGCCTGGAGGACATCATCCGCAAGGCTCTGATGGGCAACTTGGAGGAGAGACAGGATGAGCACCAGGGAGGAATAGGGGCTCAGTGTGCCATCAACAACACACCTGGCGCAGGCGGTGATGCCCGCCAGGAGGCCAACCCATCACCCAGTATGGGTATGAACAAATCACATTCCCAGCACGTTCAGCTTGTTCAGAAGAAGTCCCGTGTTTAACATGTTGCTGATTCACACATTCTGCCCATTTGAATCTGCAGGGAAGCAGAAGCAGAGCAAAGCCAACAGCCGGAAATCCAAGTCACCTAACCTGGGTCAGGCCTACGCTGGTGGGGAACGTCCCTCTTCAGTGTCCTCCGTCCACTCTGAGGGAGATTATCACAGACAAGCCCAAGCCCAGCCACAGTGGAGTTGGGATGACCGACCCTCATCCACAGGTGAGCTGTCCAGCCTCTGCTGTCAGAGTCTGTGAAAACCAGTCACCTACTGTGAGTGCGGTTAATCTTGATTTTTAAATTTTCTCCACTTCTTCTTTCCTCAGGATCCATGCAGTTCCCTTACAACCCGCTGACCATGCGCATACTAAGCAGCACGCCACCAACCTCCATAGCCTCCCCCTCCATACAGAGCCAGCAGCAGCAGCAACAGCAGCAGCAGCAGCCGCAACCGCCTCCGGCTGGAGCCCCGGTGGCCCAGCAGCGCGTGTGGCAGTCTCTGCTGTCAGAGCAATATGAGACCCTGTCTGACAGCGATGACTGAGCCTTGCTTGCTACAGCTCCAATAACCACAAGAGACGCCTGAACTGAGGCCTGTCTGTCCACCCCCCTCTCCCGGAACTAACCTTGCTCACTTGAGAGTGTGACAAGTAGGTGGGGTGGTGTCATTTTTAATTTTGGTGCTATGGCGCCCCCTGGCTGTTGGCTAAGAGTACAAGCAGCAGCCTGTGACAGGCAGGGCTCTCCAGAACAAGACTTGCTTTTGGTCCGGAAGCACTCACCCGGCCTGTCGGGATGAGGGGATGACATGAGCTATAGTAAAGATGAAGAACTGAATATGTAAAAAGAAACAACATAAGAGATTATTTCTGAATTTTGTTTGATTTCTGTAAAGATATACTTTGTCTTTAAGAAAATCATTGTATGTAAATAGAGTAACTTTTTGCAGTGTTTTTCCTACCTTGATTATTTCTTATTTTAATGTCGCTTTTAAATTGATCCACTTTAAATGGGAAGAGTAGGGGTTTAATCTTTAATATCACAGTTGGTCTCTCCCAGTCCATCTCCACCCCACGTCACCTGACCCCCATTTTAATATTTTTACCATAGCGACGCTAAGAGAGACCAGACCTGTGGTTTGTACTTGACCATGAGTGGAGCACAGAGACTGTGCTTCCCTGCGCGCCATCCATCAAGCACCACCAGAGCCTGAACATCGTGGACACTCGAGGACGAAACAAAACACAGACTAACATTTCAAACAGCTTTGATATCTGATGCCTGTCTTCGCCACACAGTGGGGATGATGTATGGATTGTAATTATCAGATGGTAGATGTAACTTCTCACCCGGTTCTAGACAGAGAAATGTCTTCAAAAGTTGAGAACACTGGTGTCATAGCAGAAAGGTGAAAAGTCTGATATAAGCTTAATTTTGCCAGAAAAGATGATATCCTTATGACTACTCCTGGACCCAGTCTGAATAATGAAAGTGAGCCAATGTGTTTTTTTTTTTTTGTTTTTTTTGTTTTGTTTTGTTTCGTTTTGTTTTTTTAAATAGAGCTGACCATGGTGTGGCACATGTTGCTGTCTCTCTCTGCAGTTTCCAGCCTGTCCAGAATGATCTGCTCTGCAATGTTGTCATGGTTAAAAAAAAAAAAAAAAAAAAGTATGTCAGGAACTTTTTTTTTTTTTTTGTTTGTTTTTTTGTTTTTTTCTTTGGACAGTTTTGCCATGCCGCGTGACTTGAGAAAGAAGGCAGCTTTAAGTAATTTTCTCAGAGATATACGTTGGTGTTTGATGTTTGTATTTGTTTCTGTAGTCCCTTTTTTTTTGATACTGTCCTGACAAAATCTGAACTCTGTAAATTGTCTTTCCATTACACAAAAAGACAAAACTAACCAAACATAAAGAATGGTCTGCACCATTGTTGCACTTTTTTGCTTTCTAGCTTTTGACAACAAAAAGCATACTACCTGCTGTGTAACTTATTCAACCTCCAGCACAGGAGTATATTCAGATGTGCTTTAACTTTTTCCCACCACTCACAGAAATCTGGATGTTTTGACTTCCTGTCTTTTCTTGTAGCTGGTACATGAGTTTGTAGTGTGACACTTGCATCACAGTTACAGTTTTAAGTGTATGGTACCGTTAAATGTTTAGGAGTTTGCTGTCATGGTGATTCAAAACTGTGACCACTTAATCTCTGCTTTCATTGTGTCAATCAACAGGCGTACAGCTTAGAATATAAATTATACTCGGTCAACATCATAAATGGCAGTAACGTTCCTTCGCAAGTCTTTTTGAGATATGTGAAAAAAAACACCATATTTTGGCTTTTTCCACTTTCACTTTGCTCAGTCAACTAATCCATTCTGCTCTAAACTTGATATTTTCTTTCTTTCTTTGATTTTGAATCATTTGTCATAGCACATGTTCAGATTTTTATTTTCTGTCATTTTCAACATCTTTGTTATTCATCCTATTTAGATGGGATGTTATGTGTTTACAAAGGCAATGACAAAAAAAGTTTACAAACTTGAATCTTAAAGAAATCCGACATGAAGCCGAAAAAGAATTAGAGCATCTTTTCAGCTCTCTATCAAACACACAGTGGTGACTTTTTTGTCTTTTTGAAATTGAGACTTGAAAACCCGTGTATCCTATGATGTTGAAATGCAATGTTTGTATCGCACAATGTCTCTTAGTAGGCTATTACAAGAGTTCAGACCAATCAAATAAAGTGGATCAGTTGTCCACCACTGAATAATGTGTATGTTCTTCATAGGTGTCTCATCTTTTTATCGACTAATATGATGCTGCACTGCATCCCCCATTTCTACTACTGCCAGAACCAAGACAAACACGAGTGGTACGAAAAATTTGTTGTTGAGGTACATCATGGCTTTATTTTATAGCAGGCCTGCCACTGTATATGTACTCAGTAAATGAAAATGGCAGATTGGTCAATAATGGTTTGAAGTAGGTTGCTGCAGTGAAAAAGTGTGTTTTTCCTTCTGTTAGGAGAATTTTTAACAGTAAAAATTCACATAGGGTTGTTTCATACCACATATTTGGATTTCAAGTTATTAATAATATTAATTATGTCTCTGTTGCATCTCAGCTTCACTGGAAGTCATGTCAGTGACCCATAGTGCCCAGAACCAGAACCCTGAAACGGAGAATGGTGTTATTAATAACACCTGTGTTTTTGCTGCCATAAAACGTCAAAATGTCTGTTTTTTAAACGGCCTGTTGTGCATGCTAGCTCATTGGCTAGTTATTAATTACCCCTGGACTGAATGTCCCTCATGTGAAAGGCCTGTTGCTGCTGATCTCATGTCTCCTGACAGCTGCATTATGCTGTTTTATCAGTGAACAATGGTCTTTTTTTTTTAAGCTAAGATAAATAAACATGAATTGAGAATTCAACCACTGGTGCCTCATAGGGCAGCATTAGTAAATTGAAATAATTTGACTTAAAGCAAGTATAGTTTGGCATTAACCTGTCTTGTTGCTACTAATATACAAGTTTATACCTGTGGCCTGTTTGTTTTTCCACATACACATACCAAATAAGACTATTTATTGGTTAGAGGCAGGCTATATTCTCAATGCCGTCACTAGCTTCATCTCAAACATAGTGTCTGAACCTATGCAATATTTGCCTTGGCTACTGTTTTCTACCTCATCACTTTGCAAGACTTAAAATTGATTTCTAGTAGGCCTTTTATTTTGGAGGGAAAACAAAACTTCGAGCCGGAAGTGATAATATTTTGGTCGTTCCCTGTAGAGGAGACATTCCGTGTGAGAAATGCCCTCACTTTTACCTGCAGTGGCTGAACAACTTTTCCGAGATATCCAGAAAACATACCAGGAAACGTCTCAAAGTAAGACGAGAGTGGTAAACGGTAAATATATGACCGTTAGCCCTCGGGCAGTTATAATGTATAAGTGGTTAGCATCACTAGCTAACAGTTGGGTATAGCATACTGTGACAAACTCGCTTGTTTTTATGAGAAAAGTTGACTTCAACTGAACTTTTGTCAGGAATGAATAGTTACAGTATTTTTCCATTAATGAAACGCTGCTGTTGTGTTAATGTTAATGCAGTATTTGGCATATTTTGTTTTACTCCGGCGTTTTACAACGGTGTGGTTTAATAATCCGGCGGTAGAGGGCGCTCTAGCAACACACTTCCACTTTTTCTCATGTTACTAGGTTAACACATGGGGTTAACACTAGACACCTGAAAAGAAACACTTTTATTCACTGCAGACATTTTATAGGAAAAATGTAAATAATTATAATAATGGCTCTTCCATTTAGGTGTCCACTTCCGGGGTCCGAGTAGAGGCCTTCTTTCACAGCAGACATTTTGACTTAATAACCTCAGGAATCTATGAAGTGTCTCAGTGAGCAGTGACCCCTAAATAAAAGTAGCCAAATGGAATTCATTAGATTGTATTACTGACAACTGCGCTGTGGAAAAGGCCTGTTGTAAATGCTAGCTTACTGGGACATTTCAATGGAGCTGAGCCATTTATGTTATTAGCTGCCATCAAAAAATGTCCCATTGTTGTATTATGTCCAACACAATGAGACTGATGTAATTCACACATGACTAGCCAGTCTTTATCACCAGGCTCTCAAATCAACAGGTAACATTACAGTTATTGACAATACAGTTGTCTCTGATCAGTTTTTCTCTGGCAGGACTGAGAATGGGAATGAAAAAACCTACAATAAAGTTTTGTTTATTTTGTCCACCAAGGATTGCCTGCCAAGCCCTAAATCCTGATTATGCTTGATAGATCTCCTTGGACTTTTATTACCATTAATCAGTGGTTGTGTTTATCTGTACTTGGTCCTTTTTTAAAAGACCAAACTGAAAAGTACATTCTTATTTTTAGCTTTGGCTTTAATGTGTACACTGAAGTCATGTCGAGGGACCAAACAATACTGTGGGTTTGAATAGTTGACACTGTGCCACTCAAAGGCATTCAACAGTTTTCTTTGCACATATTATCTGAATCAGTTATTAAACTTGAACCCACATCTGTTGGGCCTTCAGCTTTCCTCTCCAGCCACTAGTGGGAGACAAAAATGTATTCCGATGTTTTACCAAAAAGTAGTAATACCAGCAATACTATACTATTTAAATATATGTGATTAAGAAACCTTTTTTCTGTGTATAAAATCTAACACCATCAGATAAATGTGAAGTAGTATTGAGTTACTGAGTAAGGTGCACCCAATGATTATTTTCTGAATTAATTGCGCCCTCTATTAAAACAAAATAGAAAATAGAGAAAAATTCCACAATCAGAATTTCCCAGAGCTCAAGGTCGTATCCAGTGTATTGCTCTGCCAATGTGAGACAAAGAAAACGCAGCAAATTGAGAAGCTGGAACCATGAAAATTTACCTAAGCGATCTCTCGATTATCAAAATATCTGCAGATTAATTTTCTGTTGATTAATGACGTAAAATTTAGTGCTTTTGTTGCAATGCTTCTTTGCAGTGTAACAGCAGTTAAATCTTAAGCTTTTGTCTGTGTATTTAACAGCATCAACACAAAAGCAGGATGTTAAACCAGATTGAAATGAATGTAACTACCATTTTATTATTTAGTTGGACAGGACAGCTCTTAACACATTAAATCAGGTAAATCATCTTAAAATTTGTCACCTTTAAATCTGTGTAATGCACATTTTAAGCAATTATTTTTTCTCTTTTGCAGTTCCTGATGACCTGCTTATTGCGTAAGTGTCTTATTTCCATTTCTTATTATCTTTCATCACAGATATTTATCAGTAACTCTGCCACCAATAACATTATTTTGCTGTCACTCTTATGAGTTTTCGACTTTATGACTTTCTACAAATATATTATCTTTGGCTTTCTGAGTTACGATGTGAGCGAAAAGTTCTGCACATGGCTTAATGGCTGAGTGGATGTAAAGTGTGCAAACCACACCGAGGAGGACGACGGAAGCATTTTTACAGTCTGGATTTGCCAGATGACGTAGCACTGAGACACAGTGCTGTGATGCTGCTCTGTGTCTTTGCTGCGACAGTTCCTGGCATAATGGTCAGAGTTACTGGGAGTGTAGTGGTGTTCCCTGTCTGGGTCAACATGGCCACATCCTGCCTGCTTGTCAGGAAGACTCTCATTTACAGGCTCTTCATCACACTTTCTGGTAATTCACAAGCAGACATCATTATCCATTTTTATATTTATCTCCCAGTTTCCCTCATCTTTGCCTCCTGGGAAGACTTCCACATTATTGATTACAAACAAAATATAATTTAAAAACTAACAAACTGATTCATTCAAGTTTTAGTTTTACATTAGCAAAGTTGATGTAATTTGCATCAAATCAAATCCTGTAAAGGATCACAGTTTATTATATTGAAAATCAATATAATTGTCTGTCATGGTACTTTGCATTCTTGTCATATGGTGATATAAATACATATAGATATATTAATAGTAGAATAATAGTAAATGAATAATAATAACGTAACATATATTTTGATTTCAATATATCCCTCAGTCCTCGTTTGGTCTGAACTGGTAAATTTAGATAATTTAAGCACAGCTACACAAGAACAATTTATTATTTTTTGCCATCTGAAGCATCAGTTTTAAATATCAATTTCTGGCGTGAGACTCCTAAAACTAACGAGCAATGGCCTCTCTCTAGACTCACCACTGTGTGAGGATTCATCAGTCATACAGGGAAAAAATGACAGAGAGGCAGAGGTGGTTCTTCTACCAACAGTCGCCCCAAACCAGCTCCACAGGGATCCTGACAGAACATGCTTTTTTAATGACTTGTGCACATAAGTACAGAAAATGTTGGAGACGTCTTTATGTCTTTCCCTCACCTCTTACATTTTCCTCCTCGTGTCTTTCAGTCTCAAGTTTGTCTTCGGGCCTTGTGCGTTACAGGCTTTGGACCTGGTCGACCAGCGTTCAGTCACCTGTCTGTCCTCTCCCAGTGGACGTAAGGCTTTCCAGGTATGTCATGTATCTGTCAGCCTTCACAATCAGCATCCGACCTGCACAGTTTACATCCTGCAAATGAATGGTTTGCATTTTAACGTGAAATTACTGCAACTATATCCACGTTCTTTCACAGCAAGGCGATTTCCAACTTGTAGGAGCTGCATTATTAGTGTGTGTAGGAATATTCTCATTCCACTCAATCAAACTGTTGGACGTCTGGATTTTCTGCCCCTTTAATTAGTCGTTTGCCTGTTTCCACTGTTCTCTGACTCCTGGTTCAGCTGTGTTCTTCTCACCAAAACAGCACACAATCTTTTTAATAAGTTTCTAAATATATTTGACAACTAGATCAAAAGGGTTAGGGTTAGTGATGATCTCCCTTGCACCTTGTTTTAGTAAGTAATGTTACCTCTAGTAAAGAATCTAATTTTGATCCCTTCATCTTTCAGTGGCCATCCAACTTTAAAGCCCCTTCTCTGTCAAAATCCCCTCAATCACCAGATTTGTTCATGAATCAAAATATTTTAGATCACTATTCAGCGTCAGTATGTAAGAAGTCCATCCCGACAAAAGGAAAGGAGCTGATGTGACTCATTTTGAATACAGTATTTGTAGTTTGCAGGTTTTCATTTCTGGGTGTTTAGAAGTGAAAAAACATCACCTCTGTTTTGGGAAAGTGGCCTCAGATATTTGGAGCCCACTTTGGATCTTAATCTTCTGATAACTCCTTGGATCCTTTTCATCGTGGTGCGTCCAGTATCAAGTCCCAGCACGACTCACACACAGACACACACACACTACTGTTTGCCGACTGAATGTCAATGAAAGACGGATACTTGAAGTGACTCCCTGAGATCACATTTTCTGTCAATGCATCTGGTACATATTCACTCACCGGCCACTTTATTAGGTACACATGTTCAAATGCTCGTTAACGCAAATATCTAATAGGCCAATCGCATGGCAGCAACTCACTGCATTTAGGCATGTAGACACGGTCAAGACGATCTGCTGAAATTCAAACCGAGCATCAGAATGAGGAAGAAAGGTGATTTAAGTGACTTTGAATGTGGTGTGGTTGTTTGACGAGCTGGTCTGAGTATTTCAGAAACTGCTGATCTACTGGGATTTTCATGCACAACCATCTCTAGGGTTTAAAAATATCCAGTGAGCGACAGTTCTCTGGGTCAAAATGACTTGTTGATGCCAGAGGTCAGAGGAGAATGGCCAGACTGGTTGGAGCTGATAGAAGGGCAACAGTAACTCACATAACCACTCGTTTCAACCAAGGAGACCTACCTAGGAGAGCATCTCTGAGCACACAACACGTGGAACCTTGAAGCAGATGGGCGACAGCAGCAGAACAACACACCGGGTTCCCCTCCTCTCAGCTGAGAACAGGAAAACTGAGGCTACAATTCACACGGACTCACCAAAACTAAACTATAGAAGAAAAACGTTGCCTGGTCTGATGAGTCTCGATTTCTGCTGCGACATTCGGATGGCAGGGTCAGAATTTTGCATCAGCAACATGAAAGCATGGATCCATCCTGCCTCGGATCAACGGTTCAGGCTGCTGGTGGTGGTGTAACGGTGTGGGGGATATTTTCTTGGCACACTTTGGGCCCCTTAGTACCAACTGAGCATCGTTTAAACGCCACAGCCTACCGGAGTATTGTTGCTGACCATGTCCTTCCTTTTATGACCACAGTGTACCCGTCTTCTGATGGCTACTTCCAGCAGGATGACATCACCATGTCACAAAGCTCAAATCATTTCAAACTGGTTTCTTGAACATGACAATGAGTTCACTGAACTCCCGTGGCCTCCACAGTCACCAGGTCTCACTCCAACAGATCACCTTTGGGATGTGGTGGAGCGGGAGATTCGCATCATGGATCTGCAGCAGCTGCCTGTTGCTGTCATGTCAATATGGACCAAAACCTCTGAGGAATGTTTCCAGCACCTTGTTGAATCTATGCCTCGAGGAATTAAGGCAGTTCTGGCAAGGTGTACCTAATAAAGTAGCTGGTGAGTGTATATATAATATATCTTATTAGAAACTTAATGAAGTGGTCTCCTCGACTGATTTCTTAAAGTATATTGTACAAAGTACTTTACAAACGCAGAATATTATATTCTTAAAAGTTTATATTACTTAAAAGTTAACCTCAATAGGAGCAGAATTACTTGTGGGAGAACAGGGCAGTCTACCGAGGCTGTGGTCATTGTGACCTAAATTTCCTGTAAACTCCTTCAGGGCCCTGCAAAAACAGTTTTATGAAAGGAACTGTAAAATACAATGCAGCTAAATAAAGACTGTTTGGACAGTTTCAGCTCAGTCAGTGCTGTCTTAATTGTTTCACCTCATTTCATGTACGGCTGTTTGACATTTGTGGTCCAGCAGAATGTATTGGAAATGAATAATATATTTTTATTCTCTTATTCCCTCTTCCGGGAAATGCTTTTTTTTTTTTTAAATTTCTTGAGAGCAAATGTAGCACAGAATAAGAGACTCTTGACGTGTTTTCTATTTCTGTTCTTAGTGGAAAACAAACTTCCACAATAGACTGTTTACTTTGTTTTATTTGGAAATTGTCAGTTTTCCCAATTATTTCTGACCTCTTATATCTAGATATAATTATAGATATATATATAATATTTAGATTTTTCTGATGATCTTTATACATTAAGGTCTGTGATTCCAAAAACATTGTATTTGTTCTAATTGTGGTTGTGACCATATATTTTGAGCTGCAGTAATTAATCAATGAGTGAGGGTTATGAGAATTTGCCGCTTGTCTTCGTCATATGTGATAGTAAATGAAATATGTTTTTGTTTTGGACAAAAGAAGCAGTTTAAGAACATCACTTGGGAAACAGTGATGTTTGTTTCTGATTTATTTTTTCACATTTCTACTAAATGAATAGTGGATTTATTTATAAAGTAATTTGCGGATTAATTGACAGTGTAAACAATTGTTGATTGCAGCCCAAACTTTGAAGTTTTCATGGCATTATTTTGTAAATTGAGAAGAACTGATAATAATTTGCAGGTTGATACAGTATCTGTCTGACTGTAGTGTCTAGTTGAGGTGACACAGGTTTGAACCTGTGGGAAGGTCGCACATTTCTCTGCTTTATCGCTCCACCGTTGACGTGTGGTGCTACAACACTTCAGTTTGTCACTCACCCACAGCTGCAGGTTGATGTCAGAGAAAACTATTATTAGAGGAATAGTTCAACCTATTGGAAATTAGATTTATTCACTTTCTTACCAAGACATAGATGTGAAGATTGATACCATTCTCATGTCCATGTGATTTAAATATGAAGCCACAGCCAGCAGCCAATTAGCTTAGTTTAGCATGCAGCCCTCAAACAGGTGGAACCGGATTGAGTTTACCTACCAGCTTACTAATTAGCACATGAAGTCTTTGTTTAATTTGTACAAACACTGAGGTGTAAAAACAACAAGTTGCGGTTTTGTTCTGGGTTATGATCTGGACAGTTTCTCAGGTGAGCAAAGTGACTCCTCAAAGTCTCTTTTTTACGCCTCCGCACCAGCGACAGGCAGAGCTGGAGGCATCATGTTCTCAGGTAGTCCGTATGTCCGTCCCCTTCTCATGAACGCAGTATCTCCCTTCTAATTTGGCACAAATGTCCAGTTGGACTCAAGGATGAACTGATTAGACTTTGGTGGTCACAGATCAAAGGTCAAGGTCGCAGCGACCTCACAAAACACCTTTTTGGCCATAACTCAAGAATTCATATGCTAATTTATGACACAATTTAACACAAATGGCTAATAGGATAAAGTGATGAAGTGATCACATTTTACATCCAAAAGGTCAAAGGTGAACTTCACTGTGACATGCAAAAAACACTCCTGGCCATTATTCAACATTGTAACTGAGGAAGGAGAGATTGGGACCGTGTTTCCTGCAACTTGGCTGGTTGGCAGAGGCGGTGATTCCTGTTTACCTGGCAGCTGGTCCCAGCAAATTGTTATTCCATACAAGTATTGCGAGTTTTTGTACAGATTAAACAAACACGGTATAAGGTGTTAAACTGTGAGATTTAGAGGTGCTGGTTGGATCTGGTGGCTGGTAACTTCTAGACAGAGTCAGGTTATTGTCATTCTATTCTATTAATTCTCATTGATTCTCTATTCTCATAAACTCTCTGACTATTAATTTAAATGAAGCCCTGCAGTAGATGATTGTTCATGTGTGTCTATCAGATGTACTGTATTAGTTATGTAATAGACTTAATCGTTACTCAGATTTGTCCAAGTTGAATATTCCTGCCTTTTTTCCATCAGCCTGCAGGTTCAGACTTCTCTGTTGAGAGCTTACATCGTGCAGTGAATCGCATGCCTTCACAGGGAAGTTTCACCACATGAACCGCACATTAGTAATCACATAGTCTTCTTCTTTCTCTCTCTCATACATCTTGAAGATTGAGTTTATTTTGTCACATAAACAGCTGTGAGTGTTGCTCCTGCGATCAGGTTCTGTTTTATGTTTTGACAGTTAGAGATACATTAAGTGAGACTTGAGTTTATACAGCGTCTGTTCATAGACTGTCTCAAAGCCCTGGCACAAATATTTAGCTTACACTGGTCTTTGCTTCTCTCAACTTGAATTTGACAGTAAGTGCTTCAGTGGGCAGCTGCTGAAAACAAACCAAGCTCTTTCTATCCTAATACCAGGACATAGTTGAAATGGCATTAAGATATAAGCTCTGGCTTAATATTATCACAGGACGTCTCTCACTTTTAAGAAATAAAGGTTGAGGAAAGGAGGTGAAGACACCTCTCTGAGGATCAAAGGTTGTTTCATGAAGTTTCTGTGTCTTCTTACTCAGTGCAGACCATACGTGGGCAGCATGCGACGGCACTAAGAGTTAGAAGAACATCATTAAACCTCTGGAAGAGTGATCTCAGTGACAACAGTTGCAGGACCACTGGATAATTTAAAAGATAAACCTCTCTACAATTAGTCACCCACTTTTCAAGTGTCTTTACAAATTTCCTGTAAGGCAGGAAGAGGATAAGCGAGCAGATTTCGCTCATCAGATCATGAAAAAAGAAGCATAAAAAATTAAATTTCTTAAATGCTTTCAGGAAGTTGATGAGACCAGTGTTTGGAAATGAACTATTTTCTTAGACCATATCTAGTACTGAGTTTACTAGAAATAAGCTGACTTGAGTGCTAACTGGGCACTGTGTCAAAGAGATGCTGAAATAGAAGCTGATAAATTAGCAAGTTCTGCCATTTTAGTCATTTCCTGTTAATATTCTGTTTCCATGGGACACAACTGACTTTCTCACGTTTCCGTGGTTGTTTGGTCTCGTCTTTCCTCAAAAAGAATGAATAACTCATGAGATCTTGGCATTTAGCTGCTTTTCACCTTATCTCATTCCTAACACTCAGTGACCTTTTCATAGGGGATGGTGTACCAAAGCCTGCTGGGACATGGAGGTAGTTAGTGCATTCTCATCGGTAGTGAAACTCAGCTGTATGAACATGGACACTCTGCGGATGGCAGCATTGAGTCTTTTACTCAACAAAACATTGAGGGTTGCTGATGAGGACAGTGGTGCTGAAACGATTAGCTGTAGTAGTTTACTGACATTAATTGTTAATTGGTTAATCATTTGATTTAGACAAAGATGCCAAATATTTACTGGATGTGCTGTTTTGTATCGTTGTAAATTGAATGTCTTTGGTTGAACAAAACAAGCACTTTTATTATTTTTTTGACTTCTCTGATCAGAAACTGTGCACTGTCTGTGAGGCGGTGAAAGGAGCAGTTGAGATGATGACGTGCTGATGTGAGCGCCTGGTTATGACGAGCAGCAGCTACAGAGCCCCTCCAATTTATTTTATCCTTTCTCCAGCAGTGTTAGTTGCCAAACCATTCTCCTGACTGGAATGGAAAACAGAAAGCTTGAAAGCTTTTTAGCACTTGAAGGAAATCGTCGGTTCTTGAATGGAATAAACAGCCAAAGCCTCAGAAGTCAAAATAAAGACATCATATCAGTACATATACAAGGGCTGTGTATCTCAGTGTATTCCCAGAACTTTAAATTTCCCAGAAGCCCTGTTTGTGGCGTGAAACCAGTGGACAGAGGGCCGTCCAAACTAATGGTCCTCTCACTCATAATGACTTCCCGAGAAGTATTCTCCAGAGAGCCAGTATTTCAGGCTGGAAGGAGCCAGAGCTTTGCGGAGGCTTGAACTCTCACTGCTCCATCTGCAGCGACTGAATGGCAGATCTTGATGTATAGTGTTTGTTGAGGAAATCTGGATCCCTGCCAGGCAGTGGAAGCCTACAGTTTGTGTGTCTGTTGGTGACATTAGCTGCCAGCTTTGCAGTGTGAACTGCAGCAGAGCCACATAATCTATGAAGCCAGCAGACAACAAAAAGAACCCGAGTGTGAGCTGGTTTTTAATAAACTTGGCGCTTTAGAAACTGTAGAGGTCCTTGGCTTGGTCCTCACAGTTTCCCTGCTTTTGTCCCCATCCTGCTGTGTATGATGCTTTATTCATCTTTACCGTGGAGTTTTAAGCCCATGTAATTGTCTCTGGTGCCTTATTTATAATGAAGTGTCACATTGAACAAATGAGGTGTTTTTACTTTAGTAGGTCACGGAGAAAGGTAATTTATCGGAGCTCCGGAGAGTAATGGAGCCTGCTCTGCCATCTTGGGGAGCATTAGTTATTGTGAAGTGTCAAGCTAATCCACTGACTTAATGTCCTCATGTGTCGTGTGCATGAGGACGAGACTTAAATCACTGTCTATAGCTGGAGTGAGCGGCAGCACCGTGGGCAGGCGGTGCTGTCAGCCAAGGCCATTAGACGACACATACAGGTTGTTTAAAAATGCATCGCTTCTATCTCGTCCCCTCCAAATAACTAATTTGAAATGATGAGGTTGATGCAACCTCACCTTCAACTCAGCCACTGTTCTGTCACTTTTTTATGAAACATTTAAAAGCTGAGTCCAAAGAACAGAGTTAAGTCAGTGTGTAAAGGACTCACATGTGACTCTGCAGGCTGGAAATCACAGCGTCATGACTTACAATCATCATAACTTCTGGTGACGTTAGCTGGTGTAGTGACACCGAAACAGTGACGGAGTATATGAATGGATGTCTTCCAGCTGTGAATCAGAGGATGTGCTTATGTCTCAGTGAATTACCATGACTGCTGTCGTAATGTGTGAACGGTTTGATTTCACACGCGGAGCAGCTGCAGGGCTTGTGTCTAGATGACATCATCGCTTATCTTTTGTCTCTGCGGTGTAACTTAAGGACAAACTGGCTCAAATTCACAAAACATAGAACAATAGAAATTATATGAAAATTGAAAAAAGATGATTTGTTTTCACTTTAACATTAAGTGAGTTAGTTAGTTTCTTTTTACTGTTGGTGGAAGTCAAAGTAGCATGAATATAAGCAACGTGATTTAAAAAACACAGGGTGGGTAAATACTTCATGAAGTTGGATTTATGGTGAGATAGAGATTTTGACATTTGAGAAAAATGTTGCACCTCAGCCTGCCGTGTCTGGACTTGTCCGACATTTGTGATACAGTAAAAAGTTTTTCCTTCATGCCTTTCCACAGTTTAACTCTCCACGGCTCCTCAGCTGCTCCGGCTGCAGCCAGGACAAACAGCCTGGTGATCATGTTTGATTGGTGAATCTCCTCCCTCATGAAGACACAACTGATGCTTGTCTCTGTGTGTATGATCTTTCACACACAAGTTGTATTATTATATTATATTATATATTTGAATGTACTTTGCATGAATCTGTTGCAGGTAATGGGAGGCTCTGGACGTTTGTACTCTTGCTTTGTGTCCTGCCACTATTGTCCGTGCCCAGCCTTCGCCTACACCGTGCTCCGCAGAAATGAAGGCCTGCTGGTGAGTCTCATACAAATTGTGACGCTCAGTTTGGGCTGAAAATGGAGCCTCACTCTATTTTTGGTACCAACCAAACATCCGAAGCTTGGTCTGATTCATATTGTTCTTTCCTTTGATCAGACAGTTTCTAAATAATTTTGCCAGTTTGTTCTCTTATCGATCATATCTGCACTGGTAATAAAACAGTCATACACAGTCTCTATTGGGTTTGACTTTTGTCAGAACACATATATATGGTACACAGTGTATACAGTAGCTTATTTACAGCCATTGCGTCTTGTCAGCCCAGTGTGTAAATCCTGGAGAAAACCATCACCCAGTCAAAAGTGAGACGAAGAACACGTTGGAATGTGTGTAACAGATGTACTGTGGTGTGGCCGTGTTCTTGTCTGGTCGCTGACCGGCTGTTTTTAACTACATATCTACAAGCAAACAACCTCAGCTCCCGCTCTGAGTATCAGAGGGACTCGTTTTCCCTGGAGGATGCTGCTAAAATCAGTGTGAGAAACAGAGCGGCATCATAGCAAGGAGACTCCATGAGCGGAGCTGATATCATTCCCCATGAAAACACACCGGAGACATAAAACAGTTCAATAGCGAGCCAGATGACACTGGAGTCAATGGACATAAGACTTCTGGTGGATGAGGTTTATATAACTCTCTGGTCCCAAAGTCAGAACTATACGACACTCAGGAGACTCTTGAGTTTGACCATGCAGTCTGCAGTGCTCCCCTGCTGGAGCCACTGTGCTCTCTCAGGGGCCCTGCAGGTTCCAACATGGCTGGATAAGGCCAGACCAGGTTTACACTGCTGATAAGGAGGTCAGAGGACAGATAAAGATGCTCGCCCACCAACAGCAGGCTGCCATGAGCTCATAAACTCAGCTGACAGGAGAAGCTAGTAAACAAACTTGTGTACCTTTGTCCTTTGTCTTAATGTTTATGTAACACACTGATCCACGGGCGCTGCTGTGGAGGAAATCTCATTTATAATGCATGGAACAGGCAGAGGGTGAAAACAAGTCAGTGATTAATTTTAATATTGATAATAATGAGAGGAGCGGGTTCAGTGACACATGCACACAGATACGCAACTGCAGGGCTGCTTGTCATTCAACACACACGTCAACTCCTGGACTTTCTTCTTATTCATCACACAAACACTCCATTTAAAAAATAACACACACTTGTAGCGCTCTTACTCATGCAACTTTCCTATTTGTAATTTCATGTTTATAATTTGATATAAATATTGGAAATCGTTCTGGTATTTGTGACCAGTATTCTCAGACTGAGGATCAGTCTGTGGAAAATTTCCGACAGGTCAGAACCAAACGGCTTCTTTCTAGTCTGGTGTTTACATGAGATCTTTGAATTTAAATCAGTGGAGTGTCATTAAGGCCATGTCGTTAATCACTTCGGTGCCTGTGGTTATTTCATGAATCAGTGTCTCTGCTCTTTTCTCCCAGTGCAAACACATCCTGGCTGCCTACCTTTGTCAGGCCCTGGGTGTGACGGAGGAGGAGAGCGTGTCAGATCAGCAGATGTCCATGCTGCTCAGTGGGACAGCAGCACCCTGACACCCAGGTAGGTCCACTACCACGTACAGCAGCTGGACCAGCACACCTGGCCCCAAGGGGACACGATGGACCCTCCTGAATGAGGGCCCACGTTTCAAATGTGCATTTTGAGCCGCTGCTGAGAGGACGGACGCATGACCATGAATCCTCCTCTCTTGCATGACTTTGTGAAAGATGCCAGATGTTGCTTTATTTATTTTTTCTTTAGCGGAGTTCTTTATCTGTTACCAAGGAAACGCCTCCTGTTGAATCAGGGTGCTGCTTTATTTTTAGGTTATTTTTATCTAAAAACATGAACATATTTCCAGCTTGTAAACACAAATTGTCGTATGATCTCAAATTGAGATTTTAGGAATAAAGACTGATCTGTAACAATATAAACATTACCTTTATTAACAAAATAATTCACCATACATACAGATTGCATCATGTTAAATAGCAGTATCAGTTTGCAGTTGTAGTTCTGTTGAATGAAAGAAAGAATGGCCTCTGGAAAGGTTGCACATCAGCTCGACCACAGTGGATGTTTTTCCTGATTAGTAGCGACACTATAGCACACTGACAGATAGGTACTTCGGAATGAAAGGCAGGAATGTTGAACTAGATCAACTCGTTATTGTCCGTCTTAACCTTTTTAAAAATCGCAAAAGAAGGCAATAGTTTGACATCAATCAATAGCTTGTAGAAAGTCGGACACCTACAGTACTTATTTTTACACATCAGTCAACAAAGACAATAACACAACGTTACAGTGCAGTTACAGTGTAGATGTCTCCATTGGAATGTACTAAACCGTCGGCACACTCCTGTATTGTAGCCCTTGAAGTTAGATCAGAGGTGGGACACTGGACACAACAGCACACGAGGGGAGAGAATGAAGCGCTCGACGTAGGACCGCTTGTTAAACACCAACACAACATGGTTCTCTGTCGCCAGTGAAGCACACACCAAGACGGGAAATAACCTTAAATGTCAGTGCAATGTGTTTTCGTTTGTGTAGTGATGGCTCTCAACAAAAACACCTTCATTTTCATTTTCTTCACATAAATTACAACACTCCAAAATAAAATAAAAAATACTCTTGCTTTGCTCTGATTAATTTCACCAGAGCTTTTTTTTTGTGATTCATCAGCTCTCTGTCTTCAGTTTCAGAAGCTCAACAGGAACCTTCACAAGAACGCTGACCACCACACGGCAGCAGAGAACACGCCAAGCATCAGGTGCTTGAAGATGTGACTCGGTGGAAAGGCAGTGCTGCAGCTGTGTTCCCTCAGACTGTGATGTTAAAGTATGAGCACCGCGGAGAGCGAAAGATTTGGACTCTGGACGTAGTCGTATGTCTTTGCTAGCACAGAGGGGGAAAAGAGTGTTACAGTATTAGCATTGTGATTAAATGAGTCTTCAGTGCTGTATGCTTTTAAAAATGCGCTGTTTTCTCAAAGGGAAGTTTGCCTCAGCTCAGTCAGTGACTTCAGCAGCTTCAGGAGGACTGACTGTACGAACAGGGATCCCAGCTGAGGGGGGGGGGTGTCAGCTGGAGTCCTAAGGCAAGTGACATTCATTTACAGCTAACTGAATCAAAGCACAGATGCTTTGTGTTATGTAAGCCACAAAATACATGTGTACCAGAAGCCTGAATGATGAGGAATAATGAATATAATCATAATCATTTAAATGGCGTGTCTACTTTTACAGTATGTCATCAGTTGGCTCAAAACAAAGCATCTGAAAACGCTCTGTGGTGAATCAGCACTTCCTGAGCTTTTGTCTGAAGAAACACGGGAATGATATGGAGCACCACTGCAGGTGTGTTTCTCTAAACTTCGACTTATTTCTGTGTCTGCGTGACCGAATCAAATCGTGCCGTTTGTGTCGGAGTCACAAGAACGCCATCCTCTGGATCACAGCCACAGAGGTCAGAGATTATTTTGTCTACCCCTGTGGCCCTGAGAGATGATTCATGGGACAGGAAAAGCATTTCTTTTTTTCTTGCATTTTTCCCCCTCTAGTTTAGTTTTTTGGCAATTTTCAATAAGCAGGCGTGTCCCTGTGTGGACCGCCGCGTCCCTCCGCCTGCGTCGTTTTGTGGAGGAGTCACTAGAGCAGCGGCAGGGACACCTGCAAAGACTGAAGCAGCAGCTCGAGAACATTTGTTTTACAAAGATATGTATTCTCCTTATCTGTCTCCTACTTTGGATATTGATATGAAAAATACCTCCTCTAATAATCAAATAAAAGATAAAGAAAATCTATATATAGAGCCTGTGATGATCATGAGTATGAATGTGGGATGTAGACTACTAATATTGTACCTTTCTAGGTGCACAAATACAGATCTCACCGCACAAAGTCTTTTGATCTTTACATTCTCAAAGAAAAGGTCTTGTAATAAATAAATAATTAAACACTGGCACTGAATGTTGACAATATAAAATAGCAGGGCAAAGAAGGAGTGTCTGGAGTTGTAACAGGGTGGATTCAGAATGATAAATAGCAGTTTAAGTTTGGATCCTGTTCACAGTCCTACAAATCCAGTTAGCTTCATCAGATTTTCTTTTAAATCAAAAATCCTTCACAATACAAAAGTTACGTAAGACGACAACAACATTTCACTGCTCGACCCCTGATACTTGACACAGTTCATAAATAAATGTCCACATTCAAGGCGCGTTTAACATCGGTTCATCCTCGCATATCATACCCTTGTTCTGTAAACATTAGAAACCGCAGTGGAAATAAAATTCAAGACTGAAACGACAGAGCTGACATATAATACTCCTCCTCAGTACGACTCTCTATAGCAGAGGGTCGATGGTCATGTGGATTTGGTCTCTGTTGCGTCTGCTGCCGTTGGAGCTGAGGTACAGCTCCTCCCTGCGGCACAGGAAGTGCTGGGCCAGGATCTTGCGGAAGGTGTTCCTGAAGTCCTGGATGCGGTAGGCGTAGATGATGGGATTGACCGCAGAATTGGCATGAGACATAATGATGGCCATGTACATGACGACCGCCGGCTTCTTCAGCTCCTCGTAGAACAGCGTGAGGCAGTTGAGGATGTGGACGGGCAGCCAGCAGATAGCGAACAGTCCCACGATAATGGAGAGGGATTTGGCGGCCCGGATCTCCTTCTGCAGCAGCCCGTGGTGATGGCTGTCCCCGTTGCCCACGCACTTGAGCTCGATCTGTCTCAGCTGCTTCCTGGCCACAGTGAAGATCTTCAGGTAGATGCCCAGCATGATGAGCAGCGGCAGCAGCACACAGACAAAGAAATTAAAATACACCATGTAGTGCATGTCCACCACACTCTCAAAGAAGCAGTGGAGCTCGCAACTCTTTAGCAAGTCCCCTCTGCCGCTCGGCCCCTTTGTGAGGCCAGTGTTTGTAGTGTTGTCCGTCCCGGAGCTGTTCCTCTTGCAACTCAAGTACTTCCGGTTCCAGCCAAAGAAAGGGATGAGGCCAATGACAAAGGAGAGGATCCATAAAATAGCAATGATTTCTCTGGCGGTCTTTCCTGTCATTAACTCCTTGTACCTAGAGAAAACACAGCAGAGGTTAGTGTCTGTACAATGTCTCCAATGTGGAAGTGTGAACATGTATGAAACTGTCTCTGGTGCGTTTTCTGTGGTCTATTCATTCAGTTTAACAATCTTCTGATGTAAACATTTGCCCATGTACGACTCATGATCTGTAGATGACCTTTACCTTTTTCATTTTCTCTCAAAATCCCAGCAGCACTCAGCGTTAGCTGACTGTGTATCTGTCCAATAAAATACACACTGGAGAATCAGACAACGGGAATCTTTACTTCTGCTCATAGAAAGTGAACAGCTGTCGACGTGGTCTAATGCGTCAGCCAAACAATCAGGATAGTCAAGTGTGACAGTGCATTGTTGTGGTTTGTTGCATTCAAGTGACGTAGGAAAATAACAACTTTGTCTTTTTGTAAACCAAACATCCAGAATTAACAATAACACAAAGACAAGAAGTTCGGCTCGTGGTTGGATCCGAAACATACACAATCAAAGCAACAAGACAGGAGAGGTTGAATAAAACATTAATGCAGTGAAATGAGATCTTGACAGTCGTCAGCCTTGTTTTTGAAAAAGCTGCCAAATAGATTTTTACAATGTTTTCTTCATGCAGTGGCGGAAGAAGTATCAGTACACCTCACTGTGAAGATGCTCCATCACAAATAATGTCCTGCATTCAAACTCTTAAAGTACAGAAGTATTGTCAGCAAAGTGTAATTAAGTTATCAAACATAGAGCAGTCACTTGGCAGCTGAGTTCCCCTTGTCATGGTGTTACATTATTTTTAAATAGTGGATTATGATTAATATGAGCAACAGGTTGAGGCAAAGCTAATTGTAACTATTTCATATGTGTTCAGTATTTCAATCTATGATGGTGCATCATATTTTATAAGTTCTTCCTGTTCTGTTCTGTTAAGGTGTGACTTAAGGTGGTGAACTTTATACGTGCTGGTTGCGTTCTGTAACTGTGGTTAGCTGTTTCCCCCTGTTTCCAGTCTTTATGCTAAGCTAAGCAAAGATAACTAGATGCTGGCTGTAGCTTCGTATTTAGTTTACAGACACGAGAGAGGGATTGATCTTCTCATCTCACTCTAAGTAAAAAAAAAAAAAAAAAAGCACATTACTAAAATGTCCAACTCTTTTATCTGAAGCCCTGCAGTGGATGATTCATCGAGTCTATCAGATGAACAGTGGCAAGAAAGAGTGAACCCTGTGGAGTTACCTGCATTTATGTATAAATGAGTCTTAAAATATGATCAGATCTTCCTCTGAATTACAATTATGAACAAACAATCTATTTTAAGTGATGACACCCAAATCATAGTTTTGTTTTTGTCTATATTTAAAAAAAAAAATCCCCTCAGTTCATCCTCTCACCCTGACACAGACCCTGACGTGTGACTCGGAGGGAGGAGGACGTACATGCTCTGTGGCCAGTGGAAACTACACCCTCAGTTCAATTAAAAAAAGTACACAGCTTGTAAACGCAATAATAAAAGATAAACACACATAGCTGCAGGCAGTTACACCCCATATAACTCTACCAGCCATTTCAACTTTCCATGTAATCATCTAACTACAACAGCAACACACAGGCCTGCTTCACCCTGAACACATTATCAGCTGCAAAATGAAAACATTAAGAGTGCTGCTATCTGACTCCATCGCACATCCTGCTGCGCTTCAACTAGTACAACAAACACGGCGCTGAAATGACACACACATCGGCTTTAGGTGTGATGTAGGTTAACTGTCTGCATCTACATTCAGAAGCTGTGAGCAGGAGTGTACCAGAGCAAACCCACAGAGCGTGAACGTGTGAAAATGAAAGAAGCCAGTGAAACACTTAGAGGCTTTTTTTGATTTTCACTTTTTCCTCTGTCTCGGCTTCGTGCTGTTTAAATTGTGAACTGATTTCGTGTGTTTCCTGTAGAGCCATTGCCTGACTGACATATGAAAGGAAATCCTCAACAGTAGGTGCACGGCGGCTGCGTGTTCAGATGCAGAGCTGATTCACACGAGTGTCGGCCTGCTGGTCCCCGCCATATAAACAGTGCCCGAAACAAAATGAACTGTTTCCTCAAAGTGATTCAGGTGGGAGACCGCATGGTCATGACTCATACAGATGTGTACAGGAGTGCGGTCACACACACACACACACACACTGAGCTGGAGGTGCCAACCATAATCCATCTGACATCTACTTACATGATCACATTATGTCACAAGTTAAAGTTCAGTAACACTTTGTTTAATATAATAATGATCAGTCATTAATAAGACACAGGTTAATGATGGAATAATCATTAGTGAATGATTAATAAAAACATTTTCATACATTAATCTGTTGTGTTATTAACAAACCATTTGCCAAGTAAATTGTAAATGACTAATAACTTATGATTAATACTTTTACACTCCATTCGATTACTAAACACTGACTTGTTAACGGATGGGTTCACAGTTTTTCAAAATAATACTCACATGCCCACATGTACATGTACGATGAAGGAGTTATTGGTGACTGTAATCAAACTTCCTGTCCACAGTGGAGGTGAAAAGATGGGGGACAAAACCCGCAGCTCTTGTTCTCGGCTTAAATACGGAATAAAGTTCAGCTGACTGAATATGAAGCTTCATATGAGTCTGAGTGAGGGGGGATCACTTCACAGCTCCTATGGACAGGATGAATTATATCTGTTTGAATGTGGGAATGAGAGAACTGAACTGAAGCCTTGACCGACTGAGTCATCCACCTCCTGAACACAGTCACCTACCTGCGACTGACCAGCATCTACCTGACCGGCTGTGCATCACTGTGGTGTTTCACTTCACTGTATCACTGTGCGCTCTCAGGCTCTCACATCCTTTAACAAATCTATCCGACATACGGTGAGCAGTGGAGGGAGAACGCAGCAGACGCAGACGCGAACTCAGTGGGCCACAAATAGACTATGACTAAGATAAACTGAGGAACTGGTCGCGCTACTTCAAGAAGAAACATTCACCTCGTGCAGAAAACGAAGAAAGAAACTGCTGATAAGTGAGAAACAGAACAACATTGTTTGTACACAATGTATTCAGCAGTAAATGTTTTCTTTTTTAGTGTTGGCAAATGATTTCTCAGGATTATACCTTGACTTGTTCAGATACATAAACATGAAATCCCCTTTTTTGAACCAGTTTGCTGATGTAAATATAATCCACACCCATGGACTGACAGGTGTTGTACATGTAGGTAGGTGTAGTGTTGTGTCAGGACAGAAAACGTCACCTAGTGCAACAATATCACTTTCTCTCTGTGTTTTTGATGAGAAACCGTATGCGGCTGTGGCTACACAAGATAAAATCATTAACTGTTGGTTTTGGTCTCATCACAGTGCTTTATAAAGAAAACTATAAAAACCAGTCTCATCCTTTAAAAAGCTGTGAGAGATGAGTGAGGCCAGGCTGTGAGGAAGTGGGCTCAAACTGCAGCAAACGCCTCTGACTCAAAGGGCAAAGGCAGGAAATTGCTGCCATCTAAGTCCTGGTTTCACATGCAGAGAATTTGCCAGTAAAATGAAAGTTGTTAGTCAAACACGGCTTCATAATGATTAACCCCGTCCTCCTCTGAGAGGGAAACAGCCCTGGGTTCTAATAATTACGACAATCCCAAGAGTCAATTATTCATGAGTGGCGTGCGGGTCCAGCCTCCGTCCTGCGACTCTGCTCCAGGGAGGCGAGCAGGTCGACCCAGGGGCCATGAATAATACAGACATCTGCCCATGGGTGGGGAGGGGGGCTTCAGAGCTCACATGTACAGCAGGCAGCACAGGGTTCGTTTTCTAGAGGGTCCATCTCCTGCTCATCGCCTCCCACTCTCTCTCTCTCTCTCTGTCTTTGGAGGGAGGGAGTGAGCGAGAGGCTGAATGGATTAGCTCTGGCATGACGACAGCACGCTGGCATCTATCTTTGTTTTGCTTTCTTTCTCCATACATCCCTTCTCTTCTCTGTGCGGCTGTGCTTCCGCCCGGGGCTGCAGACCTTTGCCAGGCCACAAACACAACCACACACACACACACACACACACTGCACACACACACACACACACACACGGCACACACACACACACACACACACGGCACACACACACACACACACACACGGCACACACACACACACACACACACGGCACACACACACACACACACACACGGCACACACACACACACACACACACGGCACACACACACACACACACACACTCTTCACAACGTCTGCTTAAATATCCGGCAGGGTCCGCAGCTCAGCTACAAACACAATCAAGCATGTGCCCATTCACACTGACAACACAAGGGGATTTTATTCTTCACCCAGCCTGCGGTGTGTATGCAAACAGAGCTGGAATGCCTTTGCATTATATATTTAGTTTAGGAGTGTCTCTCTAAAAAAACAAGCTGCATTAAAACCACAAATGCAAGTTGAGGGTAAAACCAAGTAAACACGTATTTGAATATGTAAAGCTGTCACGCTCCAATTTGTGAGAGTTGTTTTGACAGAAGATAGACAGGAAAAATTGATATAATCTCTGTGCATTTTCATGGAGAAGAATGACAGAGTGTAACAGTGCTTCTAGCTGTGAAGCTCAACTACTCCCCTGATAATCTATTTTTTTCATAAATAATAATAATCAACTTTGCTTGAAAATGTCTAAAAATGCCCTTTCTTGCAATCTTTAGAAAAGTCATTAAAAAAAAATCCAACTAACTAACTAACTGACTGACTGACTGACTGACTAACTAACTAACTAACTAAGTAGAATGGAAAACAGAGAGAGCGCGAACCTACTCCAAGGCTAATGTCAAACAATCAAATCAAATTTATATATAGAGCAAATTTAAAAAACAGCTGATCAAAGTGCTGCACACCAGGAAAACACAATCAACACAGAGAATCAAAGACAATCACAGACACTAAAACAGCACAACAAAAACAAGCAAGCAGATCTGACTGATCTTGGCTCAAAGGCTAATGAGAATAAAACTGTTTTGAGGCGAGAGTTGAAGGAGTGGATGGATGGGGCGGAAAATCTAATCAGTTCATCCTTAAGTCCAAGTCAATGTTTGTACCAATCTTGAAGAAGTTCCGTCAAGGCCACGAGAATGGGATGGTCAACCTGAAAACAATGTGTCTCCAGCTCTGACTGTCGCCGGCCTGGAGGAATAAAAAATCAAATTCATACTAAATGATCCGGACCTGTCCCAAAATCTAATGGGTTCTTCCCAGGCCCATGCCCCCTCCCTCCACCAAGTTCGCTGCAAATCAGTTCAGTACTTTCTGCTGACAGATAAACAGACACAGGTGAAAACATAACCTCATTTCTGGAAGTAATAAAACTTAACAAAGAAAGAACAATATGGTCGGGTTTTACAGCCCCTTCAGGCTGGAGAGACGTCGTCTTGCTCTGAGGAAATGGTCAGTTCTGTGTCGCTGTGATAATAGCAATCAGTGTCGTTTTAACCCAAGGGTGTAGATTTGGTCTCAACATTGGTAGAAATGCAACAATCCCGCCCCACCACCCCTCCAAAACAAAGAGACTGGCTTTTTAATGCCATCAACCAAACAGTTTATTGCCCATCGCAAATGTTATATATTTACATGTGTTGAATATCCATATATGAAATATATGTGCATATGAAGTAAAATCATATATGTATTTAGGTATAGCATATATATGTAAAAATTACATATGAAACCTGGTAGAAATTGGAACAATATCATGTATTGACATATATGTCTAGCTAATAGAAACATGTTTTTTTAGTATATCTTTATATTATCTACGTATGTTACATAAATATATATCCATCCCAAAGCCTGTCGGTATATGTTCATTAATATAAAAGATAGACATGTATGTTTAAATTTAATGAGGAATTATTGAGAAAATTATATACAGACATATAGAATTTTAATAATCATGTTGTTTTAATAAAGTTGCATTTTACTGGGTATTTCACAAACCTGCATGAACTTATATCTTGATATATCCAAAGGATGTATACATGTCATAATAATATATCCTCTTATATGTCACACATATGATAAGATCACTTTTGATATAGGGATATATATGTCATATATATGTCATGAGTTATAGTATAGTAAGGCATGAAAACATCATAGAACAGTAAAGGAAAAATGTCATGAAAATAATGTGCAGGTCTTTGGATTGCGGGAAGTAGCCAGAGTACCCGGACAGAACCCATGCAGACATAAAGAGAACATGCAAAATTCACAAAGATGGTCCAAGGCGGTGTTCAAACTGAGAGCATTATGAGGCAACAGTTGCAAGAACTTCACTACGGTGCCATCCCATAAATATAGTCATAGTATAGTAAGGCATAAAAATGTCAAAAAACGTCATAGTATAGTAAGGCATAAAAAGTTATAAAATGTCATAGTATACTAAGGCATAAAAATGTCAAAAAACGTCATAGTATAGTAAGGCATAAAATGTTTAAAAAAAAAGTCGTAGTATAGTAAGGCATTAAATGTTAAAAAATGTCATCGTATAGTAAGGCATAAAATGTTATGGTACAGTAAGGCATAAAACGTCATAGTATAGTAAGGCATAAAATGTCATAGTATACTAAGGCATAAAATGTTATAAAATGTCATAGTATAGTAAGGCATAAAAATGTAAAAAACGTCATAGTACAGTAAGGCATAAAATGTTATAAAAACGTCACAGTATAGTAAGGCATAAAATGTCAAAAATCATTATAGTATAGTAAGGCATAAAATGTTATAAAAACGTCACAGTATAGTAGGACATAAAAATGTTAAAAAAAACGTCATAGTATAGTAAGGCGTAAAACGTCATAGTATAGTAAGGCATAAAATGTCAAAAAACGTCATAGTATAGTAAGGCATAAAATGTCATAGTACAGTAAGGCATAAAATGTCATAGTATAGTAAGGAATAAAAATGTCAAAAAACATCATAGTATAGTAAGATATAAAAATGTCAAAAAAACATCATAGTATAGTAAGATATAAAAATGTCAAAAAACATCATAGTATAGTAAGGCATAAAATGTCATAAAAATAATGTGCATGTCTTTGGATTGTGGGAGGAAGCCAGAGTACCCAACTACCCATGCAGGCATAGGATGCACATGCAAAATCCACCCACAATGGTCCCAGGTGGGATTCAAACCAAGAACCCTTGCATTGTAAGGCAACAGTTACAACCATTGCACTGCTGTGGCACGCCATATATATGGTCATAGTACACTAAGGCATAAAAATGTCATAGTAAAGTAAGGCATGCTGACATTTTCATGGGACTTTTCGACAGAAATTAAACTCATACTTTGGTATATCCACTGTTATGTTTAGTCCTGCTAGCAACCTGACTGTTAGCCTGTAGAAGACAGAAGCCAGTGGTAGCTTGCTAGTTAATGCTCGCTAACATGGATAATTAACATTAGTTGACATTTTTCTGGTGATGTTAGGTACCACTGTGATATTCTCACCCGACGTCATTCTTCAGATAGCCCCCGCTCTTTCAGTTAATCAAATGCTAGCATGCCTAAATTGGTTTTCTTGGAGACGTAGCCTCTTGGAGGGCACATTGGTATGATCTAATATAACTTCACTCCAAACATAGTTGGGACAATTCTGTCCTCCCAAAATATTGGTAGGGACATGTCCCTACTCTCCATGTGCAAACCTATGCCCTTGGTTTAACCCATCACCTCCATCACCTTCCATTTCCACAGCTGTCTGTGTAAAACACCCTCACAGACCAGCGACAAATTAAAAGGACAAACCTGAGTAAATGAATGCTCAAATATAACAAATTCAGATGCTTCTATACAGGGGACAAGGATTTACTGAACAGCTTGATAAAATCTGAATCATATACTTGTGAATGGCCCGATCTCAACCCAACTGACAGCACTCTATACTGTTGAGTCCATACAAAAAACTCAACCCGGGAGTCAGTTAGCTTAGCTTAGCATAAAGACTGGAAGCAGGGGGGGAGCAGCTAGCCTGGTGCTGAATAAAATACCCCACCAACACCTCTGAAGCTAATTAACACAATATACCACTCTCTATCTGTCTCTTTTATATCTCTTGATCCGTACACAAACTAAAATGTAAAAACAATATGTAGTTTTACATGCCACTGTATTTCTTGGTAACTAGTGGCTGGGCAAAGTAACTTCCTCAGCTTTGACACCCACAGAGAAATAACTACACCACATAACCCATAATAAAACCAGAACAGATTCAACAAACACACAACATGTAAATCAGTGAGCGGTAGCGGTGCTGAGGACAGGCTAGCTCCTGTCTCCCTGTTTCCTGTCATCATCATGATGAGCTAAGCTAACGGTCTGCTGTCTGTAGCTTCGCATTGGATACACAGACATGAGGGTGGTGTCAATCCTCTCATCTAACTCTCAGGAAAAATAAATAAATAAGTGTATTTCCTTAAATGCTGATTTCATTACTGTTGTCAGTCAGCCTATGTCAAACTGTAAAACCCACACACACCATAAATCACACACTGATATCAAGTCCTCAAACCTTGTTCCTACACACATTGTTAACCAATGTTAACATCTTACTGCACTTGTCCTCTATAGTCTCCACAGCTGATCCCAGGTCATTTCAGGACCCTAAAAGTCTGAGGACCACCTGGACCCTGTTTTCCCTTCATTGTCCATGTGATTTCCATTCAGATCGATAAAAAATGGGTCACTTGTTTGAACCCACCCCCACATGTGCTGAAACAAAGACAAGAAGACTCTTCAGCTGTCCATTAAAATGATGAAGCTGAAATGTGCTGAATCAGCAGCCTGAGGCGAGGTGATGCCCCATTCCCTCACCACAAGCAAGGCAGCGCTGCTGGTGTGGGTGGGGACAATCCTTCTGTGGTGCGCGCTGTGCTAAAGGTTATTCGAAAGCTCCAACTGGACGGAGGGACAAAATAGCTGGAGGGTGTTTTTCTGAGAAATGCTAAAGGGGGGGACGGGGGTTCGAGGGGAGTGTTGAGTGTTTGTGTGGCTTCTCACGGGGTTTAAAACATCTGGCTCTGGCCTTTCACTTCTTCTAAAACCATCTGTGAAAACACTTTTATCTGAGAGAGATTCACAATCCCAAAGGGCTGCAGGACTGGCTGAACTCACACACACACACACACACACACACCAGACACTGCTGCATGTAATTTGAGCTGAACATACACACACTGATCTTATTATCACGTGTGTGCATGTGTGTTTTGATGGTGGGAGTTGGGCTTTCAGAGGAAACTATAAAGTTTCATGTTGAAAACTTGTTACAGAGGAAGTTATGAGAGGTTTACAGGCAGTTAAAGTCAGTCTTTTCTGTGTGAGGAGGTGTGTTAGATTTGCTTTCCGTCCGTGGGTCAAAAATAGAAGCACAAATGGGGATTTTTACAAGCCACTTGTTTGGTGGCAGAAAACCTTCATCCCAGACTAGTGTCAAACTGTCCTTCCTTGCCAGTGTTTGAGTGTAATGGAAATGACAGCTTAACAGCCGCTCAACATGAGCAGCCCCCAAACACACCCAGAGCCCACAACATTCACTGCACTGAATGTTGCCTTAAAATAAAAACTGTCAGCTCTCTGACACTGGTGAAAAAACAAACAACACTCCACCAGGAGACGGACGACTCCCAACTGATAATAAAGCTTCTTCATTTCACGGAAATATCAAGCAGCGCCGCGTCTCTGCTTCTGTTTCTTCAGGCGGACTGTAGACGCACTCAGCGGCCGCACAGAGGATCTCTGTGGCCTTTGCCGTCAGGATCAATGGAGGTGACACACTGTGGTCAGGTATTGATTCGACATCTCAGCCTGAGATGCAGGAGGTGTCAGAGTACAAGCACCGACAGTCAGCTTCTTATCAGCTGAGGAAAATGATCTAAAATGATTCAAGTGCTCAGACCACAGGTTTCTTGGGTTTGTGCTGTTGTAATAAGAGAGTCACCGCCACACATGTGAAGCTGACATGATCTAAAGCCTTTAGATTATAGAATCAAGGTTATAGAACAGACACTTCAAAGTGTCTCTAACTCCAGATTTAAATAATGTTTAGACGTATTAAGTGATTATCATTCCAAGTTTCAATATTAACGCTGCTATTTTTACACCAGACTCTAATCTCCGCAGTAAACTCATTCATGAGATCACAGAGCTGATACTGATCTTCCAGCTCCTGATTGGGATTATTTCTCAATGGTAACAGAGTGACAACATCTAGAGAGAATTATGTCCAGCTTCTTTATTTCTGCTTATTTAGCAGATTAACAAGAGATTAAACATGCAGGACACTTTCAGTTATAGTTACAGTGTAGACAGATGACTGGCTGGTTCAAGAACCAACTGGGTGGTTGAGACTTTAATTCAATTTGCTAGATTGGAAGAAAATAAAATGAGAGGTGGAGAGTGAATGTTCTCATCTAGGTTTCACTATTTTCCCCTTTGACTTCACAGAGTCTTCATAAGCTGCAGATTCATTTCACACCAGAGGTAAAATGAACACTCACAACACTCACCTTAGAGGAATTTTAACTGCCAGATATCTGTCAATAGCGATGGCAAGCAGACTGAAGATGGAGCTCTGTGTCAGTACCAAGACAAAACAGGCCAGGAACAGGCACCCATAGAAGTCCAGACGGATGCCGATGCTGATGGTTATGGCAAAAGGGATGGCGAGGCAACCGACCAGAATATCAGCCACAGCCAGGGACACCAGAAAATAGTTGGTAGCGTTCTTCAAAGTGGTGTTGATGGCGACAGCCCAGCAAACCAGTATGTTGCCGGATATGGAGAGAACAGCAATAACCACTTCAATCACGATGTATAACGTATTCATCTCAGCAAAGTGTGTTCAAGGACTAAAACCTGCAGACGGTGACCCACAACACTGTGTCTAGTCCCAGAGGAGTAAAAAAGTCTTTCTGCTATAATCCAGGAATATTCCACAAGTGTGAGCTGCACAACCAGCCATCTGCAGGAGAGAGAGAAATTACTTCATATCCATCTTGAGAAAAATGTTCCAGCATCAGAAAGTTGACAGAAGCTGTAGCTGCGCATTAAAGCTGAAGTTTGCGTCAAAACAGATGTAAAGTCACTGAACATGGTCTTCGCTCACCTTAATGAACCTGTACATCGTCTCTGGATGTTTTCACATCAACAGCGACCGATCTGTGGAGCATTTCAGCGGCATCTGTAGATCTGCGTCGGAGGCTCGGTGTCACACGACTAAACCCGCAACAGCAGTTTTGAAGTGGAGGGAGAAGCGCAAGAAAAAAAGGGGGGAAAAACTGAATTTCACAGAGAAGCCACGCCCCGAACACACACACACATACTCACACACACACACACACACAAACACACACACACCCTCGCTCTCTCTCTCTCTTTCTCTCTCGAATGCGATCACAAGTAGCTGATAAGCGGAATCCCGAGCGAGCGTCATTCGTCTACCGTGCGTAATTACGCGCCAGTTAAACAGCACCATCTACGCCGCCACCACCACGTGCTTTCCATTTAATGTAAACGCTGTCTGATATGCACATGCACGCGCACCCACACTACCCAGACACGCAGCTGCATCTGGTTTAAATCAGGTTTGTGCCCGTGGACTCATGGGAAGCAACAGCTACCCCCAAACTTACTCACGTTTTTAAGTGTTTGCGGAATTTTGTTTACGTTCCGCTGCTGTGTGACGCAAACGCGCGAGACAAACTGCAGAAAGTGATGTTTGTATATGGAAATGTGTTAACCGGAACAAACGCACGTCACGCATCTGAGATGGTGTGTGTTTTAATTGGATGGTTGTTTTGAAGGTCACTAAACTCCATGTGATTAAGCAGACGTTTAATGAAGTTAAGGGTCAAACAAACCCTGTAATGTTCGATCTTCGACCTATTCAAGCCTTCGTTTGATTGATTTTTATTTCTCTTTGGAGCCAGTTCATCGCATTTAGACATTCCAGTTATCGTGTTACTTCACGGTCCCTGCTGCCACTGAAATGTGTTCAAGTACAAAAGGTGCGCTGCGAGAAGTTTCCACATGCCCAAATGTTTTACAACCCTGGCACCGCGCTTTAATGGGCGCAGTGGAAAAGCAGTTTAACCTCAGTGAGAGCAGCACAGGAATATATTTTCTGCTTCTTTCACACAGTAGATTCATCTGATACATCACTATCTGAGGAATAATAATAATAATAACAAAGTGAGTGATTGAAAATAAAACTTGACATTCCTTTATTGAGCAATATTCATTCAATAGTCCTTCAAATCTGACATCTGTAAATAGAAAACTGTATTTCTGTCCACATGTTCACTTTCAGGATGCAAGTCTTGTAAATAAATAAATAACACTTTTATCTTCCAAAACATAGGGGCATCTGCAAATGGAGGCTTGTCTGAAGCACACCACAGAGAACATGTTGTACCTCGACTCCTACATGTAAAAGTTTCCCTCTCCTTCATAATTGAACATGGCATGCGAAATATAGATGTATATATATTTTGCAAAGCAGCTGCAGTACCATAGTTGTTGATTCTTGATGGAACATGAGGGAACATCACAGGAGGTTTAATTGTAAACAACACAAACATACACATCAGTCTGTTTTCATAAAAATATTTCTACAAAACTATTCAGCAACTCTCGTAGCGTTAAATCATTTTAGTGTCGCATCACAGATGGCAGCTAGAGTCTGTCTGACCTCCGTTTTTTAAGGACAAACCAGGACATACAATTAAGGTGGAAATATAAAGGCTTTGAAGTCAAACCTGTCAATTCAAATGATTCTCTGCTCTGCAAAGTCGAACTCCGGCTAATTTACAATAAGCATCGCTATCGATTCATTTCAGCAACATTTCAGCAAACAGAACCAAAATTTACCCACAGCTGGTTTCACACTCATGACTGTGTGTTGGTCAGTGAAAGAGGACGTCACACTGCACACTGACACTGAACACTACACTTTAACCATGCATAGATAGTCTTGTAGAAGTCATGTTTTGGCAGAAGATTTGGCACAAAAGTCAGATCATTTCCACAGAGCATTTGATTCACAAACAACTCCAGTAGGTGAAGTGTTGACTGACATGGAGACCGAGCTAAAAAACAAGTGAAAAATAAGATTCTTTTGATTTTCTACTGACAGCCTGTTTGGATTTAATGCAATTATTTCATATTATCTAAAAAAAAAAAAAAGTTTTTCTGAATCAATATCAAGGGATGAAAAAAATGGATCCAGTTCTTAATCCTCTCAGTCGTGCTGTCAACTGCTACAAGGCTCGAGAAGTATTTGGCTCCATAATCTGTTTGTCTTTGAATCAAATGCTCAACTGACACTTTAAACAGGGTGGTGTGTGTGTGTGTGTGTGTGTGTGTGTGTGTGTGTGTGCGTGTGTGCGTGTGTGTGTGTGTGTGTGTGTGTGTGTGTGTCGTGGCTGCACTGTTGCCAAGAAATAAGACAGAAGACAGTGAGTTCATGACGGCTGAGTGTCTCAGGAACAGAGCGGTCCTCTGTCGTGTCTCTGGTGTCCGTGAGCAGCAGCAGCAGCAGCAGCAGCAGCAGCAGGAGGGTTAAAGTGGCAGCGTTTGCTCTGTCTGGAAGGTGAATGTAGTGCTGACAGAAAAGTGCTGCAGTGCCTCCAGTCTTCATCGGTCTCCAGCTCCTCTTCCTCAGCGCTCAGGTCTCAAAGTACTTGTAGATCTGAGAGACGTACTGCATGACGCTCTGCCAGTCCGGCCTGTCGGTCTTCATCAGCTCCTCCATGTCCTGTTAGGAGCAGAGAGATGGAGGGGGGGGGGTTCAACAGTTTGATCATCACAAACAGCACCCCCATCAGGCCAATGCAAAGCTGCACCAACAGTGTCTGATGATTAATAGTTAATGCATTTTGTGATGTGAGATCATAAACGGAGAGCAGTATTATTATGACCACATTTAATAGAAGCATCTGCCAACTGCCATGAATATACGTAAATGGGAATGTTACAGATCTTTTAGAGAAGTTACAGCTTCCCCATTAGACAAATGAGTGTTTAAACACTGAATGCAGAACAAATGCAACATCCGCAGAAAAGAAGAAGACGGACAGAACATACAGTCACATAATTCATCACTGACTGAACCACATTAACGCTCAGTTTCTCTCACTGGCTTTGGCACAACTGTCAAATACGCCTTGTGTTTATTATTAGAGACGGACAGTAAATGACAAATTGACATTTTGTTTTTCATCTATAAATAGTTCCTTATTCACACGCCTGTTCTTTCACTTGTTATCTTCTGTTCTACATCACTGTTAGAGCGTTTATTCAGTCAGGCATGGAGGATGTTTGACTTTATTATTGAGCTCAGTGAGAAATCGCATATTTCCTGTCACACTGACACAGTCCCACAGACGTCTGACTGACTCAGTTTAAACATGGCTATTTTGGTTTAGGACACAGTAGTACTGAGGCTTGTGCAGGACAAATGAAGTGATACAGAAAATGTGCCTAAGTTACTGTGAGACTCCTGATCAGCTGTGTGACGCTGCAGTCAGCCACTCGCAGACCAATCCTGTCCCACAGCGATGAGTCAGACAGTGAAGTGGACTTTCACATGACTCCGGCATCACAGAAGCCTCAGTCACCTCCTTAACGAGAGGAGGATCCACGGCTCTGTGGGTTTTGTTTAAGCAGCAGATAGAGAACTGAAAACACTGCATGCAAGTTCATGAGTAGAGAACAGAGGGATCCAGTTACAGTCTTTTATTTATTTACTGCGTTTTTAAGTCACTGACATGGGAACTAGTTTGCCACATCCAATCTTGTAACCACAAGCATGTAATGGAGAATTAATAAGACTAAGAATTGTGAACTTTGATCTCACTAAATCACTTCCCTGCTGAGATCCAGCTGGCTCCTCCAGAAATAGAAGAAACAAGCTGTTTGACTGATTTGTGGACTTTCAAAGTCGTCTCAGACCGGTTTAGAAAGAATAAAAACCCAACTGCATTCATCGGTTTTATCGTGTTCCTGGAATCATGAAGCCAGAAGTGCAGAGAGTAACGAGGCGAGATGCCCAGCACAGATGTCAAACAGCGAGGAAAGGTCATGTTAGTTTAACCTGAGCACTGAGTCAGATCCGTCTGTACAGCAGAATAAAAGTCTGAGTAGAAAAACCTCAACTGGCTGCAGCAGATTATTCCTCTACATCAGCCTCTTCCTGTCTGTTCTTCCTGATGTGCGTGAGGGACTCACTTTCCCTGGTCAGCATTAAACTGTTTAGTGTACACACTCTTACCGCCAGTGATATGGGTATTTAAATGCAGGGAAGCTTATAAACATAAAGGGCCGTGTGCAGATGTGTTTTTATGAACAACAGTTTCTGACATCGACGACCTGAAGGCAGCGAAGTGACACGTTTAAATACGACAAATGAGGCAGGATCAGTTTTATGCCAAAATACAATGATTTCATTTCTGACTCAAAGAAGGACTTTAAAAGGTTCTTTTTTCACATGACGGGTTTTTGAATTTCTGTTTGTGTCTGTGTTTTCTCGATGGGTTGAGGGCCTGACATCCTGCTCATGCCACGCAGTCACTGTCACTAAGATCTGATCGAACCGCACACACACAGTCCTGTGGAAGATTACAGTTTCTGAGGGTTATTTAAGCTTTTAATAAATGTAATGAACTGTTTCTGTTTGGCTGTTACTTATTTAGTCATTAATATTTATTGTTATAGAGACTTGACTCATTGGAAACCAAATCCAATAAACGGAAAATCCAGCCCAAATCTTGAAAGAAAGCTGAGTCACTTTCTTGCTTAAGGTTAAGAAAAGATAAGCACCTCTCACACTCTCTGACACCAGAGACTACGTACTCTAGATTTGCTACGATAAACTTATTCAGCTGCTTTACAGGAAAAACATATGAAAGTGGCTTTGTTTACATCATGGCAAAACATGGAAGGAGTTTCTCGCAAAGTCTAAACACTTCAGTGGAGCAGCTGGATGTTAGTGTGAGGAGAGTAGCTAATGTTTTCACAAACTACCTAAACTAATCAAAGTCCAATTGCATCAGAAATATGAATTAGATTTGTTTTTATCTTGAAGTAAAGAGTCGTAGATTTCCACTGCACAGAGCCGACACGGGCTCGAGGCAAAGCAGAGATCCGGGGCTCAGTCACCGATATGACAGAGTTAAGCTCGAGACCGTGAGGAGGAGAAACGCTCCGATGAAATGGATGTGG